AGTTTTATTGTGTATATCTGCATAGTGTATGATAAATCTATACACAGTTTTATCGTGTATGTTTTATTGTTTTTATTTATTTTTGTTCCTGGGTAGTAAGTGTTATTTTCTGATTGTTTTTGCCTCCGAAATACAGAAAATGGCTATTATTTCCCCCTCAAACTTTGCCTAAGACAGCTTAGGAAAGACGTCTTGAAGGCACCTGAAGGCTGCCGTCTTATGAAGCATTGTATTACAGCTCTAGTTAAGGAGTACCAAATTGTGTTATTGAATTAGCCCAAATGGCATTTTAAAAAACTGAACATTTAGCTAAAGAACATAACCTAGCCTAACCTATTGTCCCATACGAGGCAGCTCCCCTTGACCCATACGAGGCAGCTCATATATATATATATATATATATATATATATATATATATATATATATATATATATATATATATATATATATATATATATATATAATGAAAATAGTGACTATATCCCAGGAGCAACGCAACTGGTATGTACAAGACGCCTTAATATATATATATATATATATATATATATATATATATATATATATATATATATATATATATATATATATATAGGGCCGGATATATATATATATATATATATATCGAACTATATATATATATATATATATATATATATATATATATATATATATATATATATATATATATATATATATATATATATATATATATATATATATATATATATATATATATATATATATATATATATACCGCCACACCCCACGTCACAGCCACATCCTACCTCAGCTAGAAATCCACAGACCATCACCTTTCAGCTAGACCCCCATCACACAGCCAGACCCCCATCACACAGCCAGACCCCCATCACACAGCCAGACCCCCATCACACAGCCAGACCCCCATCACACAGCCAGACCCCATCACACAGACACCCCACCTCACACGTTGAATCACCCAGCATTATGATAGCTGCAAATAAGTTGAGAAATACAACACGTTGGATCAAGCAGTTTGTTGTGGATAGCATTTCGTTCACAACGGTGGTCTCGTAATCCCTCCATGTTTATTGATCAAATTTAAACATTACTTTCATGGGTGAAACACTTTTGACAGAAAAGCGTGTCTAGTCTCACGGCATTTTTCTAACAATTTACACACGGTCAATAGCCTGGTTAATCTATAAATCTCTGAGTTACTTAACAATATCATCCACAATATCACTTTTGAGAGAGTTCCTGGAGACTTCAATGCTTATGATAGTAATGATCAGAACAGCTGTATATCTCTAAGCGTCACCACCTCTAAATTGTCTATGTTCTAAGGTTCTTCAAGTGTTTACATGATCTAAGGTTACTCGAGTGTATAAAAAATTGTATACATTCGAAGGTTACTCTAGTGCAGTGATTCCCAAAGTGGACGGCACTTTATATATATATATATATATATATATATATATATATATATATTATATATATATATATATATATATATATATATATATATATATATATATATATATATATATATATATATATATATATATATATATATATAATATATAATGTTTCTCTAGTGTTCATATGTTCCAAGGTTACTTAGGTGTTAATATGTTTTAAGGTGTTCTACAACCATACTCCACAATTCTACATACTTAGATATCAAAGGATTGGCATGATGTTTAATCTGCTAACACTTGTATTTATGTTTGAGAATGCAATGCTTTGAAAACAACTGCAAAAAAATCATTCATTAGTATGATATAAAATACGACACAGACTATTAAAATGTAGTATTCCTGTACCGGTGGCAAGTGTGAAAGCATTAGAGGGTGTGGGACTTAAGTGTTGTAACTTTCCATGTATGTAACGCCTTCGATAGCTCAGTTGGTAGAGCGGTGGACTGTAGTTGGTTCTAGAGACAGACATCCATAGGTCACTGGTTCGAATCCGGTTCGAAGGATGAGATTTTTCCCTTCAATCAACCAGCTAGTGACATATTCCACTATGTTAACTTAACTCCATTCCTTATGAACAATTGCCAAAGTGCACATAAATCCAGCCACCAAACCACCTGTTTACGAATTAAAAACAATTCACACACAATTCACGTGTGTAAGACGTGTGTGTGTAAAGACGTTCGAACTTTGTTCGAACGTCTAGTCTTCCAGTCTTCCAGGTGGTCCAGTGGTCCAGTCTCCCCAGATCCCAAGTGACTGGCAGTTCTTTAACAATCATCTCTTCTGGTGGAAGGGTGAGAATTAGATGAGTAATAAACTGTATTTTCATCCACATTTTTCCCACGACTTTTTTTCACTAATCAATTTTTATGACTCATGACTCATTTAAAGACTTCTATAATCATAATCATATATCAGAACTCGTCTATACAATAAATGATGAAACAAAATGATTTTCTGATAAGTTATTTTATTTTGACTACATGGAAGAAATGGGTGCTGTATAGGAACAGAGAGCACAATATAAACATCAGAGGCTCACCATTCCTTCCCCCCGTCCCATCCCAAACCCTTATCCTGATCCCTTCCCAGGGCTAATATAGTCGTAATGGCTTGGCGCTTTCCCTGATAAGTCCCTCCCTCACCACTCTTCAATCTCTTGCCAACAAATATACAAAATATTGCTGGAATAGCAGTGGACGCTTTCAAGAGATGATTGGACAAAGTTTCTGAGGGATTTACTGAACCAGCCCAACTGTGATGGCTATATGGACCTTCGGGCTACGAAGACAAACAGCCACAAGTTCACTACGGGCTCACCATAGCCCGTGCTACTTGGAACTTTTGTTCCAAGTAGCGGAATCTAAAACAACAACAACAAACAGACTCAAAGAATAAGAGAGAATGTCTGTATGTTTATATTTGTGTCCAAAGTTGAAGACCCGACGCTTGCTGCTAACCTCACCCAAATTTGCAGGGGAACTGGTGTTGGGTAGGGGACGGACACAGGCTGGTCGGGGTAGGCCTAATTTAAATACGTTAAACGATATTATAAATAATAAAGACCCTCCGTGCCATTTTCATTGGGTTTGTACATTTCTGGAGAGTCAAAGACCACTACATAGTTTACATTTGTCAGAACATGAGAACACGGAGCAATAGAATTGTGGCATTTGGATATTCCTATGCTACTTCTTTCCACAGATTTTGGATTCTGATTGAAAAGATATTAATAGCGAATGAAAAGGATAAGAGACAGACTAAGAGCCGAGATATGAGGACAAGGAGCTGGGATATAAGGACAAAGTTGGAATATGAGAACAAGGAGCTGAATATGAGGACAAGGAGCTGGGATATGAGGATAAGAAACTGGGATATGAGGACAAGGAGCTGGGATATGAGGAAAACAAGCTGGGATATGAGGAAAAGGAGCTGGTGTATGAGGACAAGGAGCTAGGGAGAGAGAATGGAGTAAGTCTCAAAACCGGTTGGTATACTCTCTAAAATCAGATATTATGTTCCAAACTCTGCTCTCCTCTCACCATACTATGCGCTAATCTATCTCTATCTTGCATATGGTATCTGTGCATGGGGCTCAACCACTGTAAACTACCTCAAGCCCATCATACCCCAGCAAAAATCTCGTATCAGAATAATAACAAACTCTGCTGTCAGACAACACCCAGCCCCCCCCCCCCCCTGTTTAAATCCCTAAACATGCTAAACATAAACTCACTCCACACGTTCTCCTGTATCAATTACATTTTCAAAACCCTGTTCTGAAACTCTTCCTGGATACATGTAATAGAACCCATAATCACCACACCAGAAATTAATATCTCTTTGATATCCCCAGAGTCAAACTTAATCTGTGTAAACACTCTTTGCAAATAAAGGGACCTTGTCTGTGGAACTCATTCCCTAACGAATTGAAAAGCAGTCCAACTTTTGCCTTAATTCAAAATAAAACTAATAAAGTACCTAATTTCATCTTCATAGTTTCCTACCTAGTGCTTTATACTCGCACTGTATCTAGTACAACCCAATCCCCCATTATATGTACCTAAGCCATACAGTCTTTATCTTTGTCATCATGGCTATCACCTTATATCATGGTTGTTATATTGAGTGCATATTTTACTGTATTATTCCTTGAAATAATCCTCAATTTGTGCTACAATGAAACAGTTGATAACCCTCAAATTTTACCCTAATGTACCTACTGATCTTAGTCATTATTGTGTATTAATCTAATCTCTGTGTATTGTGTCAAATTTTCTTACAATGTACCTGTAAACATTTTTTGTCGATTTTACTGGAAATTACCTACTTTAAATTATCTATTTAAAATTATCTGTTAGATTAAGGACCTGCCAGAAACGATATGCGTGCTGGTGGCTTTACAAAAATGTAAAATCATCATTGCTATATACTCTCTTAACCCCCCAATGTACCTTCTTGTATATAAATAAATAAATAATGGAATAATGGTTCATTTGCACCATCGGGGTATCGAACAGCGACTCTACAGAAATCAAGGTCGTCGCTCTACCGGCAAGTCCAAGTTAATCAACAGCGAATATTTTAACAATTTTAAAATAATCACATTTCGTAAGTACAAAAAAAATCTTCACATCCTGCCTCGTCTCTTCACCTCTCTTATCCCCTCCCCACTCTTCCCTTCATACCCCTTCCCCTCCCCTCTCCTGTCTTCTTACCCCCTCCCCCCCACTTCCTCCTCTTAACCCAGAGACCCCTTCTCAAGCAAGGGATTTAATCCCACGATAAATCCCTCACTTCCCCCTGCTATCATCGGTCATCTACCCCTCTTCCACGACGAACTTTGCCAGCCACTTTACCTCTTCCTCCCCCCGATCTCTCTGTTCCACCCATTCCTTAACAACGCCACTCCTCCCCCCCTTTCTCACCCCCATCTCCAAAACATCCCTCCCCCCCTTCCTTCCTTCGCCAGCAGCGACTATCCTGGAATCTATCCAAGGTCAGAGTGTCTAAGGATACTGGGGTTCCTCTGAGGGGTTGATCAGTCCACGCTTGTCCGCCCGTGACGCGCCTCGCTCCGTCCCTCTAAGGGTCCAGGCAAGTAGCTCCGTCCCTCCGTCCAGGCAGGTAGCTCCGTCCCTCCGTCCACCTACGTACCTCCGTCCCCAGCCTGCCAACGACCAAACTGCGGCTACTTGAAGGCAAGTGATAACACTGATATGAATTAGCTAAAACTTGGCCAGGATTCGTCAAGCATTTGCGCGTCTACTAACTAAAGCTGTCTTTCCTGCACTCCTGGAGGCTTTGTTTACATTTATTAAACAGTTTATGAACTCCGAAGACTACGAGATTGTTTATAACAATAATACCCATTGGTTGTAAAACTTCCAAGCTGGTGAACTGTTTAATAAATGTAAACAAAGCCACCCCATGAGTGTTGAGAGATATTCCGGTAATTGTCAATAGATGCGTCAATGATTGGTGATTCCTATAACCTCCCTCCACGGCGTATGAGATTAAAAAATACTAATGTACATTCTGTAGAAAGTTTAGAGTGAGGAAAGACCTGGGTAAATAATGGTTTGGAAACAGGATTGTTAGTGAGTATAACAAATTAATTAACCGGGAACATGATAGATGTGAGACATGGGAGCGGTGGATTGTCTCAAGCATAGGTTATACATATAGTCTATATGAATGAGTTCATATGGACTATATGAATAATAATTCATAATTCATTTGGTATAGGGTATTCATTCGTGAGGGTATAATAATTCATTTTGTCGGGGACAAGTAGCCTGTTTATATATATATGTATTATAAACGTTAGGTTTATCCCATCCCACAACCCCACACAACAAGCTGACTAACTCCCGGGCACCTATTTACTGCTAGGTGAACAGAGCCACTAGGTGATAGAAAACGTTCGAATAATTTCTGCCCCGCCCGGGATTCGAACCCGAAATTTCCTACTGCGATTGAAGAACGATCCCGACTGTACCACCGAGAGCCTATAAATATGCGTTGCCTCGTGTGGACCAGTAGAAACTCCGTAGAGTTTCCTATAATATATTCCTAAGTTCTTATGCTTCATGGCGTCCGCAACAAGCTAATTAATCAGTTGCTAGCATTTTCATACCTGACGTCTATAATGCGTTGCAACTGGGGAAAAAATAAATCAAATGTATAATTTTTATTTAGTGTTACACAATTGCAATACAGTTTAGTGTGTTAATACAATAAGAAAAACCAGTAATGTAAATGTATAATAATTTATAATAATTATTTTATAATCAATGATTATTTATATTTATTGTCCATCTCTATGACATGGGGGGAATAAGAGCCAAGTTCTCACGATTGAACAAGCGTCAGTATAACGATGTTGTTAATTTTAATAAAGCACCGGAATTTTGACGTTATAATTGACAGGGTCCAAATTGAGATACATTAAGTGTGAGGACAGGTTATCCTAAGTTTAATCCAAAAAATGTATAATTACAGAATAATATTCCATGTATAATTGCCCTTCGTTAATAACATAAGATAACATAAGAACAAAGGTAACTGCAGAAGGCCTATTGGCCCATGCGAGGCAGCTCCTATTCTATAACCACCCAATCCCACTCATATACTTGTCCAACCCGTGCTTGAAACAATCGAGGGACCCCACCTCCACAATGTTACGCGGCAATTGGTTCCACAAATCAACAACCCTGTTACTAAACCAGTATTTACCCAAGTCTTTCCTAAATCTAAACTTATCCAATTTATACCCATTGTTTCGTGTTCTGTCCTGTGTTGATACTTTTAATACCCTGTTAATATCCCCCCGGTTATGTCCATTCATCCACTTGTAAACCTCTATCATGTCACCCCTAACTCTTCGCCTTTCCAGTGAATGCAACTTAAGCTTTGTTAATCTTTCTTCATATGAAAGATTTCTAATTTGGGGAATTAACTTAGTCATCCTACGCTGGACACGTTCAAGTGAATTTATATCCATTCTATAATATGGCGACCAAAACTGAACTGCATAATCTAAATGGGGTCTAACTAGAGCAAGATATAGCTTGAGAACCACACCAGGTGTCTTGTTACTAACGCTGCGATTAATAAATCCAAGTGTCCGATTTGCCTTATTACGAACATTTATGCATTGATCCTTTTGTTTTAAATTCTTACTAATCATAACTCCCAGATCCCTTTCGCAATCCGACTTCGCAATCACAACACCATCTAGCTCGTATCTTGTAACTCTATCATCATTACCTAACCTCAGAACTTTACATTTATCAGCATTAAACTGCATCTGCCAATCCTTTGACCATTTCAAAACCCTATCTAGATCAACTTGAAGTGATAGTGAGTCCTCCTCCGAATTAATTTCCCTACCGATTTTCGTATCATCGGCAAATTTGCAAATGTTGCTACTCAAACCTGAATCTAAATCATTTATATATATTATAAACAACAGAGGTCCCAGGACAGAGCCTTGAGGCACTCCACTTACAACATTTTCCCACTCTGACTTGATTCCATTTATACTAACTCTCTGTTTCCTTTGGTATAGCCATGCCCTAATCCAGCTTAATATAGCACCCCCAATACCATGAGACTCTATCTTTTTAATCAGTCTTTCATGTGGCACTGTATCAAAAGCTTTGCTAAAGTCAAGGTATACAACATCGCAATCCTTACCACTATCAACTGCCTCAACAATGCTAGAATAAAAAGATAACAAATTTGTTAAACATGAACGGCCATTTATAAAACCATGTTGCGACTCAATTATTAATTTATGTTTTTCAAGATGAAGACGAATTTTATTTGCTATTATAGATTCGAGTAACTTTCCCACAATAGACGTTAGGCTAATTGGTCGATAGTTAGACGCAAGTGATCTATCTCCTTTCTTAAAAACTGGTATCACATTAGCAACTTTCCAAAACTCCGGCACTCTGCCTGACTCTATTGATTTATTAAATATGGTTGACAGTGGGTCACAAAGCTCCTCTTTGCATTCTTTAAGCACCCTGGCAAACACTTCATCCGGCCCTGGGGATTTGTTTGGTTTGAGTTTTACTATTTGTTTAAGAACATCCTCCCTGGTAACTGTTAAACTCGTCAACCTGTCCTCGTCCCCACCCACATAGACTTGTTCGGCTGAAGGCATATTGTTAAGTTCCTCTTTAGTAAATACAGATACAAAATATTTATTAAAAATACTACTCATCTCTTCATCACTATCTGTTATTTGACCTGTTTCAGTTTTTAATGGACCTATCCTTTCCCTAGTCTTAGTACGATATAACTGAAAAAACCCTTTAGGATTTGTCTTTGCTTGCCCTGCTATGCGAACTTCATAGTTTCTTTTTGCTTTCCTTATCTCTTTTTTAACATTTCTAACCAGTTGTACGAATTCCTGTTCTAAAGTGACCTCCCCATTTTTAATCCTTTTGTACCAAGCTCTCTTTTTACCTATAAGGTTCTTCAAATTCTTTGTTATCCACTTTGGGTCATTAGTATTCGATCTATTCAATTTGTATGGTATACTACGTTCCTGTGCTTTGTTTAGAATATTCTTAAATAAGTTATATATTGAATCCACATCGAAATCCCCATTTAAGTCACCTATCGCTGGGTTCATGTCTCGCTCCAAGACCGGCCCACACCCCATACCCAAGACTTTCCAATCAATTTGACCCAAAAAATTTCTTAGGCTATTAAAATCAGCTTTTCGAAAATCTGGCACTTTAACAGAATTTTCTCCTACTGGTCTATTCCATTCTATGCTAAATCTGATTTCTTTTAATGATAGTGAAAACTCTAAATTACTGCAGGTGTGAGGTTGAACTGTAGCTCTCGGGACGCAGAAGATGGCCTCTCTGGTGCTGCTCGGAGCGGTGTTGTTAATTAACTCCGTTGGTGGTAAGTGATTGTACTTCCCTGTCTATGTGTTGATGACAAGTGCCTGTACACCCTCTGACTATGCATCCCCACTAAACATCCCTACGTATGCATACCTGTATAAGTATATATACATTATATCTCCACCCGGCAATGTTTTTACACTCCAGCGGCCTCCAGCGCCCCTGCGGAGTCTGCGTCAGGCGCGGAGCGGTGTCCAGGGAGTGATCATATACAGTGCGCTCACAGCGCCACCTGTATCCCTCACCGCTACCTGTGTGACAAGGACTCAGACTGTCCCAATCTCTCTGATGAGGATCTCGACCTCTGTAAAGTTAGTATTTAACCCCTCTTTTGTTTTTGACTTCTGTAAAGTTAGTATTTAACCCCTCTTTTGTTTTTTTTACTTCTGTAAAGTTAGTATTTAACCCTTCTTTTGTTTTTGACTTCTGTAAAGTTAGTATTTAACCCTTCTTTTGTTTTTAGGATTCTTCAAGCATTTACTTGAATGCATTTACATTTACAGCGTTTACTTGATTCTTTAGGCACTTCCGAAATCTGTTCATCTATAGGTTAAAATCTGGTAAAATCTTCCAGTAATCATGGCGGGTTTGTTTGCATTTATTAGTCACAAGTTAATGTTATTACGGTTATAAACAGCCTCGTTGTGCTTGGGAGCTCATAAACAATAAATAAACATAAATGTAAACAAAGTCGCAATGACTGAGGAAAGATGTACTGGTTTCGTAAGTGGAGGCGTAAATGCATGATGAATCCTGGCCTTAGTCTATGAATTAATGCTCAGCTTTCAAAATGAAATGTTTTTTGAGTCGGGAAAAATGATGTAAACACTTAACAAATGTTGAATTTTCTCTCTTAAGTGGCAATATAATGAATCTCTATAACCGTTCCAGAAGTGTGTAATGTTATTAGTTATTACTACGCTATTGTGGTTCAAGTTCAAGTACGTTTATTATGACAATAAAATCTCAAAGGGATATCGTAGCTTAGGCTATTTCTACCCTTCTGTGGGTTTCTGATGCCCGGGTAGGGTAGCTGATAGGCATTGTCGTCCTGTTTTAGGGTACCACAGCGCACTGTGGTACCCTACCACAGCGCACTGTGGTATCCTACCACAGTGGGCACTTGCTGGGAGGGGGGATAACATGTAATTCCTTTAGCTCACTGGAGATTGGAGCTGGAGCCTCAGCACCACAAGACCATCGTGCTATTAACCACAAGTACCAGTTAGGTACATCTGAGGTCCCTCCTTGTTGTCCGGTAGTCATGGTCTAGCTGGTAGCACCAAGGGCTCGCATTTTGTAGGCCTGAGTTGTAATCCCCGATGATCCAAGGGGAAATATAATTGATGTAAACAAAGCAAATGAATACTAACGTTTGTATCATGATATAATATATCTTGTCTTTCCTGCCGTATCTTCTGTTCGCTATCCACGCCCTGTCCTGGCCTGGTGACGGCGCTGCAGGCGTGGCGGAACGACTGCAGCCGAGGGGAGGCGCGGTGCAAGCGACAAGGGGAGTCGAACTGCGTCAGTATCCCCATCTACTGCAACACCACGGACCCTCCCTGTGAAGGCGACCTCGACCTGCGAGTGTGTGAGGTAGGTCGCTTTGTCCCCCGTGTGTGTGGTGGTCCTGTCTCACTTGAGCGTCTCTTCAAGATGAGCCGTGCCACGATTCAACAATCATTTACGAGTTCACTTACGAGACCAATAAATCGTTCATAAATCATTGTGGCCGAGTTTGTATTCATTAAACAGTTTACGAGGTGGGGAACTTCGTAACCCAAGGTTGTTGTTGTTGTAATGTGCTTAGTAAATCCTGGCTCAGAGTAACGTAAGATATATGTTAATAGTTCTGTTGACAGAATTTACATTATGTGGTGTAAACTCCCACAGGTACTTGTAGCTAGGCTTAAAATAACAGCCGTTGTAAAGAATAATTCAGCCCGTTTTCTGTGTTTGCTATTCACTAAAAAAAAATATATACAGTATAGCAGGTTTGTCTATCAAGAAACGTACGAACCTAAGCAATCCTATCCTATCGATGCCCTACGGGCTCACCATAGCCCGTGCTACTTGGAACTGTTTGTTCCAAGTAGCGAATCTTTAACAACATATCGATGCCGATGCATAGAAAACGTCAATATTACGGTGCTTAAATTGTAACAATATGTAACCCAGCTGGTTTTCTTCCTGTTGGGGAGTGTTGTACATGCTGCTATGGCGGTGTGTCCACTCACAAGATGAGTGGCGCTGCCCAATAAACTCGCCCCTCGGGACAAAATTTAAAAAAAAATTAAATGTCACATTTTTAACGGACGGATCTATTCCGTTAAGTGTGACCTATGGGCGAGAGGACGACCTGAACACTGACTTAGACCACACACTAGAAGGTGAAGGGACGACGACGTTTCGGTCCGTCCTGGACCATTCTCAAGTCGATTTGAGAATGGTCCAGGACGGACCGAAACGTCGTCGTCCCTTCACCTTCTAGTGTGTGGTCTGGTCAACATACTTTAGCCACGTTATTGTGACTCATCGCCTGCACTGACTTGTGTAAAAACAAAATCGCATTAGCACTCATCAACATGGTGGAGATTGTGTAAGCTGCACTAACAATCATATATTGCAAAGACAGTAGGCCTATAGTAAGTGTGTTTATTATAAAGGCAGATGTAGACCTGTGGTAACAATCGATATGTTGTTGTTTTAGGTCTATGTAACATTATAAACGCGCTGTAGGTCTATTGTAGCGATCAATATGGTGCACTCGCATAGTAGGCCTATTTAGTCGTTAATTTGTTGCAGATGCTGTACGACAAGAAGCTGCAGCCTCTAAACTCCGTCACACTTAAACACTTTGGTCATAAAGGTAAGTTAGGCCTATCCTGTAGGCCTACCCCTGTTTCCTGCCTTACAGGTAAGTTTGAAAGGGTATGTTTAGGCTTATCCATTTCTTTAGCAATTATAGCAGCAAAGAACAAAAATATACTATAATATTTGTTCAAGCAAATACAACCCAAATACAGTAACTATATATAATGTTTCGTAGAACGTATATCAAAGTATTAATATCGTGTCGTTCATTATGCTTATGGGGACGAATGAAATACAATGAGCGGCTCCAAAGAAACAAGCCGTTACATGGTAGGGAAGTTGTTCTGTAGAGTAATGGACCTTTGGACCATCGGGGTTCGAACGCCGACTCTGCAGGAATACAAGTGAGGTGTTTTATAGAATGATTGATTGATGAAGATTAAGCGACGGGCTCACATAGACACTTCGTTCTGAGTAGCCATATCTAAAACAACAACAAACGAAGATTAAGCCACCCAGGAGGTAGCACGGGCATGAATAGCCCGTAAAGGTGTTTTATAGATTATAATGTGATCATGTACCCCCACAGAGACGAACCTGGAAATGGGTGAGCAGCTGAAGGCGGAGTTCCAAAGAGCAGTGAACCTGACGATGCAGCACTCGGAGTGTCCAGCACTGTACACCCTCGTCGGTCAGCAGTGCCTCTCTCTCTTCTTCCCCGGGGCTGTGAGTCTCTGTGTATTAAGGACACACACACACACATTGAAATTGAAATAAGTTTATTGAGGTAAAATACACACAAAGGGATGAGGTAGCTCAAGCTATTCTCACCCCGTTCAGTACATCGTGTTAATACATACATATACACACATCACAAACAATAAACATATTACCAAATATTCTGAGAGATAAACATATACATTTCCTAACACACATATTAAGTTTATGAAGAATCTAAATGTTAAGTTTAGAATCAGGAAAGACTTGGATAAATACGGGTTTGGAAATAGGATGATTGATTTATAGGACAACTTACCGGGTAACATAATGGATATGGGATCGCTGAATTGTTTCAAGCGTAGATTAGACATATGTGTGAATGAATGTCTTTAGATATCAGTAGGAGTTGCACCTTATGGGGCCAATAGTCCTATAGTTTTATATATTCTTGTGTTCGTATACACAAGAATACTGATGCGAACAAGCCTGAATGGTCCCCCAGGCATATATATACAACTGAAAACTCATATATAACTTATAAAAAAGAAGAATACTGATATATATGTTTCGTCAGGTGGGATGGGGTGAGGCCCGGGCCTTCTGCAAGCTCCTGGACGGCGACCTCCTCACCCTCAGGAACGTGACGGACTACATGGAGCTCCTCCGTCACCTTCACCAAGCTGGTGAGTGCCATCCTCCCTCCATATAGTATGGAGGGAGGATGTACGTATGTGCACACACTCTAATTTATTTTCACAACCAAAGATCACATTCACTCAAATTCACTTTAAAGGTTACATTCATATCCTAACCTACCAGAGGCCCCACGAACAGAAAACGGGACATTATGACAATTTCGTGAGCCGCTACACTTTTCTCACAGTCTTGGGCCTTAAGTTAAGTATACGTCAAAATGCAACGTGATATTACGAGGACGGGTCGATAATGAGGTTAAGTTATCTGATCTGTCTCAGTTTTTAATGTTCGTGTTATATAACTAATCTTTGTTTTATATAACTGGAAAAACCCTTTAAGATTTTTAAAAAATTGGTTGCCCTGTTATATGAACTTCATAATTTTACTTTTAATTTTCCTAAATTTTTTTGGTACCATTTTTAACCAATTTTTGTTGTTCTAGATTTACTTATTATTAATCCTTGTATACAAAACTTTTTTTATATGTAAGAATCCTTAGACCTATGGTTTATTACGTCACCCACCGCCAGGGTCAGGTCACGCCCAAGACCAGTCCACCTCCCCATATATTCTTCCCAAGAAATGCCTTAATCCATCAAAAATCTGTTTTTTGGAGAAGCTCGCACCTTAACAGCATTTTCTTTTACACATATATTCCATTCCATTCTGATTCCCTTGTGATCACTGTTCCCTAGCTTATTCCCTATTTCGGTGTCATTTATATGTCAGTTAGTTAACGCTAAGTCTAAAACATAATTTTTCCTTGTTGGCACCTTTATATGTAATCCATAGCCTTCTGTCTATACCAATCTAATGTTGTTTAAATGATCTTTTTATCAGGGGTGACTGCGGATTTCTGGGTGGGCGGCCGGTACGTGAACAAAACGCATGGTTGGACGTGGTTGGACGACTCTCCCATGGATATGGGCTCCCCATACTGGGCTCTCAGGTTAGTCATTCGACGGCTCCCAGTAGGTCAAACATGCTGGTGTAACGTCTATAAAACGTTACATAAGTGTTACTTGCCCCTATTACTCTGGATCATTTTGAGTTCCTTCTCGTTTTCTTACGTATACTTTATTCATCAATGTTGTTTATTCGTGTACTAACTAGTGTTTCCTGCATCAGGCACGGAACCACCTGCCAGGGTCGTAACGTCACCAACGAGGACACCGGCCGGACGCGGCTAGCTAACCACGGTGCCTGCTACCACTACCAGCAGGCGCCCCTCAATTACCCCTCCGGCTGGTGCGTCGCCCTCACCTACCAGCATTACTACTACTTCACCGACGAGGACTGTCTCCTGAAGAAGAGCCCTCTCTGTGTCTACGGTGACCCTCAATATCTCGAGTAGCTCCTGGCCTAACTGTACATGCTCGAGTAACATTTGTTCAACGTCGAACCAGTATTATGAAAGCTGATTCAGTGTTGCATTAATGTCATTTGTCCAGCATTACTCCAGGGAGAAGGGTGGAGCCATGTGATGCAAGGGGGAGGGTGGGGCCATGTGCTACAAGGAAGAGGATGGGGCCATGTTTTGCTATGGGGGGAGGTGGTTTATGGAGCCATGTGCTACAAGAGGGGAGGATGGGCCCATGTTTTGCTATGGGGAGAGGTGGTTTATGGAGCCTTGCATGTGCTACAAGGGGGAGGATGGGGGCCATGTGATGCATAGGGTAGGGGGGGGGATTACGCTGCCTTATACACAAGCATTTTGGGAGTTTTGTTTGCTAATTGATGACAGTAGCATTAATTAGATGTTGAATCCTTTAATTACAAAGAAATGTTGAGGTTTCCAGTTGTTGCCACTCATTTACTCATTTACACTACTTATAAGCAGTAACTACATTATAGTTGATCATTAAATTAGAGGTTTTTAGCTATCATAATTTTAAAATTCATGACTTTAATTTTAAAGTCCTTGCTCTTTGTGCATTATTGACCAATGTTTACTGTATTGCTTGTGAACCAACTATTTACAGGCCATCCTCCTCAAATGATAGTATAGTAATTCTTTGGCCGAAAGTACAAGTAAGTAGCGATGGTCCACCAAAAAAGTTCCCTTTTGTACTATTAATTTTATAGTCCGGAAAAAAATAAAGTTGAAACCAAACTTAATTCCTAGACCCAGTACAGCATATATATGTACTATATTAGGCCTAAGTGTGTATTAGGCGTAGGATTGCTAGATATATTATGTTGCAGTTAAAAAGGTTTCCCATTTGACCAAATTCAGTAATATAAAAGTCAACTTTCTGGTGGTCCATCACTACATATTGGTACTTTTAACTTAATAGTTACTATAAGTGCTACCATTTTAGGAGGATGGGCTGAAATAAATATATGTATTGCATTTTATTTTTGTCTTATTGAAAATCCCCAAAATAAACCGGGTAATAATTCTCGCCGGCGGAGGGCAAAAGCCTGTTCTTAGACTTTTATTGTGGTCTTTCTAGACCAGTGGTTCTCAGCCTATTATGTCTCGGTCCCCCTTTTTCCTACCACATTCTCACCTGTGGACCCCTACAACCACGTTCTCGGCTGTGGACCCCTACAACCATGTTCTCACCTGTGGACCCCTACAACCTCGTTCTCGGCTATGGACCCCTACAACCACGTTCTCACCTGTGGACCTCTACAACCACGTCCTTACCTGTGGACCCCTTCACGTAAACTAAGATATATGACTTGTACAAGAAATTTATCCGAATTTACCTGAATTTGCTTAGGGTCCACTAGCACTCTAGGCGGCTTGTCAAAGGTCCCACCATTTGTCCTGATGATTTTTTCCAGCTGAATTATAAAATTCAACACAGTTTTGCCAGTTACGGCTTCTGCGGGTAGGCGGTTCCATGGTTTTGTAACCCTGTGAGTGTAGAAAGCGATATGTTATGCTGGAAACACTTTGCGTTCTGTGTCTTTATTATATATACACCTTTATGTATCAAATAAGCAACCACTATATCATGTTCTGCATATTTTTAAACATAAATAAATTATTATTATTAATTTTGTATTAATTAACACGCTAAGGTTTACACAGCAATGTGCTGCTAATATATTCTATATGAAGGATAGCAGAGTGTAAATAAAAAACTAGCAATACTTTCCTTTAATATCCCCCATCTCACAGGATGCCTATAGTCAAATATGTACTGTATATAGGCCTATTTGCTAAAAACTAAGCTACATAGCCTTCCCGGCTTGGTGCCTTCTTTTGATAATTACTTACTTGCTAAGAACTATGGTAATCTCAATAGCTTGGCGTGTTAGTGGTTTTGCAAAAATATAAATTATACGAAAGTTATTATATTATCTATTGTTACCTTATTGTGTTGTAAATTATTATGTAATGGTTGGGTTAAATGCGAGTGAGAGGAGGCGTAGAGAGTCGATCACACATCCGGACATTGTCAACATGGCCGCTACCACACAGGTCTCGTGTGAGGATATCACGGTAATATACTCGCTTTATACGTCACGTTGCAGGGTAATAAAGCTGGCGAGCGGCAAGATGGTAGTGTGTAGTATGTGTGGGTGTCCGTGTGTGGGGGCTGGTGGCGTGGAGGCCGTGGTTTGGCCTACCGGAGGGTCAAGATTCAAGTTGGCGCCTCAGCCGATGTGGGAGCAGACGATGGGTAGGGGTTTGACCGGGTGTTTTGCTTTTCCTTCCTTCCTTTTATTGGTCGATTAAGCTTGTGACTTGGTTGCTAGGATAGGTGCTCAAGGGTGCCTACTTAAACTTGATGTCTGAAGCCGGGGATTATATTGAGGTTAAAACAGCAGCTCTAGTTTGGGCCGGCTTAGCGTGCCCTTGGAAATGATAACTTCTGATTTGGGTATTATTATTACTTTTTATTTTTTATTTTCGGGAGCCTTATCATTCAGTACTATGAGAAATGTGTGTGTGTGTCATAATGACTTGAAACTTCATATATACCAATGTAGGCATAAATATATATGGGTGTAATTGAAATTGAGAAATGTCTCATAACAGTTAATGGTTGCATAGTCCCACTGCTTTTAATTTTCTTTCGAAGTAATACAAAAATTTCCCAAAAATAGCAAGAGTCAAATATGTACCCTTAGATTTCTCTATGGAAACAATTGTTTTTCAATTAAATTTTTTAAGTTCAGGTTATATTTGGCATGGTAGGCTTATTCCTATTAAATGCAATCAAAATAAATTGTAACACAGTATCCATGTTTACTTTTTCAGGACACACTACAGGCCATGCGGGCCATTGATGACAAAATCATATACGAGCTGAATGTGGCCACTCCAACACAGTCATTCAGAAATGAAGTGGATCCGTCAATTCACTGCAAGAGTTTATATGATCAAGTATGTCCAAATGTCAGTTTATACTCTCCAAACTTTTCCTGCTAATATTTGTTACCTTTTTATCATATACAGTATTTTAAAGGTAAGTTTCTGTGGCATAGTTTATATAAAGCAATTAGATGTTCCCATAACCAGTTATCATAGGTCAGGCCTTGAAGTTCAGACACTGGTATTGTGATATGTAGCAAACCTCTAGACCAGGGTTCTTGATTGTCTATGATTACCCAATATGTCCATATTCCCCCTTTGCCAGACTGTCAAAATCACCACCACCACCAGTCCTATTAGGTACCAGTATGATTGCAAAATATACCAATAGCTTGGTTTTACTTTACATTTTGTAAAACTAGGAGCAAAATTGATGACAGAAAATTACAAGAATTTTATCATAGCATTTACCATTTTCTTTTATTGTTCAAAGACTGAGTCTCGTACCTCTATTTTGGGGGGTTCCCAGACAACTAAGGGGTATGAATACCCCTAGTTAAGAACAGCTGCTATAGACTTTTTAAATCTTGTTATTGTTCTCTAGTCATATTTTCTAGCTGTTGCTACATAGTCTAGAAATGTCCTGACATGTTCTTTATAAAACAATTGGAAGCATTATTGTTTTGGGACTTAATGCCGTTATTATGTTGGCTAGTTTCCTGTATGCAGATGTTATTTAGTCACTCTACATTGTGTTCAGTATTGTATTATTGTACATGGATATGTAGTTATGTGGGTAATAAATTTTATGTAAAAAAAATTAACCACTGATGAAATTTGGAGTTGCACAGGTTGATAAGATTAACGTAAAATCCCTCTGGTCTACTGCATCAAACGCAGTGAGTTTGGCCTTTAGTTTTCTGTTCTGAGCCTCAATATATTCCTTGTGCATTGGCTTTTGCTATCACAAACATTCACAGACCTACCAGGCCTCTGGACTTTGGCAGGCCAACCAAACATTAGGCTACAATTGGTTATGCTCGGAGCAGAAGGGAGCATGGGAATCAAAAATCAACATAAAAACTGAGAAAAACTGGCCAGAAAATACTAGCACGGCAAAACAAACAATGCATCTTGATTTGAGAGAGTGTGGGAAAGTGGTAGTTTCTGTGTATGGAGTCTGCCTCCACCACATCACTCCCTAATGCATTCCATTTATTAACTACTGACACTAAAAACAAAATTCTGATGTCTTTATGGCTCATTTGGGCACTCAAATATCCACTTGTGTCCCCTAATGCGTGTGCCCCTTGTGTTAAACTGTCTTTGTCTACCCTATCAATTCCTTCGAAAATTCCTTTGTATGTGGTGATCATGTCTTTCCTAACTCTCCTGTCTTCCAGCGATGTGATGTTTAATTCCCGTATTCTCTCCTCATAGCTCATGCCCCTCAGTTCGGGCACTAGTCTGGTGGCAAACCACTGAGCCTTCTCCAATTTATCTTTATGCTTGACGAACTCCATGCTGGAGCGGCATATTTCAGGATTGGTCTGACATACATGGTATACAAGGTCCTGAATGATTCCTTACACAAGTTTCTAAAGGCCGTTCTTATGTTGGCCAACCTGGCATATGCCGCTGAGGTTATCCTCTTGATGTTAGCTTTGGAGGGACAGATCTGGCATGATATCAACCCCCCAGGTTTTTCTCTCTCATTCTAGAAGAATTTTATCTCTCAAATGATACCTTGTATCTGGCCTTCTGCTCCCTACACCTATCTTCATTACATTACATTACATTTGCTCGGGTTAAACTCTAACAACCGTTTGTTGGACCATTCCTTCAGTTTGTCCAGGTCTTCTTGAAGCCTCATGCTGTCCTCTTCTATCTTAATCCTTCTCGTAATTTTGGCATCATCAGCAAACATTGAGAGGAAGGAGTCTATACCCTTTGGAAGATCATTTACGTATATCAGAAACGGGATAGGTCCGAGTACAGAACCCTCTGGGACTCCACTTGTGACTTCCTGCCAATCTGAGGTTTCACCCCTCACAGTAACCCTGCTTCCTATTGCTTAGGTATTCCCTTATCCTCTGGAGCACTCTACCATTTACTCTTGCCTGTTTCTCCAACTTATGCACCAGCCCCTTATGGGGTAGTGTCAAAGGCTTTCCGACAGTTCAAGAAGATGCAGTCTGCCCAACCTTTTCTTTCTTGCTTAATCTTTGTCACCTGATCATAGAATTCTATTAAACCTGTGAGGCAAGATTTACTATCTGAACCCATGTTGATGGCGTGTCACGAAGTCCCTTCTCTCCAGATGTGCTACTAGGCTCTCTCTCGCTGTCATTTCAATCATCTTGCATGATATACATGTTAAAGACACTGGTCTGTAGTTCAGTGCCTCTTGCCTGTCACCCTCTTTGTATATTGGGACTACATTAGCCGTCTTTCATATTTCCGGTAAGTCTCCCATCTCCAGCAACCTACTATACACCACGAAGAGTGGCAAGCAAAGTACTTCTGCGCACTCTTTCAGTATCCATGGTAAGATTCTGTAGGGGTTTGTGTGTATGGGACTAGGAGTATGTGCTGGTCATGATGTTCCCCATCTCTTGCCCCATCAGTGAACAATAAAATGGTGCATTTCAAACAATAAAATGCTGTCAGGTGGTTCCTTCTGAACTTTTAATAAGTCCCATTGTGCATCAATATTATGAATTCAACACTTGATTGTACTTGAGCATTACTTTTGTCCAGTTAATCCTGTGCAAGTATATTTGGCCATACTGTATATATAACAGCCTGTAGATGTATGTATTGTTCTACTTTAAATAATAAAGATACAAATATACATATTTGTACTATATATAAAGCTGTGTAATACAACCTAATATTCCAGTGCTTGCCCAGTTGTATTTCATGTGGGACAATACATGTTGTATTGAAAATTGGTTATTACACGGATATTCCTCACAAAGTAATCTTACTGATAATGCCGTATTTTTTGGTGTATAAGACCGCACCTAATTTACAAAGATATTTTGTAGGAAGGTGCAGAACAATCACAGTAAATTTCATTGTACACATACTAAGTGATTTTCAAGTGAATTCGTAAGGAAAAACGTATAATTTTTACGTGTAAATACCATGTACTGTATATTCGGGTAGTGGAATAAAAATACACATCTTACCTGTTGGCAAATACGGTAATTTGTTGTGTTCATACTTTCTATTGTAATGGCCATCGTAACTCATAATTTCTCATATTTAGATTTTAACCATTTAAGCTAGACATTATTTAGAATATTCTTTGAAGATATGAAATAATATATACTGTATGATACACAGTATATCAACGGTTATGCTTTCTCTGCCTGTGCTTATAAAAGTACTTTGGGTTTCAAAGTAAATGCAAATAAAGCCCAAAATGAATATAAATATTGCTTTATCAAACTGCCCTTTGCTAATCTTATATGATGACCAAATCACACATCAGAATATGGAGTAACGTTTTCTTTATCTTCTGATGTGTGGTTTGAGTCATCTTCAGCCGTGTTATTGTGACTCGTCTGCACTGATCTTATATATCCGGTCAATCTTACTCATTGAATTGTAAAAGTTAGCTGGGATGCTTTTTCAAAATAAATCTGGCGTACAGTATACTGAACTGAATATACAGTTTGTAGGTATTTTTAGTCATTTTAACTTTGAAATTTTGTAAGCTTTTTATGTTAATTGATCATAACGCAGTATTCGTTTCTCCTCTATTTTAGATCGTGAGTGAACGTCTGACGTGGTATTCAGGAGGAGTGCGGCCAGTAAGGTCATTGGGAGATGATTAATGGAACAACTGTTTAGTCATGAACCACTCAGCTGCTGCTAGAGACCGTTACATAGACAGCTTTTTGGAACTTGGGCTATATATATATTGAGTCATTCGTAATTTGTATTTTTGTAGTAGTTGAACCATTGATCTTAATCCTTGACCTTTCTTTGTCCTTGTGTCTAATTTAATATTTCTTGCTATAGTTTTTAATTTTTATTATGTGACGATGGTAAAAATTAATGATTTTAGTATTGAAGTGATTGGGAAAAAGAAAGCAGGGACAGTTTGATAGCACAAAAGTGCACAAATACCGTATTTCTCTGCATATATGACGCACATTTTGCAAGGATACTTTGTGGATTTTTTATTTTATCTTTTATAGTATCTTATACATTTATTGACAGTGGTTTTTAAAGCACAGTTACCCGATTAAGATATTCTTTCATATAAGCTATGACATCAAGCTTAAACTTAATTACTGTATAACAATGCGTCTTATTCACCGGCAAATACGGTAACTATCAAATGTAACTGTTAAAGCAGAGCGTTTAACTTGTTGATGTAATACAGTGATGGTTTGAGAACGTGGAGAATACAACACAAAATGGGACGTAAATAATTGAAAATATACTAAAGAGTAAACAACTTCTTTTAATTGGCTTAATTTTTTGAGGAACTTAAACTTTCATAACAATGATAAGGTAATTAATAGGCTTGAGCCATAAAAAGCTAATGCATTATACCACTTGCCTACTATAGCCAACTAATTGATATAGGTTGATTAGGAACTAAAGTTACTTATAAGATAAGTATACAGACAGCAAGTCACAATAACATGGCTGAAAGTTAGACACCCAACCCTCATCTGAAAAAAAAAAGTGACAGTTTAGGTCTGTCTTGGACCATTGTGAAGTAGTGGAAGTAGTAGACAATATATGGAAATAGATCTTTAAAAGGTCATTTGGCCCAGGATTTGAATTGTATAAGACTCATAGTCTTAGTTCTAATTGACTGAAGTGTGAGTGTTTTAGTGGATGGGTTTTGTATGATAAATGAAAGTTTGATATTTCAGTCTTCACGTATAAGGCTTGAAATTGCTTGCTGCACATAGTTGTGTAGAATACCAATATCAAAGTAGACCATTTCTTGCATCCACTTTATCATGCTTGCAAGCTCTTCCCTGTTATCACATTTGTAGTTCTTACAAAGTTTTTTTTATCACCAAATCTGTCTACAGTATATCTGATACTGTATGTTGTCTGTCTTCCCCTTTCTTCTGTGGGTACTCTTCTCAATATGGGTGGTAATAGCAGAAAGTGTCTAGGCAACCCTTAATTTTTATTGACATGCTATTATCTTGAGCAGTCAGGGAACTTGTACAAAATTACTTTTTTTTTGTTATCTACCACAGAGTAATTCATGTTATCAGGAATAAAGCCTATATTTAGGCTTACTGTGGTCCCCCCTATGCCAACTACTGACCTTCCCCAGGATGCAGCCCACAATTGCATAACTCCTGGGTAACTTTGCTAGGTGACCAGAGCCTCGGGTAAAGGGTAATATGCCCAACAGTGTGTTCTGCTCGGGGATTGAAGCCAGGTCCATCAGCTGTGAGTCAAGGATGTAGACAACTCTGCTACATGACCCAGTTTATTTTTACCTTCACAAGTGTGGATTGACAAGAAGAGAACCTTTGATAAATAAATACTGTACAATAGAGTACATGAAGGGAAGAATAGCCAGCAAGAGTTATGTCTGGCCTTGGCATAGGTGCCAAAACATGATACTCGGGATGTTGTACACCCCACACAATCTGATACATTCTTAACTATGCTGCCCTGATACTGATCAGGCTCTCCATGAGAGAAATTTGTCTATCCAATCAAAATGTAGCCATGATTGACATTACATGGGGGCATAAAATTATCAAGATCATCATGAGTGATTAGTTTACTGACAAACCAGCTATTATACCAGACTAGCTAAATAATACCAGATATTATTTTATCCATTTAACTATAAATTAAAATGTACACATTTTCGAACAGTTGTTTTAAATTTAGAGAGCTTATGAGACTAGCATGTATTGCAAGGTGTTTGAGATAACTGTAGCTCTTGTGACAGGAGGACTATGCCAGGGTATGCGTGAATGCATATGAAACTCGGAGCCCATGCAATAGTTGAGAAGGCTGCCAACCCAACAGCATTGAAACACATTTGCTTGAAAAATCTAGTGTGCCTATAAAATGTAATTTCAAAATGCATTGTTTTCACAATATATCCGTAACTTAATTTCCCCTCGTATTAGCATCTTGTTTTTTATCAAGGACATGTTGACTGCTCTGTGCTAGGCTTGGTGCCTTCTTGTGATAATTACTTATGTCCTAAGGAAGATGAAGCATGATACCTTGGCCTGTTGCACTTAATTTTCATGTACATGCAGTATTCAACAATCCCCTGGGAGCACAGTGGTGACACACTCGCCCCACACTTCACGATAGATTTGTCTGGGTTAGTCCTGGCCAGGGAGGATTGTCTGGGTATCAATCCTTAACTGATCACCTCTGTTCTCCCAGCAGTAATTGGGTACCTGGTTGTTAACCGATTGGTTGGTTGTGTTCCAGGGAAAACTAGTGGGTAAGGCTGACCATGAGCTATGGGAAAGGAAAGCTCTCGGCCTGTTAACAGGAGTCGGAAGTTGTCTGTTCCTGTACTCGCCTGTGTAAAAAAAAATGGTATAGGTTTTCAGACTGATGAACAAATAGAAAGTCATCATTGATTCTTTATTTACTATTTTTTATGCATAAATGATGATCAAATATAACTATTCAATGAGAGCTCAAACTCGCTCACAAGATTGTGTGTGGTTTGCCTTGATGGGTTGTCAAGATCCTAAACTCTGACTTCATATGTAGGTAGAGTGCAGTAAACATTAATTCTTATCTGTATATGGCCCAATTTAATCCTTATTTAATAATTTGTGCATATTTTATTCTTTGTCCTTAAAAATTGAACCCTTTCTCATGATTTAAGTCATATGAATTGGTTTTGCCTAACCTAAAGAGTTTTAACCCAGACAACCCACTAACGTATTAAGGCCAGTGCTCATTAGCTTGAGGAAATGTCAATGTTGCTGTGCTTTTAATTTTACTCTAGTACCATAATTTTGATGCTATGGTCAAAAGTGTGATGCATTTAATGTTAGGACTGGTTAAACAAAATTACCACCCTTTGAAGACCATCTTGAATCTGTCAGTGGCTGGTAGTGACTTCTTATTGCTGTTGTCGATGGTTACATGGTAATGCTGTATACAGCAAGGAATTTATTGTAAAATACTATTTTATCAGCAAAAACAACTTAAAAGCATAATGGGAAATTCTTTGACAAATATTTCAAGGATTTCTTCAATAGTGTATTTAAACACTTAAAAGCCTTCTTGTAAAAAATGAGTGAGCGAGTGAGTTTATAGCAGTTCTGAGGAGGATTCTAAATATGAGCATACATTTAAAAATAAAGGGTTTCCAGGGAAAATAAGTCATAGATGTATTATAGATCGGTGCTTTTTAATACAGTACTGTACTTATATGTTTCTAATTATTATTTAAAACTAACTCCTGTGCACAAAGTAAGGTGCTTGGAAGGGATGTGGATAAGGGTTTAAATAGGACAGGGAAAAGGAATGGTGCCCCACCACTTAGATGGTCGGGGATTGAACACTCGCCTGCAAGAAGTGAAACCGTTGCTCTACCATCCACTCAGTGTTTGGCTCCTGCACACAAATCAACATATGCTATTTATTCTCTATTTGATTTCTTAACTAGATTTTCAGGTGCACCATGATGTAGTGCTTTTAAATAGTTAAACCCTTGGACTGTTTAATTATTTCATCGTCATTCATTCCCATACTTTTATCATTTCATACATGACTAAATTTCCTTGTTTTTAGTACTTATCATCTTGCTCTCACTTGTGTATAATTTTATATAAAATGTATTTTGTCACAAGAAAAACAAATATTAAAAATTTAATTCCCCAGTTTAGGAAGCATTGCTATAGATCAGCCCATCCTCATAAGTAATGATGGACCATCGTTATTCATACTGACGTAAAAAGCATTTAGAAAGTAGAAATCGGTACCATTGAATTTGGACAAACTAAAAAAAATTTTGTAATGGTGTTACGAAGAAAATTTAACCTAGTTTAACCTTCCTAGGCCTAATACATGTTATCTGAGGCCTATTATATTACATATATGTGCTATACTAGGCCAAGGAATATTTATAGTAAGTTTGGTTTTTAGCTTTGTTTTTGGGGACTATAAAATACCAAATTTTATCTAATTGTCCTTTACATCTATGTATGCACGATGGTTCACTTAGTCACTAAGAGTACGATCTAAACAGGACGATGGGTTGTGTAGATTTGATAGTGAGGCTCAGCATTTTATTTTCTGCATTTTAATTTGGCTATTTTTTGTTTTCCTGTTGCAGTTAAATAAGATATATGATCAAAGAGATTCGATGATTGAAACCTGTTTAAGTGAATCAAAGATGAAGCTAAGAAGTATACAGCTAGAGGCCAGTCACAAGCTGGATGATCCTCGTATTTTGAGACGTCTTCGTACCGAACAGAGTAAGGTACGTCTCCAGTTCAGAGCCTTCATTGGCTGCTGCCATCAAATGGATGTTTCACATTGAAATCACAACAACATGATGAATCTGAGAAAATATTGAAATCTTATGATATCAAATCCACATCCCTGGAGTGCATGTACCTGAAGAGTTCAGAGATGTGTGTTCGATACTATTGTATGACTTCAAAATTTTCTTAACTGAATGTTGATATACTGTTCCAGTGCTATTTTTTCATCTTTGCTTTTCACCTCAAAAATATATAAAATGAAATGATGCAAAAAAAAAAAAATGGTATTAGATGGCTCGTGGTCCTAAAAGTTGAAAGCTACAGGTAAGGTTAAGGTTGGTGGTTATAAAGTTGACAAAAACTGGTAGATGGTAAATGTTAAAATTTATAAGGTGGCATTTTTTAAATTGTTTAGGACAAAGCAACACAAGTACAAATTACAATAACTTTTATTATCTATTTAAACAAAATTTTGCTCTTATTTGCAGTCTGTTTTAGACAGATTAAATAAATTAAATAAGGTAGTGTTTCAACACCATTGAAAGCTGTAAAACACTGACAAATTATAAGGAAGCCAGGACTCAGAGCCTAACTCATTGTATAATTAAGGTACTGTAATTACTCAAATACACACACAAATACCTCACCAGTTGATTGATAGTTGAGAGGCGTGACCAGAGAGCCAAAGCCCAACCCCTGCAAGCACAACTTGGTGAGTACACACTCACTACATTTCCTCCACAGACAACTCAGTAAAATCAGCCAATTAACTTCATTTAATGAATACTGTACAGTACTTTCCTTTTGGAAGATGTTCTCAGATGGGGACAAGACAGACCAAGATGTCATCACTTTCATTTCATGTGTGCAGATTGGATTATTTTTTTCAGCCACATTTTTGTGACATTATGCACTTTTACTATTTATTATTCAGCAATCAATTTGAAGTCTGTTTTTAATTTTGCACCTTTTGACGCTTTATTTTTTTTCCAGATTCGAGAGCTGCAAAATGAAGTAACTATTGAAGAAATTATTCGAGAGCGGAGTTTAAAAGTATTTGAAGAAAGATGCCGCCAGTACTATAAGCCTCCCAAACCTGAATGACATAATAGTTCCTTAGGGGATTTATGACCCAAGTATTGGTCAAGTCCATAGAACAGTACAATTGTCACTTGTATCTTCTCTTAAGGTCCAATAGGAGAATGTAGATTGAAATATAAATACAATTTTACTAAAATGGTCAGTCTGCATTATCTAAATATTAATATTTTGTGACCAAATTCCCTGTTTGTTTGGCAGCTGATGCCACTGTGCTATGGCAACAGTCAGAACTTAGGTATTTTGTTATTTTTTTTTTCTCTAACGTTAAGGAATTGTGCTGTACGGGCAGTATATGATAGCAGTTTTCATGTTTGTTTTTACATCAATATATCATTGCCTCAGGTACATAATTGTAATTCTGATATTTAGTTGTCTGATTGCTCATCTTTATATTTAATGTTTTACGGAGTAGATGTATATAGTAAAGTTGTTCTGGAATAAAGTTTATCTGAAATATCTAGGTGTTTATACAGTGCCACTTTACGCAAAACTGTTGCTTTAACAAAATCATTCAAGCCCATGTGTATAGTATACACATGTATATTAAAGTATACAGTAATTACTCTGAGACATATATTTTGTTAAATAAGGTCAGAATGCAGGAAATAACTTGATTTGGGGTAATGTATATGATGGGCTGTGGGAGTAATGCTTTCCAAATAAATCACTTTGCTATCAAGTTGCTTCATTTGCCTTTTCCTCAACAGGAAACAGATATTGCAAATGAATTACCTAGAAACTTAAAATAATCTGAGAGAGATGATGCTATGTAACTTTCCTGGCTATGTAGCAGCCAGAGTGATGGATCATTTGAATGTCCTTCGACACGGATGGTGGTACTCTTAATGGCAGATGCCTTCTTGTGTTAATTACTTTAATGAATTTTATCTTTGCTCATTAAATAATGTTAATAGTTGGAAAATATATTTCTTGGACTAACTTGTTTAGCTAAAATAATTTGGGGGTTCAGTCCCTGAGCCCATTATGTGCTGCTGTAATCCTTTCCACAACCACCCGCAGGATAGATATGGGGTTCGTAATAATTGAACTATAAACTTAAGCTTGACTTAATTGTGGTCATTTGTTTTGCCAACGAGCACAATTAAATTTCCCACATTTTGTATCCATTAATGAGCAAGTGTGACTAGGTGTGTGGAGTTGGAACCATTTGCCATTGTTTTAAAAAGTACTCCAGAGTGCAGTGTTAAAATAAAAGGCTAAAACTAGGTTAGGAAAGTGACATACAATGAAAGATTTGGTTAGGAAAAGATGCATGACAGCATGGTGGTGCCAACTTCGGTGTAGTAGAATTTAAAACCTGAGCTAGAATAAAACTGACATGGTGGCATTACACTGTATTCCATATACAAAACAATTCTCTTATTGTGGTTATGATAGGTTGCGTTGAGATTGGTTTACAGAAAGAGTAGGAATGGCGGTGAAATTGTTCTCGGGTCTTAGACCCTACTTTTTTTTTTTTTTTTTGAGATATATACAAGAGTTGTTACATTCTTGTACAGCCACTAGTACGCGTAGCATTTCGGGCAAGTCCTTAATCCTATGGTCCCTGGAATATGATCCCCTGCCACGAAGAATCGTTTTTTCATCCAAGTACACATTTTACTGTTGCGTTAAACAGAGGCTACAGTTAAGGAATTGCGCCCAGTAAATCCTCCCCGGCCAGGATAGAACCCATGACATAGCGCTCGCGGAACGCCAGGCGAGTGTCTTACCACTACACCACGGAGACTGCAGTCTTCTTCTACTTCAAGACTACTTCTTGTGTAGTTGAGAGTGTGGTGCATTATAAGCAGCAGAAAAGAGCAATCAGTATGTGTTAGAACAGAGTATTGAATTCAGATATAGATGTGGCAATTAATTGAAAGAGTGAGGGCAAGATGGGGAGGTCATGTTAAATGCTTGCATGATGGTAGGCTGGTGTGTGTGTGTGATTAAATTGGGTTGCCTCTAATGACTGCAGAAGCTGCTGCTAAGGAAACAGTTTGCACCTGTTCCATCTCTCAGAAACTTTCCTTAATTGGATTTCCACCCTGTCATTCACAACTTTGCCCACGACCCATTGGAGAGAGAACAAATATGAAACATATCTTGCAATGTAAAAGTTTGCGCTTTCAAGGCTACACATTAAAAAAAATATAATGCAAGTATGAACTCAAGATGGGGTATCTTAATTATCACCTTGTTAAATTTCCATATAAATGCCTAAAAAATCAAACCCACGATCTGTTAAAACATTATTATTAATATTTAACCTTGTACATAAACCCATGAGAGGTTCAAATTACCTTAAGTTACATATACAGCTCCTTCATAGTCTCCCTGGCTTGGTGCCTTCTTATGATAATTAATTACTTACATATACAGTTTTTGAAAGCCTTGGTCTTGTAATCTCCACTGATAAAAAAAAAATTAAGTCATTTTAACATACAAACTATATAGTGACCACAAAAACTAAAAAGACTGCTTCTTAAATAAGTTTGTATTTTGATGCTTCTGTATACCTAAACTGCAATTCAACACTGGCAGTGTGATAAACTCTTCAACACTGGCAGTGTGATAAACTCTTCAACACTGGCAGTGTGATAAACTCTTCAACACTGGCAGTGTGATAAACTCTTCAACACTGGCAGTGTGATAAACTCTTCAACACTGGCAGTGTGATAAACTCTTCAACACTGGCAGTGTGATAATCTCTTCAACACTGGCAGTGTGATAAACTCTTCAACACTGGCAGTGTGATAAACTCTTCAACACTGGCAGTGTGATAAACTCTTCAACACTGGCAGTGTGATAAACTCTTCAACACTGGCAGTGTGATAAACTCTTCAACACTGGCAGTGTGATAAACTCTTCAACACTGGCAGTGTGATAAACTCTTCAACACTGGCAGTGTGATAAACTCTTCAACACTGGCAGTGTGATAAACTCTTCAACACTGGCAGTGTGATAAACTCTTCAACACTGGCAGTGTGATAAACTCTTCAACACTGGCAGTGTGATAAACTCTTCAACACTGGCAGTGTGATAAACTCTTCAACACTGGCAGTGTGATAAACTCTTCAACACTGGCAGTGTGATAAACTCTTCAACACTGGCAGTGTGATAAACTCTTCAACACTGGCAGTGTGATAAACTCTTGGGAAGTAACAGTTAGTTTAGTTCATTTATTATGCACCCCATACCCATCTTGTGGGCGGTAGTGGAAAGGGTTACAGAAGTTACAAAATTCAATATGTCGTCACATCATCAATGGGTTCGAGATCGACCAAAAGTACAGTTTCTAAATTAACCAACTTAGATATGTGGAGAGCTAGTGTCATAATTTATATGTTTGTTAGTGTCACCTCTTCCAGTTGATGTGTGCGCGCGTTTTTTTTTTGTTTGTTACAGGGGGATGACATTATATGTAGTCAGGGAAGCCGGTAACGCCAAGTTATATTACTGAATATATATGCTTTACGACAATAAATGATTTATTAAAATAAATTTAATTAATTAGTATATAGCACACAACGCACGGTATATATATTTTAATATTAAATCCAGCAAAGCTAAATCGTAAATATCTCTCTCTAATATGTAATGCGATTTTCATTACTTTTTGTTTTTATAAAAACATGAGCTAAATAATAGTAGCGTTTTCTGCATGGGCTGACAACATGGGAGATGTGTGTGGACATTGATTAGTGTGGGCTCCCTGCACAAACAAACGCCACCGACGCCATATTTTCCTCCCATGTTGGCGTCTCGTTCATTTATTTAAGGTTTTTCTCCCCCTGTGAGTATCACAACCACTTCCAGTCTCTGTTAATGTCAAAATTAACATTTTGAACTTCCCTCCCACGTCCCTCATCAACTGATTTTATCCCAAAACTCCGGGAGAGAGAAAACTTCAAGAATTATTTTTGTTTGTGAAGTCCTAGAAAGGGTGAGGTAAGCCCAAGGAAGACCATGACAGCTGATATCAATAGCTCCAATATAAGACCTAGGCCTGGTCCAGATGCTTTTGCTGTAGGTGAACTGTTATTTCGTTTATTAAGCCCCACCCCAAGGCTGTCCAGTCATGATGGTAACGCAGTGGTTATGCTCCCTTGTGCACACTGGTGAGGCCAATGAAGTATCTTGTGTAGCTTGCAAGTCATGCGCCCAGCGACTTGTTGCTCCTCATGGTGTATGTATGTATGTATGTATGTATACGTAGTGTGTAGTTAGACGCTCCTGGGTGATGGTCACTTAATACGCGCGACGTTTTCACCACATATTTCTTTGGTCAAATTCAAACCTGCCTACCCGAACGCGACCTTGCATAACCCATCCATACTCGACTTTGTATAAACTATCTGAACTCAAACCTACATAATCTACCCATACCAACCTTGTATTGCCTAGCCAAACCCACGTTTTGCACAACCTCCCCGTACCCGATCTTATACAACCTACCCTGACTCAACCTAACAATCTTATCCAGCTGACCCAAACAATTTATAGTTTTAATCATTAGTAAATGAGCTTTGTGTGAAACGCCTGTGTACAATTTGACCACATCCCACCCTTGTAGTGTAGAAGGGCAGTTCATGGTTAAGTAGTTATTGTTTATTTTAAATATTATTTATATTACTATTATTTTTGTGTTGATTTTGCTCATAGTTGCTTTGGTAGTAAACAAACTTGGTGGGGTTAGCTCATAGACTAACTTAAGTTATGTTTAATGCTGAAATTTGATAAAATGGCAGTTTTTTCCCCAAGTAGCTTGTTATTGATGTAGCTGGCCGCCTCCAGGATGCAACCCACAGCAGTTGATTAACTCCTGGGTAGCTATTTACTGCTAGGTAAACAGAGGCATCAGGTGTAAGGAAATGTGCTCAAGGTGCCCCCCCCCCCATCCTCCCCTAGGCCTAGGATGTATCCTGACTTTCCCAGGATGCAACCCACATCAGTTGCTTAACTTCTGCATACCTATTGTTGATGGGTGAGCAGAAGCATCAGATGTATGGGAACTTGCCTTATATCTGACCACCTTGCTTGTCCTTCCTGGGAATTGAGCTCAGGTTCAATACTGTACCTGGATCATACCTGGAGAGGGTTTCAGGAGTTTTTCAACTCCCTGAGCCCGGCCTGGGGTCTAGCGTGACTTGATAACGTGGCCTAATAGGCTGTTGCTTGGAGCAGCCTGGATGCCCCCATATCCACTACAACCCAGTTGGTCTGGCAACAAGAACTTGTGTAGTTGCCTCGTGAAGTCCATCTTTGTTCCAGCAATATTTCTAATGCTTGCTGGGAGAGTATAACAGATTGTGAGTCGCCTGTGCACTTAGGGTTTTCGTTGACATGATTAATAATAATTCATTGTCTGGGGACAGGAAGCCAGGTTATACATACAGTACATGCTAGGCTTATACTGAGGTACCCCCCCCCCCACAGGGTCAAATTACTGACCCTGCCAGGGATGCAACCTATTTACTGCTAGGTGGACAGGGGCATGAGGTGAAAGGAAATGTACCCAACCATTTTCCTACCGCCCAGGATTTGAACCTGGAGTACTCGATTGTGAGTCGATAATGAACCCGACTGTACTACCGGACCTTTCTAACCCGGGACTACCGGGACTGTTTGGTGTGGTGGTAAGTCGTCTTTGTGAATCACTTTAGGATGCTGTTTTGTGCATTTTTGTCCTCCAGGTTTTTGTCCAGGCTATAATAACAATTGATTGCTGTATTCACCTAGTTGAAAGGTCTGAAACTCTTGTTGCCATGCTTGTCTGAGTGTGGCACCTAAATCATTGAGATAATAGTAGTGCAAACTTTTTTTTTTTATATTTATATAAAAGAATGAAGAAATAGTGCTCCTTTATCTAATTAAATATTCTTAACCACATGCCCAAAAAAATTTGAGAGAATTTTGAAGCTATACAATGAGATTGAACCTCATGTTATGCATTCACCTTCAGAAAAGCCCCATTGAACTCTAAAATGAACTTAGCTAACATAATGAATTTAATGATATGACACTCACCCGACGAGAAAGCCTTCCTGAAGGGAATCGAATGCTTGCAGGAACAATTATGGGGAGGGGGGAGAGAGGGAATGGAATACATCCCATAGGGAATGAGGTTAAAAAAATAATGCCTTGTGCATACTGGGAGATTGCCGGGTGAGGGCGTCATTGGGCCCATATTCTCTGGTAATGTAAACTTGCTGAAAAGCCAAGTCAGGAGTGAGCTGGGAAAGTCATGTATGAGGGTTTATATGTTTGCTACTTCACTTTCGTTTACACAGTGCTTGGAATAACTTGATTTGTTTACACATAATTGACAAAAACAGTGATTGAGTACTGTACCGTATATTGGGCTCTAATGTAATGTGTGTGCCTATATTGCTTGTAGGTTTATTTCTGCCACAGCTCAAAGGAAGTGTGTTGCAACTCGCTCCTTTGCTGTTATTCCTCAGGTAATATCAGTCTAAAATAGATTCAAATACAGGAGGAACATACCATATTTTGATTTGATAATCACCTTGCTGATGGTACAACATAACCTCGTCTCTAATGAGCAATTAAAAATTATAGCAGATTTTTTCATGGGTCTAGGTTTACTCCATTATGTCTCCATATATATACAGATGTATGATAACTAAATTTATATCATTTGTATAAAAACCAAGTTATGATAACTATAATCAATGTATAATAACAGCATTACCCCAGAGATCAACTTACGAGAGTAATCGCTCTCTAAGGGTCAATAACGAGCCAACCTAATTAACCCCTCACAGCTGCAGTGTTTATATAAAACAAGCGGCAACATGAAAGGCTCTACATCTATTCAATTGCTTTGCGAATCAATTTGTCTAACTCCAGTGTACCTGTTTACTACCAGGTGAGGCATCAGGGAATGTGTCCAAGATCCCCTTAGGTCATCTACGGATAACCTTCCCCAGGATGCAACCCACAGCAGGTGCCTAACTCCTAGGTACCTATTTACTACTAGGTACACTAAATAAAGGCATTAGCTGAAAGGGAACATGCCCAACTGTTTGTCCTGTGTGGAAATCAAACTGGGATCCTCGATTGTGTGCCTCATTCTACATTGTAGCCTTGAAAGAAGCATTTGGAGAAACTTGATTTAAATACTCCAACCCACACAAATAAAGGATTGAAATGAAAGTGGCAACATATTTTACCCTTATCAAGTCTTGACAAGGAAGAGTGGAAGAGTTTACTTGATAAGAATCCAGGATGGACTGATTACTTCCATGGTCCAGGAGGTCAAAATGTCATCACTTTCATTTAATTTCAAATGTGGGTTGGGTTACTTGTTTCAGCCACATTGTGACTTATTCTCTGCATGACTTTAATATTAATACCTTGCATGACCTTCATGCTACATAACTGGCTATAAATATACTTTAATGTGAATACTGATCTTAATGTACATCCATCTATACTGTAGATTTAAATTAACCTTTATTTCACTGATTAAACATATGCATGAATTAATATTGTGTTGCATGCATTTATGTGTGAGAATATTTTGAGAAAGAAACCTTGAATTTCTAAGTACGTGTACAGTACTGTATGTTTTAGTGTTTAAATAATCTATTAAAGCTCTGCTTCATTGTCCTAAATAAACATATATGTTTTCTTTAAACATGTTTTCTAATTTGCATCAGATTTATTGCTTGCTGTGTGTGTAATGCAGTTACTTGCTAGTCAGGTCTATATAAGATAGCAGTTCACATTCGTCAGCAAAGCGTTGTTCAAAATTAACCACTGCGTTATTACTGTGCAGCCTACTTTGTATAGTTTTAGTGAAAAGTAGTGTTTCTTAAATGTGATGTACTTAAACCTGTGTTTGTAAACTTAACCAAATATTAATGGTTTTCAGTGTTTAATTAATTATGCATTAAATGCAGTTTTATGTTATGATGGTATTGTGTATTATTAATTGCTTTGCTTTTCCTTATCCAAAACTTTTCTCTCATCCTAAAATATAATTCAGCTTATCCTGCAGAAAGCCAAACACTGTATTGGAATCCTCATTATTGTCCTATAGTCCTGTTCTTATGTAACTTTACGCATTTCTTACTAACCTCTTGTGATAATGGTGAATCTATTGTCGTAGGATAGGTCTGGATATTTTCATTGCTTTTGATAAGGGATCAATTCTAAAAAATTGCAGTCACTTGACTTTCCTCGAATGTTATAGTTTCTCTTATGGGTCCTCTTTGTTTTTGAAGATGGCTTAATTTCTTGCACTTACACGATGAACATTTGTCATTCTGCAGGGTTTCCTGCAGGACTCCAAATGGGTTTCATCATTAATTTTTCATTATAGGGGGACAGGTATCCTGCTTAGGCTTATTGAAGTCCTGCCAGGCCAACTACTGACCTTCCCTAGAATGCAACCCACAACAGTTATTTAACTCCTAGATCCTTATTTTACTGCTAGGTGGGTCTCTGTTTTACTGCTTGGTGAACAAAGGCATCAGGTGAAAGAAAACTTGCCCAACCATTTGTTTGGTTGTGAATTGAAGTGGGGTCTTCTTTGACCCCAGGATTTTAAGTCTCTTATTTGTGAGCCAAGGACATAGACTACTGCACTGTGTATTGTGTTATATAACCCAGTTTTATAGTTTTGTACAAGAATCTAAATTTACCTAATTTTATCTGCATTTCATGTGATGGGCCACCATCTCTTGTGGTTTTGATGGGAACAGGAAGCCACTTGTTTGTCAAAAGTCCCCCTACCTATTGTTCCTGAGGATTTTTTCCCAAGTGAACTTTGAAGTGGAGTACTACCTTGACATTTAAGGCCAGATGTGGGATATTACTTTTCTTGACTACTATTGCAAGCAACATTTCTAATTTGTATATGGCAGATAACTTCCTGGTCTGGCAGTAACTGCCAGAACAGTGGGTACAAAGCTTGGGTACATTATTCCAGTGAGATTCCTATGTGGATGGTCCTTCTGAGACAGGTGTTCACCGGGTCAAGATTCACTTTGGTCTTGAGAATCCCTTTCAGTGCAGAAGCAACGATCTAAAGGACAGCGATATGAAATTCACCACTTCTTGGTACAATGCATGTTGATGGAGAATTACATTCTCCAATGACCTGGACCAAGATTCATCAAGCATTTACACACCCACGTAAGAAACTGTTTAATGAATGAGGAAAGATGTACAGGTTTTGTAAGTGGTGGTGTAACTGCTTGATGAATCCAGGCCATGTAGGGTTATTATGTGATTTACGAAGCCCTCCTTTCTAAAAGTATAGGAGACTTGACTAACACCCGTACTCTGCACCTGTTTCATGTGGCAACTTCATGGTGCAAGGGTTAATGAATTATTGACATTAACTGAACATAAAAAAAAAACTGAAAAATCTAAATACTGTATTGCCAAACCACAATTTTCATTCCAAATCACAGTGAACATAAATTAAAAAATCATTAAAATATTGCTAAATCCAATAATTTGTTGCACCACCTGTCAAGCGCCTTAGGGTGCTGTGTGCACTGCAGGAGAATTTTTTTTTTTTTTTTTTTTTTTTTTTTTTTGGTGAAAGGGCATTCTGTCTCAGATAATATCAGCCAAGGTATATGTACCTAATTTGAATAAAGGTTAGGAGAATTCTGTGTTCCTGTAGCACTATTGACCTCAGTTATGATAACTTAAGACTTATCAATATGATAATCACTGATTTTTATCTCTTTTCAGGAAGCTGAAATTTAAAAGTAGAGTATAATACAATAATTTTATATGAAGCATTTCATCGTGAACTTTACTGTACTGCCAAATTAAACTGCTGTTTACCATCTTAAGATTTCTTAATTTTCATTTAACCTGGACCCTCTATCAGTATCTTTGATATTAAAGTCTCTCAATTTCTCATGTAAATTGCAGAAGATGTAAAATACACTGCATTATACTTGTTGTGTAATACTTTTAAACTGCCAAGAACTCTTTAAATATGCAAACCTGTATGTTACAAATACAGTGAATGCTCTAATGTTTCTGAAAATGTTCATGGAAGGCTCCTACTTGGCTGGAAATCAGAAATCTATACAACACAGTACAGTACATTAATGATGCAGTAAGAGATATATTTGTGTTCTGCTTGATGCTCTGTTGTTATTCATTGGAAAATCAGTATGCCAGCAAATATAATATGTAAGGTTATATATTTGCTGATATATATCAGTACTAGTACACACAAATTTAACGAACTAGTCTCCTTCATAATGTGGAGATACAGTAATATTCTCCGATACAGTATCGGAAAAAGATATGGTTTATATATTGACAGGACTGTTAGTAGATGCTATGTCACCACAAAATTCACTGCCATTAGCATCACTTTCATTGCTTGAAGCATACAAGTCTTTAGTTTCAATAATTGAGAAATTCAATAATAATTTTTCAAGAGTATTAGAGGAAATGTTTAAAATATTGTCAGTGCGTTCCAAGCAGAAGCCTGTTGGACTGAGTTATCACACGTTAGGCCTGGTCCCAGGCTGAGCTTGCAAAGTAGAACAACTCCCAGAGCCCACTTCAGGTATATATATATATATATTCCAGGCATTCTTTTTCAAATGGCTTAATGAGCTGCTAGTGGCATATTTATTCTTGGAATTAATGGGGCCTTGTTTATGTGCACTACACTCGTCAGTTAAACATTTATCAGTGATTAAAAATTGAAAGCTGTAAGAAGCCAGAGAGAAGTGAAGATGATTATTCTGTCATGCACTTATGGTTGCACTAGAAAAAAAAAATAGAATAGCTCTACTGTACAGTACTTGCATAGAAATTTAGGCCAGTCAACATGGCAAGGTTCACTATTGAATTACTAGCGGCTCAATGTATTAAGGCCATGTGAAAATATACTCATTAAATTTCTCTTGGAAGGATAAATAATAATACTGTAATAATTATTTTGTTTTAATTCAGTGTCTTGTATTTTTTGTTGTAAGATCTTATGTTGCATTTCCTTGTGTGTGTTCTGGCAGACCAGGGGCAGAATTCATCAAGTACTTGAGTGATTACTTATGGCACCTGTTATGATATTTGTGAGATTTATGTGACATCTCAATAGTAGCAGCCCAGTATTTACTAGACAGTTTGAATTCTGAAGTGCTACGAGGTTGCCTGCAGCAATATTGATTTTTTGGTGAGACTGTCCTCCCAGTATTTCCAAGCTCATAAACTGTTTAGTAAATACATTGCTGACTAAGCCATCACGATAGAGGAAATAAGTATGGTACAGGTGTTGCAAGTGGTCACTTAAGGGCTTGATGAATCCTGGTAGACCAGAATTATGCATTTTTCATTATTTCACATTCTTGTATCACTATTTTCTGACATACAGTAACTAGAAAAGGTATGGTACCTTTTCAGGGTAGGTATTTCTTCCTAGGAACCATTTTTTAGGTATTACTAGATATTTTCTGACTTTTTATAGCACTGTATTCCCAAAAATTACCATTTGCTTCCGTTCTTTGATGGACAGTTGGCTGGCTTGTCACACTGAAGGCAGTGTTCATAGCAGACTATTTAGCATGGGTGGTACTCGCACAAGAGGATACAGGTGAAAGCTAGATACCAAAATGAGCCACAGACACATTAGAGACATTAGATATACAGTATTTTGTGTCAGAGTACAGTAGTTAACAAATGGAATGAAATAGGCAGTGATGTGGTGGAGGCAGCAATCTCCATACACAATTTCAAATGTTGATATCTTAAAGCCCAATAGGCTCAGGGACCTGTACACCAGTTGATTAAATTTGAAAGGTGGTACCAAAGAGCCAACACACAATTCCCGCAAGCACAATTAGGCGAGTAAAAGTCTGGAATTCTTCACTTGTAGTAACTTGGGAATGTGATGGGTAATTTCACGACTGCTGTACCGTAATACCACTGCTGCAACATTCATATGTACTTTTATATGTAGATATATATACTGCATCTCCTAAGAGTTAAGCATTCATACAGTACAGTATATAATTGCTTTCACATGTTTCATAGGTACATTCACGGATATACATCTACATCTAAATATCTACTGCTTTCAGTGGGTTTAAACATTAATGCTTTTGGTGTCTCTTTACATCTAATACAGTGCTTCCTAACCTTTTTAGGAATGACCCAATTTTATTAGTTCTCAGAAGACCCCCAAGGAGAGGGGTCATGTTCCACCAGTTGGGAACCAATGATCTAATATTTACAGTGTCTCTAAACATCTAATTCTTTGTGTGTCTAAACATCTATGGTAATTCTTTGTGTATAAACATCTAAGGCTTTCAGCGTCTCTGAGCATCTAATACTTTCGGTGTGCAACATATGAAAAATATATTTTTTTTATGCAACAAATAATGCTTTATTACTTTGCTATTTTTTGTGGCCTTTCCTGTGAAACTCCAATTTGGATTGTTGTGTATTTGGAAGATATATGGTGATTGAACCACTCTTTTCAGCCTGGCCTTAGGATGGCCCTGCCAACAAACTACCGGCAAGTAGCCATGATGGGCCCCTCCCCAACACCAGGCCCCACACGTAAGTTCGTTGGGTAATTCATTCTGTGTGTGTTTGGGTGATTCTACTTTAAAAATTGATGTATGAAATTGGGAAGGAAGAGTATTTAATTTGCATTTGAAAATTAATAGTAGGCTGTACTCTAATGTATATGTGTGATATTTATTTGTGGAATGTTTTCTGCAGTAATGTTACTGTATTTGTGAAAGTTCCATTTCATAGATTTTCCTAGAATGTTAAAATCATTAACATTGAGAAAATTGTTGGATGATTTTCAAGGTAAGACTGTATTTATCGTGCTATATATACAGTATATATATTTACTGTATACATTAAATAAATTGTTGGTGTGTTAATTGTTAAATTCAATGAGAAGGCAAATGTAGTGGGATAACCCGTATGATATAAAGAATAGGAGTCCTTCAATTTTTTTAATAAAAATAATGTAGTCTATGACAATACTTGCATGACATGACCAAAACATTTATTGGGATTAATGAAAATAAAAAGAGAACAGTTAGAGGTATTTGGCATTAGATTAAATAATTATATAGGGAGCATGAGTTTAAGGAAGTAAAAATGGGGACTTGAAATATTAGCAAATTAATGGGGACTTTAATATTCAGAATGATTAAAAGTTAGGCATCTGAGATATACTAAAAAGAAATGATAGAATAATTATGTAATGTAAGTATAGAATAATATGCAATAGCTGTTGCTTATAGACCTTATTTTTCAAAGCATTTTGATGATAAGTTTCAATAGGAAATGGTCTTTACACGCATACAGGTGGTAAGTGGATGACAATAAAGGAATTCCTTCGTTGAATTCAGAGAACTTGTGTAGTCGGTTCACGAACATACACATGCCATTAGAAGCTTCAAAACATCACGGGGAGTTGAATAACCATGAGCATAGCTCTCATTCTGTTATTACACGTAGATATATAATTAAATACTTTTAGAAGAACTTGTTATTATTGCTCTTTACAGTATATTAGAAGGCTAATGACTTACATTTTGTCCTCTGACCATGAGGTAGTTGAGATCTGGTAGCATTCAGTAAACAGAGGATCAATGCTAATTCAGTTTCATCAACGTTGTTTGCCCAGCATTTTCCCTAGGAAGGGTTGGCCCATGATCACGTGTTTCCATAGTATATTGACAGGTACACGGTAAATATTTTGGCCGTTACAAAGACCATGAAATCATGATCATGGGTGCAATCAAGCACTACGTCAGCTGAAACTTGAACCATCAATCCACAAACATCCTCTCTGACGAGGAATGATTAAATTGTTTAAGTGTTAATCTGTGTCTAAGATGACTAATTTGTTTAATTAATCTTTGGAATGAGTACTATAAGTTGAATGAATGCTTAATTAATCTTTAATTAGTGTGATAAATTAAGAATTTGATGGATAGCAAGAATTTAAAGTGTTAAATGACAAGCTTTAAAAGCATCATAAGAAACTCTTGAGCGGCTTTAAATAACCTATCTAATTTGCACAATGAAATCACAGGTACAGTATGTGATAAATTTATGAAAGATGTTGGAGCTGAATGGTGGGGTCGAACCTGCATTCCTTAATCCAGGAATGCTGGTACAGTCTCATTGTACGGCCTTAGTTTTCTTGTTGGATTTGCTTAACATTTAGTTGAAACTTTACTCTTACCAAAATGCTTTTCATAGTGATTTGACTAAATACTGAAGTGTTTTCAAAATTGTTTTATTATCCATAAGAGTTGTACAGCATTACATAGTATTAATGATAGCTTGTCATTCAATGCTTTTAAATGTCTTAATTTTTTATTAATTGTTTACATTGTCAAGAGATTTAATATAATGCCTTACTCAGCTAAGTAATTAAAACAAACTTGATTCTGCTAATTCTGAGTGATTAAATGTTTTAAAATTTTGATTCCCAGTATTTAAAGTCTTTTTGCATCCAAGATGTAATGGTATTTCATAAATTACTTAGTAATCTTAAGGATTTATATTTCTCTGGATTAACTAATGACCAAAGATGATAGCATAGGTCTTGCAACTAAAACCCTAGAGTGAATCTTTCTAGAAACTCTAGGTGCAATGTAGCGTGCACCGTCCTAGTTCCTCCCCTACCTATTACTGTATACTCCGTGATTCCCCAGGTTAGTGGTTTTATGTCATTAATTTCAACTGCTTTCCTTGATCCCATTCCCTTAGAACTGACAAAGTGCAGTTTTCTACGCATATATCACAGTTATACTAAGGTACTAACATCATAAGGAAAATTTTGACGGAGTGAACAACATTCAGTAACAGATAAGTTCTTGGTTGTCTGTACAGTACTGTTTCCAAATATTTTGTGTAGCAAGCGCAAATTAAAATATGTATTAAAATAGAAAGTATGTAAGAGAGTTGTCACAGTAGAAGCTTAGTTATATGAAAGGGATACAAATAACATTGTATACAAGATGGTTCACTAATAGATTATTAAATTAAACCAAGCTAACTATACCCAACCAAATCTAGCTCAACTGTCCCTAACACAGCCTAACTTAATTTAAAATGAAATACAGGTAATATATATACGGTTTAAACGAACGGAAAATCAGCTTTGTGAAAATATCTTGTGTACGATTTGACCATACCTATTATAAAATGAACTAGGATAAAGTCACCGATCTTTGGACATCACAAAAGAGTCTGCACCATTGCATAGAAAGAAACCACAAAAAAGTCAGTTGCTCTTTGAATATGTTCCAAAACATATTGAAACATTAAAAGTTTCTAATAGAAATCTATTATAGTAAATATTATATAACCATTTTTCCACAATTTAATGCTTGGTGTGTGTGATAATCAGTTCTTAAATTTTATAATTAAAAAAATGAGGTAAATAAGGTATTTGATTAAATTTATTATCAACCTGTTTTTAGGTGGCTGTATAGTTTTTAAACTGTAAGACAACACGGGTGTAGATACCTAGCCTTATAGGTAATACATGTGGTAGGAGAGTGGTACTGAAATCTTCTCATTCTAGGTCTCTGAATACCAACACCAAGAGGCTTTAAATCAATTGGAAATGACACTGATGCATAACAAATGCACCATGGTAATTTGCATATTATTATCAGATCTTAGTGGTTAATTATTTGCAAGGAATGAGTCCCTGAACATGGGGTGTCTGGTGTCTAGTCTCTGGATGCAGTGGAAGAAATATGAAAAGATCACCAAACAATATGAAAACAGCACTGAAGTGTATCGACACCCTGCTAACATGTTACATGATATGAGATCATAATATTCCGATAAAAGCGAATTGCTTAATACAGTACCCTGTAATTACCTAAGTGTAATTACCTACGTGTAGTTACAGGATGAGAGCTACGCTCATGGTGTTCTGTCTTCCCAGCACTCTTTATCATATAATGCTTTGAAATTACTGACGGTTTTGGCCTCCACCACCTTCTCACCTGACTTGTTTCAACTGGTATTGGATATCTTGTTCTTGTTCTCTTGTGAGGTAGCGTCTGGACATCCAACAAAGCTGAAGCATCCTGGAGCAAGGAATGTTATTCAAGAAAGGTCACCTAATTGTATGGAAATTTAGAGAGGTTGTGTATTTCCATGTTCAGATTTGGAACCAGTCCTTCTGATATTTTTCCAAGTGTAAGTTATTATGTTGCTTGTGCTCTAGAAAATGCACATTTAACAATTTTAAGTGTCTCAATAATTTAGAGGCTTTATTGAGTGGATTCAGGCATTATAAGACTTTCTCACATTCTTCGGGTGAGCTTCTTCTCCACCTTTGAAAGGGCCTGTTCGTGTGCAACAGTATTCTCCCCTAAAGAGCACTGGTGTCTTAAATGATTCATCGTTAGTCATTAGTTTTTGTTATCCAACCTTTCATTTTTCTTGCAGTTGTGAGAGCTACTTTTCGTGTGTTCTCTAAAAGTAAGATCTTCCAACATAATTGCTCCAAAATCTTTTATGTTGGTTTTCTTTCACTGGTGTGATTTTACTACATTTTATGTATGAGTTCTGTTTTGACATTTTTGTTTTTCTATTGCTGAGTAGCTTGGAACTTATGCTCATTAAACATGTTATTTTCTGTGGCATATTAAATTACCCGATTAACATCAGTTTGGATGTTTGCTGTATCCTCTATATTGTCAACCTTCATGGAAATAAAAGTATCATCTGCAAAGAATGAGTTTGTGTCCTTGTCTGAGTTCATTACAATGATGAGAGAAAGTACCGGAGCAAGCACAGTACCTTGGGGATACTGAGATTTCACATTGGATAACCCAAATTATACTTTATAGACTATTGTACTTTGGGTTCTGTATGTAAGGAAATTAAAGATCCATCTTCTTACTTTGCCAGTAATTACTTTTGTGCTAATTTTGTGTGCAATGACACAATGGTGATATTTGTTTGAAAGGTTTCATGAAATCTGTATACATTACATCATCATTTTTCTTGTCTTCCTCGGCATCTAAGCCCATTGTCATATTTGTCTAGCAGTTGACCTGTAAGGAAGATAGCTAATAGTGTAATTAGGCATCTCCAGTAGGGAAGAGATGTGTTTATCGAGCTGGCTGGGATACTGGGTGACCTGAGCGATCACCTTATAATGGCTAGGCTCAACTTTATTGGGTATTTATATTAAGGTTATAGGTGTTTGCTTCATTACCTTTGGAAGCCCGAATTTCCATAAGACATTCCTATAAAACATTTTTTCCTCGCTTCCTTTGCTTCATAGAGTGCACCAGATTATGCCTGGTTCCTAGTAAACAAGGGTGGGTCTTCGAGGCCTGGTGTGTCTTTCTAAGACTTGGCTGAATAAGCACTTAGCTCTGGTAGCTATTGAGGGCCTCACCAGAAAAGGGCATTTTGTTACTTTAATAAATGCATGACTTTTTAAGGTGTAGATTGGGGTCGATTATTATATTCTGAGTATTTGTGAATTTAAAATCAGGTACAGTACTTGATGTTATAGTACCATGTATGTAATCTGAATTTTTGATGGTTGTGGTGAAAACTTGTTGAAAATGTTATTGCAGTGTGTGTGTGTGTGGAAGATGAGTGTTAACTAAGCTACTTCTGTGACTAAACTTAAAATTTGTATACATTGGAATATAGTACAGTATTAGAAAATATACATTAGTTGGTATTTTGTTGTTCACCCCTCACACTGACACATGTAGATACTAAAGTCATGCGCTGACTCTTTCATTGCAGCTAACAGGGACTTCTGCCGTTTTGCTTACGTCATCAAACATCACATTTTAAAATTTTTAAATCATTTGTAGAAAATTTAAACCTGTTGATAAATTTGCTTTATGTGTAGAGGCATCTTTAATGATGATGATAATGGCTTTAAAGTGTATTCACATTTCAACATATGCATGATGAATTATATTTTGCAAGGTACTGCAGACTTCACATTTTTTGCAAAGGAAAACCCTGAAAATGCAGAATATAATGCATGGAAGGGTGAAGAGACATAATGCATGAGGAAAGACATTACGCATCCCCCACAGGATATAGAAGTATGTCATCGCTATTTGGGAGCCAAGGGAGCCAGAAATTTGACTATGCTAAATATAAATATAATGGAAATATAGACCTGAAATCAATCTTCTGGTTAATATGTTTCCATTCCAGTAAAACATTTTGGTTTGCTCAAAATATCTGATGCTTGCATGATAATACTGTATCATTTGCTTCTGATTTGCTTTCCTCTTATAATTAACACAAACTTACAGATTACAATATAACTGATCTGCAAAAAAAATATTCCAAGTTTGATCTAAATGAAAGTCAGGCGTATATTTCCTGATTTGCGGATGTACTGTATGTGAAATCTTGCACCCTTGCCCATCTCACCTTATTTGTTATGTTGCGAGCTTATTTATACCATTGACCGCTTGCCTGTCTGTTCCTGTAGATGTTTACATGCCCGCGTCACCACTGATGAGCAACATACTAAAAGGTTAGTTGGTTTCTTGTAAGTTTCGCTTTTGATAGTTTTCTGTAAGTACATATAGCCAGGATTTTCAAAATTCTAGTCGTTTTAAGTACCTGTTTAACCATACGTTAGGTGTGTTGTCAGTGATAGATTGAAGATATTTTTAAAGATTTCTTTTTCAGGATTTACTTTTTACATTCAAATAACCTATCTTTTGTTATATTGTCATGTGAAGTAAATTTCAGTATTGGTTATCGACACCAAATTTGCTTGCATTTTGTGCCTTTGACTTTTGATTTTAGGTAAATGTGTGAATGCTCTGTGTAGTGCTTGAAAGCTTTTGTGACTTGTGTATCACCACTACATATAATTTTATTCTAAAACATCTTTAGTTTATAACCTCTTGAGTTTCTTTGTTCTTGGTATGAAATTTATGTAGGTCAGTATATTGAGGTACATAAAGTACTTGCATACTTGATGCAGAAAATAAGAAAATATTTTTGTGTGTAACTGTATTGTTTATATTCGTGTTCATCCATATACAAGCTTCACTTGGTGATGTTTAGCCACATACTGTACAGTACACACTACATCATTGCTCAGTGTTGACCACATGCTGTACACTATACAGTATGTATTAACCTAAGTATAGTTACAGATGAGACTGACGCTCGTGGTGTCCTGTCTTCCCTGTACTTACCATATAAAGTTTTGAAACTACTGACAGTTTTGGCCTCCACCACTTTCTTACGTGTTCCAACTGTCTACCACACTGTTCACAAAAATGAACTTTCTAACTATTCTTTCAGCAACTTTGTTTAGTTTGTTTAAATAAATGACCTCTTGTTCTTGAAGGAAGTTGATTATGGCTGCCCCACCTATTCCTCTGCCTCTTCTTCGACCCTTTGTCATCTTGATACATATACACGCATGTGTATTTGTACACACATGTTATGGCTTTGAAGTATAGCGTAGTGGATACAGCATGCAACTGCCACCTTGCTGGCCAGTGTTCGAGTCCCCTGGTGGGTTGAGTGTCTAAAAAGTTATAAACTTCAGCTACTGGAATAGGGTAGTCTGTGCATTATATATATATATATATATATTTCTCAGCTATTTTCTTTTAAGGAGGAGCTAGATAGTAAACGTGAAGGTCTTATAACAATAATGAGAGAGATTATAGCGAGAGCGGATAACGATAGATCACGACTGTTGATAGTCGGTGACTTCAACTTGAAATCCATAGACTGGGAAGCATATGAAGCTAAAACAGAAGATTTTTGGACCTGTAAATTTGTAGACCTCATCCTGGAAACATTCTTGTATCAACATGTTAAACAAGCTACGAGGATGAGGGAAGGGGACGTTCCCTCCATGCTAGATTTGATATTTACCAGGAAGGAGGAAGAGATATTTGATATTCAGTACCTTCCTCCCTTGGGTAAAAGTGACCATGTCTTTTTGGGAATAAAGTATGCAATGCGTTATAAGCTGGAAGAAAATAAGGAGGTTGAAGCAGTTGAAAAACCAGACTTCAGGAGAGGACATTATGGTGACCTTAGAAATTTTTTAGTGAGTATAATTGGACAGACTTGATGCTAGGCAAGGAAGTGAATGAGATGTATGGCAAGTTTTGTGAAATATATGATAAAGGCACAAAAAAATTTATACCAAAACAGAGATGCAGAACTAGGAAACAGGATTGGTTCAATAGAAATTGCGAGAGGGCTAGAGACCGAAAGACACAAAAATGGAATCAATACAGGAAGAGGCCGAACCCCCAAACATACCAGCGATACAAAGATGCGAGAAACAACTACACGGCAGTGAGGAGAGAGGCAGAAAGAAATTTTGAAAAAGGGATTGCGGACAAATGTAAAACAGAACCAGGTCTATTCTATAAATTCATAAACAACAAATTGCAGGTAAAGGATAATATTCAGAGGTTGAAAATGGGAAATAGATTCACGGAAGATGAAAAGGAAATGTGTGAAACACTAAACGAAAAGTTCCAAAGTGTGTTTGTACAAAATGAAATCTTTAGGGAACCAGATACAATAAGAATTCCAGAGAACAACATAGAACACATAGAGGTGTCTAGAGACGAAGTGGAAAAAATGCTCAAGGAGCTCGGTAAGAACAAAGCAGCTGGCCCAGATGGCGTTTCACCATGGGTTCTGAGAGAATGTGCATCTGAGCTCAGCATTCCACTTCACCTGATCTTTCAGGCATCCCTGTGTACAGGAATCGTAGCAGACGGGTGGAAACAGGCTAACATAGTTCCAATCTACAAAAGTGGCAGCAGGGAAGACCCCCTCAATTATAGACCTGTATCATTAACAAGTGTAATAGTGAAAGTATTGGAAAAACTAATCAAAACTAAATGGGTAGAACACCTAGAGAGAAATGATATAATATCAGACAGACAGTATGGTTTTCGATCTGGAAGATCCTGTGTATCGAATTTACTCAGTTTCTATGATCGAGCCACAGAGATATTACAGGAAAGAGATGGTTGGGTTGACTGCATCTATCTGGACCTAAAAAAGGCTTTCGACAGAGTTCCACATAAGAGGTTGTTCTGGAAACTGGAAAATATTGGAGGGGTGACAGGTAAGCTTCTATCATGGATGAAAAATTTTCTGACTGATAGAAAAATGAGGGCAGTAATCAGAGGCAATGTATCAGAATGGAGAAATGTCACAAGTGGAGTACCACAGGGTTCAGTTCTTGCACCAGTGATGTTTATTGTGTACATAAATGATCTACCAGTTGGTATACAGAATTATATGAACATGTTTGCTGATGATGCTAAGATAATAGGAAGGATAAGAAATTTAGATGACTGTCATGCCCTTCAAAAAGACCTGGACAAAATAAGTATATGGAGCACCACTTGGCAAATGGAATTTAATGTTAATAAATGTCATGTTATGGAATGTGGAATAGGAGAACATAGACCCCACACAACCTATATATTATGTGAGAAATCTTTAAAGAATTCTGATAAAGAAAGAGATCTAGGAGTGGTTCTAGATAGAAAACTATCACCTGAGGACCACATAAAGAATATTGTGCAAGGAGCCTATGCTATGCTTTCTAACTTCAGAATTGCATTTAAATACATGGATGGCGATATACTAAAGAAATTGTTCATGACTTTTGTTAGGCCAAAGCTAGAATATGCAGCTGTTGTGTGGTGCCCATATCTTAAGAAGCACATCAACAAACTGGAAAAGGTGCAAAGACATGCTACTAAGTGGCTCCCAGAACTGAAGGGCAAGAGCTACGAGGAGAGGTTAGAAGCATTAAATATGCCAAAACTAGAAGACAGAAGAAAAAGAGGTGATATGATCACTACATACAAAATAGTAACAGGAATTGACAAAATCGACAGGGAAGACTTCCTGAGACCTGGAACTTCAAGAACAAGAGGTCATAGATTTAAACTAGCTAAACACAGATGCCGAAGAAATATAAGAAAATTCACCTTCGCAAATAGAGTGGTAGACGGTTGGAACAAGTTAAGTGAGAAGGTGGTGGAGGCCAAGACCGTCAGTAGTTTCAAAGCGTTATATGACAAAGAGTGCTGGGAAGACGGGACACCACGAGCGTAGCTCTCATCCTGTAACTACACTTAGGTAATTACACTTAGGTAATTACACATGGGCATACTGTAGGTACATACATACAAACACTTATTTACAGTATTTATTTATTTATTTTATTTATTTATTTATTTATTTACTTTGAAGTGAGATATATATGTGGGTTTGGACATCAGTGGTTTCAAATCTCTTAAGCCTAGCTTAAGTTTTATTTTGTATTGTAAGTTATTTATGCGCGTTTGCATTTATAACTTTATTGAGATGTAGGAGAATCATTTACCTGAGTCTTTAGTGCATATAATAGTCCATCTGATAGAAATTTCATATAACTTCATGTTGAAGTTTCTGTGACACTTAGTACAGTTGACTAATTAATGTTTTTTGCCAGCATATAGGAGGCTCCTATTTTTACAAATATATATTTTTTTATTTTTGTACTTTTATCATACATATAAAGTAATTTTCAAGTGGTTTCGTAGGGGAAAATGTATGGTATTATGCATGTAAATACATATATATTTGGCTGGTGGTGGACCAAAAACATGCATCCTATCCACCAGCAAATACAATAAGTATTTCGTGATGAATTGAACTTTATCTTATCTAAATTTTGGAATTGGAATATTTTGACTCTCATTCCTTAGATTACTTAATTACTTTGCCTGTGACTTAAGGTGTATCAACTGAAGCCAAATGTTCGGCTAAAACTAGAAAAGTTGCATTTTATCAGTAGATTTGTGTGCTTACACCTCTTAGTGTCTTGATACTCTGGTGTCCTTGATGTGTCTCTTGATTTTCAATTTGTTTTCTTCTTAAATACAAGTGGCTTTGATAATTACTTCTTTGAAAGCTTATTACGTGGTAACAAAACTTTCTTCCCCTGCTTTTCACCTTATTGCTGTTGCTCTCTTTCTCCACTCCTTTGATTGTTCTCCATCTCTCCCTATTCTTCTTGCTTTCATTCTTCCTTTATCTCCACAGCAACTTTTTTTCCTCGTTTCCTCCATATCCTCCTCTTCTCCTCTTTTGTCTCCTCTTCCCTCTCTTGTATCTCTGCTTTTTCTAATGCTTCCTCCTCATCCTTCTCCATCACTTCAGTAATTTTTTCTGGCATTTTAAACTTTCTGGGTGAAGCCCCATCAGCTCCCTGAAGCTATCACACTTATTAAGTACTTTACTACTTAATGCCATCAGTCACAGAGTTCTATTGGCCAACAGTGAAAACAAACCACCAAAATTTCATGAAATTAGTGCTTGCTAATTTACCCTACCTCCCCCCCCCTTGTTTGGTGGGAGGAGGGAGGCAGACTGGATCAGCTGGGCCCCACCACCTTTAGTTCTAAGCAGATGTTGCTTAGGTGCGGTCCTCATCGCTCTGGTTCCAGTCTCATATCGTCAGTTAAGTGCTTAGGGCCTTTGGGGCAGGGTTGCCTTGATGGGTTTTATGGCACCCGTTCCAGCTGTTTACATATGCTATTTTTAGCTCTCTTTGTAGCCCGTTTGGGCTATAAGAAGCCCAATTGTTTTACCAGCTGTTTATGTTCACTACTTCGGCGCATCATTTCTGGCGACCCTGCTTGGAGGCTATTTACAGGTATATGCATTTGTGTAGTGTGAGCCAGGAGTTTAGTGTACAGTATACTTAGAGCTGCATGAACTCGGGATTCTCTTCACTGTGCACTCTTTTTTTGCACTACGCTTGCATGGTCAGGGCTAGCTTCACTAGGGCATTCAGGATACCCTCCCTTTAAGGGGGCCTCCTTGCTTTGAGGGGTGGTCCTCACCCTTAAGATAAGCGAGTGGTCTGTGGCTGTCTGTCTTCCTTGGGGTTTGGTGTATTTTTGGCCAGTGGGACATACTGTGGTCTGTGTAAACAGTTATTTAGTTATTACCAGGTGTGCCAACGTTTCTCTAAAGTTGCTCGTTTGCCTCGGTTTTGTGTAGGGTTTATCTTTTCTTTGCTTTCATTGGCTTTTGCCTGTTTTGGTTAGGAGTTTTGCTTTTTGCCTTATTAGGCTTGCCTAGGGCATGTGCAGTAGAACTCGCTTGCTGCCCCTCAGCTTTTCCTTTGGCTTTCCCCAGTGCCTGGGCATCCTGCTAGGCGCCTACCTTACAGGCCCTGGAAAACCCCTACGGCCTCGGTTGTATTACAGATACCACTTACGAGCCCACTCTTGCCTTGCATGAATTTGAGGGTTATTCGTCGCCTGTGCCACCTGGCGACATTTATCTGTTCTGTCTCAACCATGCTGCTTGTTGGGTCAAGTTCCCCCCCTCCATGTGCTCCATCTTCCTCATTCTTCTATGGAAGTTCAGCAGTATCAAGCGGCGACCGATTTGCATCTCAGGTTTTCTGTTTTGCAGTGGGCCAGGTTGTGTGCCCGGTTGGATGCCTTGGATCTGCCCCACTTGGTGTTTATAGACTCAAATTTGGGGGGGTGTCACATTGGCCATGGTTCTGTCCACATTCCCTTTTCCTTTTCCGGTAGGCAGGTTCTGCCCTTTTCCTTTGCCCCTGCTTTCGACTCCGAAATGTCAGGATTTTGGGCTCACGGCAGGGTTTAGCTCGGGTGTGGCTTGAGCTGGTCCGGTGGTTGCCCCTTCCGACGTGGGTGCGGAAGCAGGGGCTGCTTTATCCCACAGAACCTTCTGGGTCCTCCCAACAGACCCCCTTTCTCTGGGGCTTCTCCTTTGGACTCCATTTTTCCTTCTCGGGCAGTGGGTGTGGATGAGTATGCTACCCCATGGCTCTTGGCTGCAGTTCCCAGGATTCAGGAGGAGTCGGTTTGGAGCTCTTGGGTCCCATTTGACCATTTGTGTACCCTCGTGCCCTCTGCAGATGGTCTTTTGTTGCTTTCTGTTGCAGGGTGTGAGTTTTCTTATCCCCTTTCCCTGTTTGCATTAGTCAGCTCCCCCCAGTAATTATTTTTGTGTGCCTTTGGGTTCATTGGACCCGTCATTCCGGAAGTTCTGCCTCCTGGGTTCAATTGGTGGAGGCTGCGGGGGAGGGGGGGGTTGTTTGTGCATTCCCCTGCGTGCCCCGGTTTTCGTTTTTGTTATGTGCCCATCTTTGGGTTAGGTACTTTCGCCCCTTTTGTGGGAGTTCTGAGGCTTTGGGATTTTCCATGGCTAGCAGACTGAACTTTATTTCTCTAGGGGCTTGGCAAGGGTTTTTCCATTTCACCACACTGGACAAGCTGGCAGTGTCTCCTGTGTTGTGGGTCCTATGTTCCTCTCCCCTCCAGCTCTTCCCGTTTTGTGCAGCTCTATGCCTCTTCCCTCTTGTTAGCTTCTTTTGCGGGTGTTCTGCCGTCTGCTTCTTTGGCGCTATTTGCCATCAGTTGCTACCTCCCTATGGGTGAGGTATTTGTATTTATGAGATGTGGTTTGTTTTTATTGTTGGAGTTCTTTTGGCAATTTTGGGGTTGTGGTCTCATTTTTAACCATACAGTAATCTGTCTTGACTCGCCTATCTTTCTGGGTGCCTTCCCTTGATAAGGCACCCAGAAATAGGTGACAGAGATGATAAACTTCAAATGTAAAGCGTTCATAGGTCATTGCTCCCTGCACCTCTCTGAGGGGGCCATGTTCTAGCTCGTGTTCCCCAGTAGGCCAATAGAACTCTGCGACTGATGACACTAAGTAGTATGGCCCTTAATCAGTGTGATAGCTTTAGGGAGCCTCTAGGGCTCACCCAGAAAATGGTGTTTCATTACAGTCAATACTGGTTTTATACCCGCCCATCTTTTTCAATTTTTTTTTTAAATAAATACCCCTGGTTTAAAATTAATATAGAGAGATTGTGATACTGTTTGATCATGTATTTTGGTAAATATATTGCTAACTTTGAACAGCAATTGGATAGTTGTGTAATGGTGTATGAAGCAACTGTTTTCTAAATGTTCTCAAGAGCAATGTTAATCTAAAGTTCGGTTCATCATTAAGCAATAAAGCATGGCATCTATACAATAACAAACAAATGTAATATATAAGTAGAGTACTGTAGCAGTGAAATTGTTTTTCTTAAATATTTGTGGTTATTTCAGTGTAGGAATTATGTTATGGTTGATTAGTGCACTTAGAAATTGAAACTTGGCTTTGGTAAATGTTTTGATTGTATTTTTCATGTATATACAGTACAGTATATGGTAGCCTTTTGCACTGTGTTTTAAAATAGAAATATAGTTTTATATTAATGAGCCATGCTTCTTTGTGTAAGGAATTTCTTTTTAAGATAAATCAAAGTCTGTTTTCCACTATTGCTTTAGGAATGAAAGTAGACATTACTTCCTTTATTCGTCGTCTTAAATGATTTCCCATTTCTGTTGTTCGATCCCAACATGTTCCTCCAATCTCCCTCGTCTGTTTTATGGCCTTTTGTAACCCAAATTGTGGCTGCCTGTCATGTTAATTTGTGAGCTTTGTTTGCTTAACCCATCATATAAACAGCATTAAGCAGTGTGTACACAATACAAATATATATATATATATATATATATATATATATATATATATATATATATATATATATATATATATATATATATATATATATATATATATATATATATATATATATATATATATATATTTATATTTTGTCGTACCTAGTAGCGAGAACGCACTTCTCGGCCTACTATGCAAGGCCCGATTTGCCTAATAGGCCGAGTGATTTTCTTTATTTTCAATAAATTGTTTCCAATTAGTTTATTTGAATTATTATTATTATATTATATTAAGAACATAAATTATTGACTTGTGTTAGTTTAGGTTAGGTTAAGGTTCGGTTATATATCTACGTTAGTTTTCAACTCAAATTTAAACAAATTAACTTATACAAAATTAAATGGATAGATTTATCATTTCATAAGAAAAAATTTGGAAAAATATATAAATTCAGAAAATCTTGGCTTATTAAGCAAATCAGGCCTTGCATAGTTGGCCAAGTACGACATTCTGGCTACTAGGTACAACATATATACACACACAATTATATATATATATATATATATATATATATATATGTCGTACCTAGTAGCCAGAACGCACTTCTCAGCTTACTATGCAAGGCCCAATTTGCCTAATAAGCCAAGTTTTTATGAATTAATGTTTTTTCGACTACCTAACCTACCTAACCTAACCTAACCTAGCTTTTTCGGCTACCTAACCGAACCTAACCTATAAAGTTAGGTTAGGGTAGGTTAGGTAGGGATGGTTAGGTTTAGTCATATATCTACGTTAATTTTAACTCCAATAAAAAAAAATTGACCTCATACATAATGAAATGGGTAGCTTTATCATTTCATAAGAAAAAAATTAGAGAAAATATAATAATTCAGTAAAATTTGGCTTATTAGGCAAATCGGGCCTTGCATAGTAGGCTAAGAAGTGCGTTCTGGCTATTAGGTACGACATATATATATATATATAATATACATACATACATACATACATATGCATTCACACACTTCAATTATAAACAAAACATCATTTTACCCATTATCACACAAAATTTTTTTTTATTAGAAATTGATTTAAATTTATTTTTGATTCTATTAAAAAAAATCCTTGCTTAATCTCAAGGTCCTGAAATCAGCAGAGGGTATCTAGTTATGCACTATACACATGTAAACAGTTAACTATAATTTAGTATACCATTGGCTGTCATTATGATTTGTTGGTTATTCTTACTTGTTGATAATTATTGGTAAATTCCAAGTATACTGATTACAAGCTTTTCTCCCCTTGTCAGTTTCTCCGAAGTGTTGGTATTATTTCTTTGAAGTACCCTTGAAATGTCAGTGTTAACTGGACTGCCCGTTCTCTCAATTTACCACTTCGTGAAGTATGTAACTGTTCTTCCTAACCAGAAGCATACGAAGCCAAGCAACCCACTTAACCCATTGAGGTCTTATATACAGAAAAAGTCAATATTAGAGTACTTGAATTTTTTACTAATACGTCGCATTTTTAATGGATTTGTCTATTTGATTAAAAATATGATGTATTGGGTGAGAGGATGTGTTGAACTGGTACCTGACAATGCTCCCTTGATGGGGAAAATTTAATCATCCTCCCCATTTTTCTCTCTCCCCCAAGCCACCACGACCTCATCCTCCTCCACCTCTTCTGGAAATGGAGGCTCAGGGAGTTCGAAAGGTAACAATGAGAGTCTCATGAAAGCAGCAACAGCTATCCCGTCTTGAGCTTATCTTACCCTGAATGTGTTGCCCCCCATGGTCCCCCCCCCTCCTCCCTTCTGAATGTTGCAAACTTACGACTCCCTCGTGAATGTTGCCATCTGGGTTGGCCACTGTCATTGTGCTGCAATGCAGTTTCTCCCAACCTCTTATCCTTGCCATTGCTCATTGAGCACAAGCACTATCTCAGCAGTATTAAAGCTAATGCCCTTCTATCCCGGAACTTATTAATACTCATGTGGTTTGAAGAGTGGTATTAATTGCATATAATACTGTATAGTTAACCCTTAAACTGCATATATCATAAAAACATCATTCAAACAGTGACACAAAACATAAATTGTCATATAATAAAAGCACTTTAAGGGTTAAGGATAGTTTATAGGTTACACAAGCCTGGCTTGTCTGGCAAGTTGCTCTCATTGCATGACTTGCATTGTCTAACAAAATAGAAAGATTAGATTTAAAACCTGGCTTGCACATTTGGTTTCGGTGTGTATAAATATTTTATTATGTAATTTTGTGTGCGTGGATGTGCATGCCTATGTGCGCGTGAATGTGTGCTTACCTAATGGTGTTTGTAGATGAGGGATGAGTAAATCTTGGGCCCACCTTTTCACAATCTTGTATGGTATCTGATATGGTAACTTTTACTCAGAATTGTCTTTGATATTGTCATATCATCACTTAAAATTTTGTATTGTATTTGTCTTTACTAGCTCTTCATCTAGTACATTTTAAAGGACCACAACTCATACACTGAATTTACTGTCACTCATAGGCTTTGTTTTGAGTTTCCACATACGGCCTCTTGTTCTGCTTTCCCTTACTTGTTCTTTGTCAACATTGTATACACTTCCCAGAATCTTGTATACCAAAATCATGTCTCCTCTGGGTTTAGCCAACTTCTAGTGCTTTCAAGTTTCAGCCCTTTTACTCTATTCTCATAGCTTAAATGTTGAATTTTTAGTACCAGTTTTAAGCTCTGGACCACATTTCACTAATAGTCTTATGTAGGCTGTATACATCACTCTGAACCTTGTTTAGGTTCCAGAAAGATCCTTCTACAGTATATATATAATTAGGTAAGTGTAGTTACTGGATGAGAACTATCTTCATAGTGTTGGTCTTCCCTATAATCTTTGTCTTATTATATTCTGAAGCTTTCAATGGTTTTAGCATCCTCTACCTTCCAATCCAAATTACTGCAACTATCCGAAACTCTGTACACAAATGAGAACTTCATTTCATTTTTCGGCACCTTGGTTTTCTAAGCTTGAATCTATGGCGTCTTTTTCTAGAAGTTGCAGGTTTAAAAAATTCTTCCTTGTCTATTTTTTCCTATTCCTGTTCCAATTTTGTGCAGATGGGTGTGTTCTTGCTTACACGTACTTGTTGATGTGGTGGATTAGCTCTGCCACCACTTCATGTTTTGGTACTTGTTGCAACAGTAATAGTCTCCAATGATTGTCATACTGACTTTTTAAAGCTGTGCATTTAATTATTCTCATCCACATCTTTCTGTACTTTATTCAAAGTGTTCACTGCCAATAAACTGAAGGAGTACTTCCTCACATCTATGTGGCTCCTTTGTATTTCCAGCTTACATTTTTGTCTACTTTTTCTCTCAGTAACTTGTATACTGTGACCAAATCTCCTCTGGACCTTCTTTAGTGTTTGTAGGTTTAGTTTTCTCTTTTCTTGAAGAGCTTTATTGGATGTGGGATTCATGTCATTACTGCATACTCTTAAAACTGGCATTGTATAGTATTCTGAAGGATTCTTTGATGTTACTCGTGTTGAAATCTAGGGGCATTTGATCATTCACAGCTAATATTTTGCAGCACTCAATTATATGTAAATAATTACATGAACGAACACACTTTGGTAGATAATTTATGTAGATTAAGAGCAGAAGGGGGCCCAGTACTGAACATGTGTGTGTGAGGGGAGGGGGGTGGTAGGGTGTGCTACTTACATTGTGCAGTTTTTGCATGTTTACATATTCACTAATGCGCTTATTCTACAGGCATAATGTGACCCTCTTTCCCCCCTCCCATCAGAGTTTTTCCCACCTCTCCCTCCCTCTTTCGTGCCCTCTTTTATCTGAATTTAATGGCAGAGAGTTCAGAATACTTACAGACAATGGGGGGGCTGTCTACCCCTCTCTCCCCACTACATTTAATGGCATTAATTGTATAGTACGTAGAGAAAATTAATTTGTGTGTTTTAGAAGTTGTAGATAAAATGGATAACGTTGTTCATATCACAATTTGCTTTAAGCAATACATTACTATAAATGAAAATGGATGAAAAACTACCATTTCCTTGTCTTCATAGTATTGGGAACAGAAATATCATTGCACTTTGCATCGAGTTCTGTGAGTTTAGCTTTTCTTGGGTGAGCCCTCCTGTGACTCCCTGAAGCTATATGCTGAGTTGATTACCATCATTGGTAATCATTCTTCTTTCTCATGATGTGACCAGGTCACATCAGATGTAGAGTTCCTGAGGCATACCAGGACTTGAGCCAGAATCCAAACCCCCTCCCCCCCCCCCTTCACAATGGCACAGGGAGCAGTGACATTTATTTGTGCCACCTCACCAGGGAAGGTAACCAGAAAGTCAGCGAGACAAAACAACCTTCACTACTGCTGGATTCTAAAGAGACAGAAACCTTAAAACTGGCTTCAGTCTCAAAAACTATAAAATTCTCTTGGAACTAGTATGGGCTTTGCAAGGTTCAGTTCCCTGGCACCTTCCTCTGCCCTCACTCACTGTCTTTATGCATGCCTTGGCTTTGGGTTGGGCTTTGTGACCAGCACTCACCAAGCCGGCCAGGGTTGTTGGTCTCTCCTTTGTTGGGTGCACTGTACGGTTCAGAAGTGTGTGATCTTGTGGCATGTACTGTACTGTGGAGGATTCATATTCCCTTGGGCTCCAAGCTTCGGCTCCACTTGAACTGTTCCTCCATGATTTATTGTCTCAGTCGAGGGGGGTGGGGTTGGATTCTGTTCGGTCCCCGTCTCTCTGGAGCTGTGTGCTTTGAGTAGCTCGTCTGCCGAGTTGCCGAAGTCTCGCTCTCCATGCTGTTTACATCCAGTGAGTCTCCAGTGCTCTTGCAGACAGCACTGTGTTCTTTCCCATTCTTCTTTCTTATTTCCCATTTTTTATGTTGCATTGACAGAGCTGCTACAGCTTGCATTCCATGATGATGTTCTCATGGTTCATTCATGAAACTCCAGAGGGTGCGTCATACTCTTCTCTGGAGGGAGGGTTTTGTTCTTTTGGCCATAATGGGCATTATGTCTGCAGCCAGGTCCTTTTCTGGTGAAGAATAAGTTGGTTGGCATTTGGAAGGTTTTATGATCACTGATGCTTGGTTAGTTCGGTCGTAGGCAAGTCGTGTGATGTGTTGTGTGATGGCTCTCCACTGCTACCTTCGGGCCTCTGATTGGTTCCCTGTTCCAAGGCTAGGATTTTTTGGTTCATCCGCAATGTAATCAAGTCTAGCCAGCCTGTTGTCTACCCTCGTGCCCATGGCATTCAAAGGTACACTGCTCTTTTGGCTGTGGTTGTGAATTTCTCCTGGACAGATGTTTGGATGTGGGATTTTGGAGGTAAAACAGGGCCCGGTATTTGGTGAATGTTCCCAGGCCTCGGCGCTCTTGTGTGACCTTGGGTCGTGTTTCTTGTCCGGGATTCTCGTCCTTTTTCCTAAAGTGCTCCCTCCTCCTTGGGAATTCTCATATTTTCCTTCTTCTCTGTGGGTATTTAGCTTCAGGGAGCCAGAAGAGGCTTCCCCAAGAAAACCAGCATTAAATGTAATGAAACGTCAATTTCTGGGTGAGCCCCTGATGGCTCCCTGATCCCCTTCCCTCCCGTTCCAGATTGTCATGTGGATGTCTACATCTGCCCTGAACTGGGAGTTCAAGCCCCGGCAGGCAGTGAGCTTCATCCCCTTCTTCCCAAAAGAGTGGAGGAGGTGGGGCAAACGAGCTTGTGCTAGGTCCGAAAGAATTCGATCATTTATTTACATGGTTGGGGGAGTTCTTTCAGCTAGTTTTGAGGCTTCAGTCTCTTTTTGAACCCAGCAGTAGTTGTTGGCTCACTAACTTTTTAGTTGCCTTCCCTAGTGAGTTGGCAAAATAAATGTCACTGATCCCAGTGCCTGTGTGGGGGCTGGGCTCAGGCTCCAGTTCTTCCTGGTAGGCCTCTGGGACTTTACGGCTGATGTAACCCAGTAGATGGTAACCATCTCAGCATATGGCTTCAGAGATGTCACCAGGGCTCATCCAGAAATTGGCATTTCATTACATTCAATGCTGGCTTTTTTATTGAAAGCTTATTAACCTTTTAGCCATTACTATCTTGTTAAATGTTTTATGAGTTCTGGGAGGGCCACCGTGGGAGTTTCCCAGAGCAACGGGAAGCTATGAAGTGGTTTGTCAGAAAGAGGCATTTCATTACATTCATCGCTGAAATTATGTTTTGTGATCAATGCATTTAAGGTAATAATGAGCCATTTTTTCACACAAAATTCAATCGTAGAGTTTATGTAGACCCTGATGCCAGTCTCCAATTTTACACATATTGCATACTAGTTTTCCCAGCTTGTACCTTAACATTTGGTGACATAATTAACCATTCCTGTTCTGGTTATTAACCATCTGCCGTTCTTGTTACATACATTGAACGTCTCTTTGCTTTTCCTTGTTTTGTTTCTGTGGTGTCAATATTTTATTATTCAAAAGTAACAGTAGTTGCTTAGTATTGACCTAAGTAGTTTTGGAATTAAATAATAATCTTTACCATAATTTTATATATGGAGTATAGAGTACTGTAGTAGGTTTGTTTTTATTTAATTTAGTGTAGACGTGATTGTTGTTCTAGGACAACAGGGTGAAAAATGCTATTATTCTGACATTATTTTAATGAACTTGAGGGATTATTTGACAGTATCCTAATGAACTTGAGGGATTATTTGACAGTATCCTAATGAACTTGAGGGTTAATTTGACAGTATCCTAATGAACTTCAGGGTTTATCCTGACAGTATCCTAATTTAGAACTTAGGGCATTTCAATGTAATTCTTATTGAAAAAGATTAACTTTTGTATTTTCTCTTCTACTTTAGGCTTTATTGTTCTACTTAAGATTTTATTATAGGCCTCTATAGATCTGTCTTGGTGTTGAATAAGTATTAGGACTGTTTATTACTGTATGATTTGATTCATTGCTTAAGTATATTTAGCATATTGGAATGTTATCAGTGTTTGGTATGATCACACTGGTCTTGTATTGAACCACATGGGTAGCTTATGTATGAGCTACCCATGATCTGGTAGATCATGGGTAGATACAATGATCTGGTAAAATGTACTGTATGATCTGTGAATTGTTGAACCCGTTTCATTCCCTTGGACATCCTGCAGACCGGCTGGCACGTACTCCCAGCACCCCTTCGTCCTCCTCCAAAGGGGTTGGGGAGGCAAACGTTCCCAGTCCATTCACACCTCCAGTGCACGGCAACCCGGCCTTCAACCCACAGAAGATGGGGTCGGGGAAGGGAGGGGTGAGTAAGGTAACATAAGTCATCGGTGCGTCACTAATTCCCTCTAACTGCTAATATTTGATGTGTGTGCTTATACTGATGGATATTGATTGATGGTATAAATTACATATTCTTTGTGTGTGATATTTGTTAACATCTGTATACTATTTACAAATACAGTATTATTGTTTGAGAACAAATGATTAAACAAGATATACAGTTCCTTTCACCTGGATCATCAGAGACTCAAACTCTGTTGTCCAAAGTACAAGACTTATCCTACCAACTTGGCCATGGATGCTCACAGTAAGGAAGAATCTCTGAAGCTCCCGAGATCCTTGTGAGGATCCATGGCCTGGTTGGCAAGACATTCATGTCATATGTTTGAGACCTTATTTTGAGCTTCCGATGATTCAAGGGAATGAAATGTTATTGCATCTCACAAGATATGCAGTATTTCTAGTAAATTAGGATTTCTGACAATTCATGAATATTGCTGCTATATCAAAGGGATGCACTTTTAATTATTAACAATTTTGTAGAACTGACGCACCTATTCTAAATTGTAGAAATTAAATATCTCTTGAGATATTCGTAGATTTTTAGTAATTTTTATCAATTATCATGAAAATAGGGACTAGTAAAACCTATATGATTTTTGTTGTAGTATTGGTGCTAGTAATATTTGTAGAATTATAATGCATCACTTACCTCTCACATGAACATTGTGCCACTGTGTAATCATAGAAATTTCTGATACAGTATATTATTAGATAGAAAAACAAAAACAAAATTTGTTTCCCATTAAATGGCATGATTGTCAATATGGACAATAAGATTGGTAATGTGAATTGAAGCAATTAAAATTTGAGTCAGAAAAATGCAAATGATTATTCCTGAACATTGCATGAAAAGAGTTCATGATTAATTTGGGTTAAAAGCATTGAACGCAATCAAAGGACATTTGTTCTTATTCAATAATTTGTTTGTTTTTAATAGAAATTAATTTCTTCTCTAATGAATATTTCTTCCAGCAAAGTGGGGAAGGACGAATCCCAAAACCTCCAAAAGCACCCGACAAGCCATTAATGCCGTACATGAGGTATTCCCGTAAGGTACGTTGCCTGTTTGATATCTTGAAGGTTTAGGCAGAACCAGCTTTATGGTCTTGATCAATCCTGGTGTGGTACAAAAATTGAAATACATTGTAGCAAAGTTTAGAAACACTTGTATATATACACAGTATATATATATGCGGGAAAATCTTTGGCGCAGGGTAGTGGAGTTGATGCCATGTTCTAGATCACCTCAAATGCTCGCATTACCTACTGGACCGCATGTGTCTGCGGTAACCTAGAGGGCAGGTTTGATTCCACTGTCTTGCTGAAAGGATTTTCTCATAGATACATCATGTTACATGTATTGTAATTTTGTTGTGTATGTATATATATTGCTTCTTTCTCAGCATGTAAGATCTAGTCCAACACATGCACGTGAATTGAAAGTGACGACATTTCGGCGAGTTCTAAACCTTAACAAGTTATGTTAAAACTTGATTAGGGTCCAGGCCAGATCAAAAATGTCATTACTTTCATTTCATTTCATATATGTATGTGAGTTGGATTATTTATTGCCATCCACTTTATTTTGGCTTACTCTCTAGTTCTTTTATATATTAATGTACATCAAATGTATAAAAAGTTAATTTGGCTGTTCTCCTGTACTCTGTATGTGTTTGTCATCTTTTATACTGTCTATGCTCGATAATTCAAATTATATGGGGGGCCCCACCCAAATTCAAGTCATTCGACCATTTGAGTTAGCCAAATTTTTGCCTGGAAAGTACAGAAATTAAATAATTCTAATTTTGGGTTTCATTAGCTAGAAATCTCCAAAAATCAAATTTTTATTTGAGTTGAGCAGCCACAAACTCGAACTCGAGCTTATTCGGTTACCAGAATTTGGATTGCTGAGCTCTTACAGTATATTTCTACACTATCAAACTATTAATAAATTTGTTTTAATTTTTGTTGAGGCTGAACAGTATTTTTAAGGTGTTTTGCAACTTAAATATTAGTAACCATTATAAACAAAGCCTTGTAAGAGGCATCATACATATCCCTTAGCAATATTTTTTACACCCTTATAAACAAAGCCTGATAGGATGTGTGATCCATATCATGCTTTTTATACCCTGATGAATAAAGCTGTGTAGAATGCCTGGATTATTACCTACATGTTGGCATAATTGTGGGGGGATAGGCCAGTTTTAAACATTCTTGTAAATTCTGAAGGTGACGATGTTAATTTGAGAATTTGTATTTACCATTATTGATTGCCTAGAACGTTTTATAAATGACAACCAATCCTGGCAGGAAGTGAAACAAATTTATGCTTCAGGAATTCTTTGTGCTGAAATATATGTCAATATCACCAAAGTTAGTGTGTGAAATGCTAATTCATTGTTAATTTACTTTGTGATGCAAGTCCCACAAGAATTTTAGATGTGCGATCAAGTGTTTATCACCTCTGGCTGGAAGAAAGGGTCCCATAGTGACAGAGTAAGGCACACAAAAAGCTTTAGAGGGTCCCCCCCCATCCCCTACAATTCCCTGTGTAGTTTCCATGTTCTTTTGTTTTGCCACCCTTCCTACTTTTTTAATTTTGTTTTGGTTTATTTAATATATTAAAGGTTACAAGTTTCACATTGGTGAATACAATGAAAGGTTAAAGTTTGTAGAACTCTTTTGAGATCCACAGCTTCCAGACAAGATCCAAGGAAACAGCAGGCATTTTCCCCTCTGAATTACTACACTGAGGAGCTGAAACAGGAAACTAGCAACTCTTGGGTGGTGTTAATGAGCCTGGAACCCCTGTTCTTTGAAAAGGCTCAAGGTGCCCCCACCCCAGGTCTTGAGTATCTTGGATGCTTTGGGAACTAATGTATACTGACCTTCCAGTTGCCTGTACTTGTTTGATTTTACTGTTTCCCTGTGGTTGGTTGCACCACACTAAGGTTCAGCATTGAAGTGTATGTAAGTGTCAGCCAGGGTGGTTACATGTGTGTAGTTCCACACCAGTTATTTGCCCCTCTTCTAGGCATATATTGTGATGATGTCTGGATGGCGCACAGGACCATCAGGATTTTGGGCCCTTACAACGCGAGGTTCTCTCTCTGCTGGGCAATGAACTGAAGCAAGGCTCCTCTTGATGATGTCATTAAATTTATTGTCTTTCATGCCAACCTTTGGAGCTTCTGCAGTGCAGCCCATGCAATCCATATTGGTCAGCTACCACCCTGTTGCAAATACATTTGTATTCAATGTGAATTACAGCACCAAGGCAGAAAGCCACTGCCACATAGAGGGCCTTTGGATCTAGTGTGCCTGTTGCCGACGTAGTCCAATGCCTGGAGGGCACCCATGTAGTGGATTTGTTTTAAGGCAAGTTTTTCCTACAGTGATGGTGAATCCTGGAGCATGGCATCAGCTATTTTTTCACCTTTGGGCTGTCCCACCTGGACTGTTTGTATTTTTTTGGTTGGGTGCTGGGGCTGCAAGTGTTTTCGTTGTGGAGCAGGTGCCGGCTGGAGTTAAACAGAGGTCATGACCTCTCCCGCGCTCCCTTAAATATACCCCCCCCCCATGCTGTGCGTGCAGTGCCTGCTGCAAGGCGCTGCTCATATGTTTTCCCTCCGTCGGTGAAATTCCACTGCTTTCGTGCAAGCAGTGACCATTTTTGGCTTGAGAGAGGAAAACACACTCCTAGTTTGGGAGGGGTACTTATTTATTATATGTAGTTTAATATTATAGATATTTACAAGTTATGGGCATCCCACTGATTCAAATATTCAATAAAATCAGGATCGTGTATCCCTGGAAATCACCCATAACTTCTGGGTGACAGACACGCATGCACACACTCTCGCAGGCACACACATGCGTGAGTGTCTATACATAGATAGATCAATACATATACATGTGAGTGTCTATACATAGACCAATACATCCAAGCTGATCAAAGAGCCAGAGCTCAACCCCTGCAAGCACAACTAGGTAAGTACACAGTAATTACACACACTTCTCAAGGGGACACAGGTGGGAATTGAGTACCCAGATGAGCCATTGAGATATTAGAAAAAACTTTTTAAGCATCAGAATAGTTAACAAATGGAATGCATTAGGAAGTGATGAGGTGGAGGCAGACTACATACACAGTTTCAAATGTAGATATGATAGAGCCTAATAGACTCGGAAATCTGTACACCGGTTGATTGGCAGTTGAGAGGCGGGACCAAAGAGCCGGAGCTCAACCCCCGCAAAGCACAACTAGGTGTGTACACTGACTGAAAAATTACTCGAGGGTCTAGGAAGAAATAAGGCAGTAGGACCAGATGGTGTTTCACCTTGGGTACTGCAAGAATGTGCAACTGAGCTGAGCATTCCATTCCGATTGATATTGTAGACATCTTTGTACACTGCTGCTGCATGCATTAGCTGTGATCACTCTGGGATGCACACAATATTTTTCCAAGATGGCATCTGTTTATTGGAGTCCTGATGCACAGGATGTGAACCCCGTGTACCCGGAGGAGTTTTGAATTGTTCCCTATACATAAAAATGCCTTGAAGTGCTGTGTGCACCACCACCATCATCTCACTAATACGTTATTAATATTCCCTAATCTCATTAAAGGCGTTGTACCTCACATCACTTCTTTCCTGCGTATATATCCAACCTATAATTCTATCCTTAATTCTATAATTCGATCTGTAATTCTATCCCTCTGAAGATTATTATTTTTTTTTTTTCAACTTGCTGTGGGCTGGATGTGGCCCACTGGTCATAATTTGGAGACCCTTTAGCCTAGAACAATACCCGTCTCGTGCCGTCACCTAGGCTTGCTCAGCAACATATTTCTATAGAAATATTAAACTTTTTTTTAATATTGGTTACATAATTTATTGTGTTTTGAGCACAGCAACATGGTTGTTAAATATGTTATTGTATGAAATTTTACATAATTTGAAATTTTGAATTATTTATATTTTATCTTTGTTAAAGATCCTTGTTTTACATGATTATTTGAGTAATTTATTTATAAATAAATAAATTACATTATTTACATTGATTTATCCTCGATGAGGACAGGAAGCCGACGGCTTGTCTTAGAACAATGTTCCTCATTTTACGGTATCTGCTTTTTGGAGCACATGATATTTTATTTTTATGTTATAAAAAGAAAACATAAATAAAGGTCTCTTGTTTTGTATTTCTCACCCAAAATACATCAATTTTATTGATATTTATGGAGAATTGTTAATATATTCGATGTTGTATGCTTTGGGAGCATACAGAAGGTACCCATATCAAATTGCATCAAAATACCCATATCAAAAGGTATCAGGAAAATACATATACTGTACCTGAAGGTAACAAGCAATACCCATATCAGAATGTATCGGAAAATACCTATATCAGAAAGCATTGTAAAATGCCCTTCTTGGAAGGTATCGGAAAATGCTCATATATGTATCTCTAAACTATTTGTCAATTTTCAAAAGGATAGACTAAAATAAAAGATAATAGTATTTAAAACACGTCGGGCAAGTTAAAATAAAGTAATGTACGGCAATATCCTTTATTGAGGACAGGAATCTTGTACTTAGCTTTGTATATTGTCCCTCACCCATCCAAGGTCGAACTACTGACTTCCCCAGAATGCAACCCCACGACAGTTCTCCAATTCCCTGGTACCTGTTTACTTCTAGGTGAACAGTGGCATCAGATGAAGGGCAGTGTGTCGAACCATTTCTTCCCCACCCAGGAATCAAACCTGGGATCCCCAGGTGTTGAGAACATAGACCACTGTTCCTATTGTTTCTATTATATTTGATGAAAATTTTGTAAATTAACCAGCCAATTGCCATACTGAATAATTTAATATAGGAGTTTGAACTAACCTGAAATGCAAAATGTGATTTTGTTTCTATTTTCGTTTCATAACCATTTTACCTAGTGTTTGTGTTAGAGACTGAGAAATATAACTGTTCAACAATAATGTGTGAAAAATAATGAGCTGTAGTTGTGAGCAAAACCTAACATTTGTAGTCATTGGCAGCGTTGGGGTTTGATGGGCAAATGAGAGAGCGGTTGATAGTCTTTTGCTAAAATATTGGCAAATGGCTATGCCCCCTATGTGCAATACGTACACAATTTGGGAACACATACGTTGCTTGCTCGTAATTTTAATGCGGAAATGACACTGGCTTGCAGTCTGTTTCAAACACTGCTTATTGATGCATAAATTCTATCATTAAAATTTAGAGTACAGTATTTTGATAAAAGAAGGTTCAGTTGTGTTATTTAATAGTTAATTAATTTCTATATACAGTATAAGGGTTAATGTGTACAAAACTAACCGTGGCTATGGATACAATGTTTACACTTATGTTGCCATGAATTGCCCTCCTTTAGAGACACTGAATCTACTATGTCCCATTAGTTCATGAGCTAGTTTTGGAGTTTCTGATAATGCAATCACCTTTTCTTCTCCTAGAACTCACTCTAACAGCATCCTGCTTTTCACATAATTATTTGTTCCTTATTGTGTTTCAGGTTTGGGATCAAGTGAAAGCAGCAAACAATGATCTCAAATTGTGGGAAATTGGCAAAATAATTGGGTCTATGTGGCGAGATCTACCTGAAGCGGACAAGCAGGATTTTGTTGATGAGTACGAGTCGGAGAAGGTAAATACCTTCAATATGAGATTTATTCAGTGTGCCTTACGATTTTCTGGAGTGTGACACGATAGCATTTATTGATTACCCATAGCAGTGCACCTTTAAGGAATTGAGTCCACCACTTAGCTCTGTTGGTCGTTTAGGTGGAAGAGTAACACTTTTTTTTTCTAAATCTGTTTAAACCAAAACATTCAAGTATATAAAAACAATTAAAACTAAATAGCCCAGATCACAAATATATAAAAAAAGTGATGATGTTTCAGTCTGGTGCGGATCCTTATGAAGGGCCAAGAATATACTGAAAGGTCTTTCATTTAATTTCATGTGTGTGGGCTGGGTTACTTGTTGTCTATTCTCTGTATTAGCTATTGTTTGAGTTCATCTATGCAGTTTTGTCATTTAATTACAGACCAATTAATATAAAGGTTGTACTATATATTACAGTGATGATATAGTATTTGTCTTGCATAAAATCCTGCATGTGTTACTCTTCCCATTGACCTCTTAATTTATATAATGCACCTGTTTGATGACTAAATAAATGGTTAGTGCCCATTGTTTAAGTTATTAAAAGTTATGCAGTATATATCAGTTACTATAAACATGGCACATATGATGAAATATTGAGACCGTATATTGAAATTGAACCTTGCATCCCTTTGACTCCACATGCACATGCATTACAAACTGAAGCATGATGAAATCATCATAGTTCAGTAGAGCACCTGGGGCCCAGATTCACGATGCAGTTAAGCAAGCACATACGAACCTGTACATCTTTTCTCAATCTTTGGCTGCTTTGTTTACAATTATTAAACAGTTAATGAGCTCGGAAGAACCAGGAGGCTGTTTATAACAATAACAATAGTTGATTGGGAAGTTTTCATGCTTGTAAACTGTTTAATAAATGTAACCAAAGCCGACAAATATTGAGGAAAGTTGTACACGTTCGTAAGTACTTGCGTAACTTCTTCGTGAATCTGGCCCCTGGCGAGTACAGGGATGCGGTTTGATCACATTGTATAGGCTCGATATTTTCTCATAGATACATCATGCTCATGTAATATTATTGTGCATGGCACATTCATTTATCATCTGTGCCACGCACAACGAAATCATAAAAAACATGGTGTACAGTATCTTTAATAATATGTTGAGGCCGTACAATAGGATCAAACCCGTATCCCTGGACTGTGTGGAGGAAAAAAAGAACTTGAAATTACTATAATTCAATCTTGCGGAGTGCATTAGATGAGTATGGGGCACCATCTATCGATTGCATGATGAAACTGCAAAAACAAACTCCTGAATATTACAGTGTCTCTAATAACCAATAAGCTTCCAAAGTAATAAGTCAGCATTCAGAGCCATGTGTTCATGTGTTGAAGCCACACAGCTGCTCTCATTGTAATGTTATCACGACTTGATACTTGCTAAATTTATCATGATTTTCCTCAGCCGCTTACATTGTCATCAACTTCCATTTGCTGCCTTTATTTTAATGTGTGCATTGTTTTTGATGCTCTATATCCACAAAATTTATCAGCATTAATTTTATATATTTTCCCAATACAATGTTTATTTGCACATTCTTCATTTCTCCTTTGCTAATCTCATCATTGATTCAGTGTACTGTACTTTTTCAGTATTATACTTACAACTACAGACTGTACAACCTGTCATTGCACATAGTTTGATGTCCCCACTCACAGCTGAATGTGTAATGTTCACACCTATAACTATAGATGTTCAACATTTACTGCACTTTAGTATCCCATGTATATCTGAAAACAAGTATTTTCTTCTCTTATTCCACTATACTGTATTTTCATATCCCACTCACACCTGCACATTTCTGCTCATCACTGCACTTATTTTTGTATTGCCACTCACAATTGCAGATTTGTACTATTCACTGCATTCACTGCATTTATTTCTGTATTGGTGCTCATAACTATAGACATCTACTCTTCACTGCACTTGTTTCCATTTCTCACTCAACTGCAGACCATGTTCTAGTTGAGAAACTATTCACTACTCTTGTACCTGTATCCCACTCACAACTGCAGACTCATTCTTGTCACTACAGACTTCTGTCAATGGCCTGCTGATTTCCTGACATGAATAATGTGTTTTTATAGCCACCTCAAGTAAATGTACCATTTATTTGAAAGTTTAAGCCCTCTTTCATTAAATTTGTATTCATTCTAGTTGACTGACTGTAATAACCACTCACTCAATCCCATTTTGCGTGAAAAATATTTACCTATGTCCAATCTCTGTGATGTAAAAAAAAAATACATGTACTGTATACTGTATATGTATTTTTTATTGTATTATGTGTTACTAATATTACCTATTATTTCTTCTTGAACTTTCATATCCACTTTCAGAGTTTATAGAAGTAATAAACTTCAGCTGGAAAAAAAAAACATTTGCAGTACATTGTTGTCTTGAAACAATAAAGAACTTGACCAATTGCGTGATAACAAATTACCAGTTATTTGAAGTATCTTCTTCCAATTTAGATTGTTGGGTATAAGAAAATCAGTAGGAGCCATAAGGAGGAGGATTTGAACCCCGAACATTACGTTAATGTGATTTCATTGTGCATGGTCGTGTATTTTATATTCAATTAAAAATGTCCACATCTAAAATTTAAAGTATTTCTTTTAAGTGGAAATGTTCATTGATTATTAAAAGAATATTATAATACAATACTCTTTAGTTACAACCCAGAAAATCTCGAGGTCATTCATGCGTTAGTACAGCACGTTTTCAGACAATTTTAAAATGGCTTCTCAGACTCTTTATATCGTAACTTGTAAGGGAAGCTTCAGGTTCTCGAGCAAAAACTTGATCCATCATTTGGCTTAAATGTACAACTTTGTGGAAATTTTAGAAAAGCTGAAGAATGAGGGTGAATTCAAGCTAGAGAAGATTGGTGAATTCAAATTGAAAAAGCTGGTGAATTGAAGCCAGAGAATAGGATTAATTTAATTTACATGAATTCATGATGAGGGTGAATTCAAATTGAAAAAAGATGGTGAATTCAAGCGAGCCAAATGTTTATTACATTGATTCATCTCTCTTGACTTGACTTGACATCTGTCTTGACAATCGCAAGCAGGTTGCTGTTGTCACAATTTCTGCTTTGGAAATAGAGGCAATCATTTTTCAAGAATATTGTGTGGGGGGGGGGGTGAGGTATTTGCACTTTCACTTTGTTGTGATTCTATTTCTATATAACTTGTTACACAGTACTTTGGACAACTTAGCACTTACACGCTTCCAATTGCTCTCTGTGATTTCCTCCTGTGCTCCAATCACTATATGTGATTTCCTTCTGTGCTCCAATTGGCATACGCAATTTTTGTCCCCTGTTGAGTTGACTCGATTTATAGATGCGCTCCTCAATGTAGTCATTTTAAACAGGTGGGCAGCTTAGGGTTTTAAATAAGAGCCATAAATGATGGTGGCCCTAAGGTAATATTATTACCTTACGGCCACTTTTATTTTAAAGTAAAATTTTACTTTGTTCTATTTTTGTTAATGATTCAAAAGCCAGTTCTATAGTAAAGTACTATATGCATGCTCTTAAAAAGATAAATTTTGACTATTTTAATTTGTACACTTTTATTACTGCAGCTTAAAAACGTAAATAATTCATTATCCTTATATGGTACCGTCTTACATAGCAGTGAAATGTGGAGGCCGTTTTGTGATTAATTGGAGGTTAAGCAGACAGTATATATATCTTAAGATTAAGATTCCCTAAACTGATGGACAACTTAAATGTTTGGGTTTAGGCATCTGTCACTGAGCACCCGTAGTGTCTTATCCAGGATGTTCTGTATTTTTCCGGTGGATAGGATGCACGTTTTTCAAAACTAAATTGATAGAAAAACGTACCATACCATGTGTCTGATGTGCCCAGATGGGAGCCAGTGCTGTAGATGCAAGGAAGGCACCTAACTAGTATGTTGAAATAGACTAAAATTGTTTTTCCCACAAATAAATCCTTCTTAAAATAAGGGTGCACCTTGTACACCAGAAAATACAGTAAATACTGTATAGTTTGCTTATCTTCAGTATTAACAGTAAGGTAAAGATTATACAATAGGTGTGAAAACATTAACCTGTTTGGGTAAAAATATGAAAGGATATGAATTGATAAAGTAATATGTATAAAATTCTTTTAGATAATTTTGATTTATAATGTTTAAGAGTAACACAGGATTGGAACTTGGGCCTAAGATATACAGTGGCTACACTAATGCAGCTCTTTAAAGAGATAAAAGGAATAGAACCCAGGAACCAACTGAGTTCTTGAATTTGTTAATAAACCAGTACAATAGCTTGTTTTAAATAATGCTCTTTGTTGGTAGGTATCGCTTCATGAAGCAGTGGCATAATGTCAGTCTTTTTTATATCTTCGACCCTAGTGTGATAAGATCAAAATTTGTTGTTGTTTGTGCCATTGTAAACATCACTTTGAATACAAATTTATTTTAATAATATACAGAAGTGAGAGGTTTCTCATACCATTTACCTATTCATTTCCCCTTAAAATTTCCTCCAGGTTTCCAAGTGATCCATCCGCCACACATTCCAGGACTCCTCATTGTTTCTCAAGATGACCATTTATTCTCACTTAATACTCTTACAATGCTTTTTTGTCTTGTGGATTTTCCCATTGATCATTTATATTATATTATTTATATTATTTTTATTTATATTACCCGTTCACTAAATTTATCATGCACTTTTATTTGTTAGTGAAAGCATTTAGTGGTTGCTTGTTTTTGTTTTTTTGAGAGTCAAAATAGCCCACAGGTAACCCAACGTGCATGTATGAAACGAAATGAAAGTAACTGTTTTGCTCTATTCTGGACCCTTATCAAGGCTGAAACAGTCACATCATAACAAGGGTGCAAGACGGACCAAAACATCGTCACTTCATTTCAATTTCATTTGTGGGTTGGGTTTAAATGGTTTCATCTGCGCTATTGTGACTTATTCCTATAATTTTCTTTATTTTTATATTAATGCTATAAGGTCTTAATTACTGGAGAGTTTAAAGGAGGATGCTAGTCAAATATTTTGTCGTTTAGACTGCCACCCTGCTTGAGTGTGGGATTGGTATGTGTACAGTAATACTGTTTACTCATCAGTGGCTATGGGGGAGCTAGTTCATAATGCCCAGCCTCGTAGCCATATATATCTGGTGTGCTAATTACTTCACTCAACATGAAAGTTTTCATCATATTTTTTCTTTACTTTTTGGACGGATTTTGCCGCACTGTTTAGGAACTTTCTCAATAATGCAGGTTTATCATACATTGTTTTAATTATCTTCATAATCTGCTTTTCAAATGAATATTACTTTACCTAAATACTGTATAGGAATCTACAAAGCTACAGTACAGCTTTGCCAATTTCCTCATTATTTTCGTTGTTATTTAGCTAGTAGTTTAAATGGCCATAAACTGCATGTATAGAGGTGGAGGGAATAGCAGTAGTTGTTGTTGTCGTATAGTACCGTGTATAGTAACCCGTGGTAGTGGGTATTAATTAATACGTGTCTCAGTAATGTGATTGGAGGGTAAGGTTTATTACTATTTGGATGAGCAGAAATTGAAGGTGTTGACTATTAAGATTTTTTTTAATTCTGTAGATGTATACCTTAGCATTACTAAGGGTATCTAATGCTGCAGATGTATACCTTAGCAATGTTCAACAATATGAGGGTTATAAATCAGGATAAAGGTAATTCCTTACCCAAACTAGCATACAGCTAGATATAAATTATCCTTAATTGTTAACATTTTCTCCATTTTTCATCTCTCATCCAGCTTAAAGTAGGAGAAGCCTTGTAGAGCTTGTGGTACACACACACAGGCAGTAATTGGTTTATAAAATAGACCCCCCTCTCCTAAAAAAAAAAAGTAATTCCAACTGTTTTCTTTAACTGCCCAATTCTTTCGTTGCTACAGTATAAAATTCTATATTGTCAGTGAAAGAGGCTGATATTTCATATCTATTTTAGTAAAAATGTGTGTGTGGCAGTTTCAGAAAATGTAGTTTTTATGTTTTAAGACAACCCAAATTTTTGGTGTTATGCCTTGCATTTCTTTCTTAGAGATTGTAGTTTCATACATTTGTGAATGTTTTATTGCCTTCTCATGTTATAGATTTTTTGTATTTATGATGTAGATTTGAAAAACATATATGTATATATATATATATATATATATATATATATATATATATATATATATATATATATATATATATATATATATATATATATATATATATATATATATATATATATATATATATATATATATATATATATATATATATATATATATATATATATATATATATATATATATATATATATATATATATATATAAAATAATGAAGGGTAATAGGTGCTAAAAATGGATGCATGAAGAATTAATAGAGTATTAGAAGATAGTTTTTGTTTATTAGATATTCTATATTTGTGAGTCAAGGCATTATGTTGAGTCATAAGTGCAGCTTAGTGTTGTGAGAATAGCTCTACCCATGCCGACCAAGCCCCAGACTGGCTTTGTGTGAGTTATATGCTGTCAGACAGGGTTCTGGGTTACATGCTGACGTACGCAGGTTCTGAGTAAATTATGTGCTGACAGGGCACTGTGTGAGTTATGTGGTTACAGACTGTGGGGCACCAAGTGAGTTGACAGCTCACAGAATGAGTCACATGCTGACAGACGGAGTACTAGGTGAATTACAGGCTGACATTGGCTGTGGGTAAGCTCTGTGTTGACATCCTCTGATTTGCAGGCGGATTACACTAAGGCTCTTGAGGCGTATCACAGTTCACCCGCTTATCAGCAGTACCTGGCAGCCAAGTCTAAAGGTAGGTGGTGGGAGGTTAGAGGGGGTCGGAGGCACAGCGGTTTGAGGGTTGCAGCACTGTAGGGTTATTTGTGTGCGTGGAGAAGGAGAAGCCATAGCATCTTGAACTCTGTAATAACTGGAACTTGAGCACGACCTTTGTATTAACCACATTTGCATGTTGTATTGTAATAACCGGGACTGAAGCATGACTTTTGTATTAACTAGATGTGCATGTTGCGTTATAATAACCTGGACTTTAGCATGATCTTTGTGTTAATTTTGCACGTTGTATTACCAAATTCTGTTGTGATATTCAACAAATATATTCAGTGTTGTAAATTTGTTCTTGTTTCAGTGAAGTTTGTATAGTGTAAATTAAATGGATTTGCTTTTGAAGGAATAACAGAATCTGGAATTGTTTGGTAAAATTTTGCTCTCTCTAACAAGGCTTGCCTTTATTAATTATATAGTTATTCGGTATTCATACATGATTGTTAGGTATGGACTGTCTCTTTTTTTCAAATTCTTGCAACAAGAAATTAGATTCAGCAAATGATATTTGCTCCTATTGGTTTGCATGGACAAATATCACTCGTTATACTGAGGTGTAAAGCCAGTAGTGGAGCTATGAGACATTCTGCACCAAGTGAAATGCAGTATCTACATTTTCCTTGACAAAATTATATATGACTAATGGTAGATAATCAGCATGTATCCAATCTGATGGCTTATTTAGCTTTCTGTGTTTTCTAACAATTCAAATTACTTCATGACAAAACTGTTCTTTCTTATACATTTATTGCTTGTGGAATTCTGTCCACCCTATTCCTTATTTTACCATGCCCTTTTTCTTCGTCTCCCTTATATACTTTCCTCGTTATCTTTATCATGTTAGCTCCCCCTATATATACAAAAAATACATTAGGGGTGAGAGCAGGTTATTTTGTAATGGATGTGTCGTTTTCTATCTTTTTGGACACGAAGTACTCCAGGGTCAGAATTCATCAAACATTCCCGTGTCCATATGAAAACTGTACAGTACATCTTTCTTCAATTGTGGCAGCGTAGTCCATATTAAACAGCTTATGGGCTTTGGAACTAAACAGCCCAAAGTTGTTATTGTTATGGCGAACCTCATAGCACTCTGGTTATAAAAATTTTCATTAATGCAAATGAAGCCACTATGATTGAGAAAATCTGTCCAGGTTCATAAATGAATTTGTAAATTCTTGATGAACCAAGGTCCTGAACAATAACTTAAATGTTATTGTTTGTAGGAGCACCAAAGATCATGTACAGAAAGTGTCTCCAAAAGGTAAAGATACACTAATATACTGTTAATCCAAACACCTTACCTTATGCCTAAATTTTATCATCCATTCCTTGGCCGGGATTCATCAAGCATTTATGCATTCACTTAGGATACCTGTATGTCTTTCAACAATCATGGTGGTTTTCTTTACATTTATTTAACAGTTTACGGGTATTGAAACTTCACAATCCAAGGTTATTATTATGAACAAATCCACAAGGGCCGTGATGAGGGTTTGAACCTACGTCCGAGAGGATCCCAGATGTTGCCTTAATCGACTGAGCTACGACATGGTTTCTTTTAACCATGTAGCTCGGTCAATTGAGGCAGTGTCTGGGAGCCTCTCAGACGTAGGTTCGAACCCCTGTCACAGCCCTTCTGAATTTGTTCATTTGATGCATCACGCTATTGTGATTTCTGTGTGCAAAGGTTATTATTGTTACAAACAACCTTATAGTACTTCACATCTCATAAACTTTTTAATAAATGTAAACAACTCCGCCATAATTGTCACATGCTGTACACATCTCGTAAATGGATGCATAAATGCTCGAGGGATTCTGGGCCTATCTGGTACAGAGGATGAATTCTATTAATTGTAGTCTTCACCCATCCTATGTCCAGGTCATAAATACTTGAAAGAAATATATTAGCAGTAGTCAACAAGGGTCATGAGCCCCACTTGCTGATAACTTTAGTGTCATCCTTTCATTACTTCTTTATTGCAATGGCAACCTTTTGTTTCCATTCAAATTGAAACACATTATTTCCAGTGCTTGATCTGTCTTTCTATTTTATTACTGCTTTATTGATCTATTCATATTTGACAGCACAGAAAGCTAGTCGGTGCCTTAAACCACTCTCCACTAATTAATTTGCATTTATACAGCTGAGCAAGGATGGCAAATAGACATTCAATATATTGAATCCTAAGATTTCTTCAAGTAGTTGACTCTGAAAAGTGTTGATAATTATCATTTGCTGAATCACTTCAGTTGTTGCAGTGTGCATGGCATGTTTATTCTTTGTTTAGCCCATAGTTGCTCTCTCATGCATGCAGTTTTGGTCTAGCTGGTAGTTTGATCGTTAGTCTCTCCACCAAATCCCTTTTCCTTGTTTGTCAACTTGTTTTTCCTCCTAATGACGTAATCATTTGATTGTGGTGTGCTGACGATCACCACCACAAACTGGAGTCGTCCCTTTTAGATCTCTCTCTCTCTCTCTCTAACTCTGCCTCTTACAGCACCTTGATGACAGGTTCATTCACTGTACTACTTGCATTTGTGGTTTTGTTTTACAGCTTGAATATGAAAAGGCAATGAAAAGCTATCATGCTTCCCCGAGCTATCAGGCGTACTTGAATGCAAAAACTAAGGGTGAGTACGAGACATTTTTTGTGCATTTTTTCCTGTTCCTATCAATTCTTTCTTATTACAGGCTACTTTTAAAATGTTAGCATCTAAGTAATACATAACCAAAGTTTTTTTCAAGTCATTAACACTCATGTTCCAGTTTTAGAATGTATGGCAAAATTGTGGCATCCAAAAGACTTACGCTTGTGTGCTGGTCCAACAGGTTGCAGAATTCAATTTGAAAATTCACAGAAAATTTATTAATTTTGTACAATTTTTGTTTTTGTAACATAGGATAGAACAATCAGCACATGCATTTGAATGTCATAAATTTATATATATGTAATAAATAACTGAACAAATGTATAGGTATATTTAAATATTTGCTCTTGGCATACATTCACTAGTAGTATCATCTTAAAAAAATATTAGTTTTTGTTAGTGAACATCTTGATGCCAAAAATATACATACAATATGGCATATGAAAATAAGAGCTACAGGAGACAGAAGTATTGTATTATCAATACAGTATTTTCATTTAACTCTTGCAGCAATACAAATGATTAATGTAATAATAGTTTTTATTTATTTCCTTCTTTTATACCATGTGGTAGACTACCCATTAGCAAACATTTTAAAATTATATAAAACTATAAGAAACAGCTGTCAAAATTTACGGTCATTTGAACAAATCCATAGGGGCCGTGACGAGGATTCGAACCTGCGTCCAGGAGTTTCCCAGACACTGCCTTAATCGACTGAGCTACGACAGAGTAAAAGAGTTGAAACCGAAATTCTACTGAACTTCTACTAAGTTTAGTAGAACTTCGGTTTCAACTCTTTTTACCCTGTTGTAGCTCAGTCGATTAAGGCAGTGTCTGGGATGCTCCCGGGCGCAGGTTCGAATCCTCGTCACGGCCCTTGTGGATTTGTTCATTTGATGCATCACGTTAGTGTGATCTCTGTGTGTAGTGTTTACGGTCATTTATAAACACATAATTGTGTTCATTTCTACCAGTTGTGATATTTTTTAAATTCACAAAAAATACATTTACAATATTATGCAAACTCATTTTCTTTGTACCATACACGAGAAGCACTGTTAGGGAATGTGAGGTGCCAAACTTTTATATATACGCGACACTAAACAGGCTTACAATCCTAACGTATAATTATTTGTGCTCGGCAGAACTGCCATTCACACATGACCTTGTTGACTTCAAGGTCAAAAGCCAGGTCTTATCAGGAACACAAGAGTGATTAAAGAAATGTTGAATTTTTATGAATGTTGATTTATCTATACATGGTGTCTCATCATTCATCATTAATTTCATTTCACTCTAAAATTTCAGTCAGTTATCATAGCTACATTTTTCTGATGAAAATAAAGCAATACAGCACTTCTGAGTCAAAGTATTAACTCAAAAAAGTGAGAAAATAAGGCTGTAAATTAGGATCAAATCTTAGACACTAGTTTTGGGAACTAGTTATTTGCTGGGCTTCATAACTAGGTACGAAGGCCTAAGTATATGCTAGTTTCGAGAACTAGGTATACACTGAGGCTGCATCCAGGATTTATGCTTAGAGCCCAAAATGTGGTCTAAAACCAATTTAACGTGCTGCTTGTATTTAAACGCTATACAGACCCATGATTATAACAAGTAAATAAGTAATTTTAATTGGGCAAAACTTTTCAAAGGTTAGCTAATGTCCCTTTTAGTACAGAAATTAAACATAAAAGAAACTGGAGATTGAGATGTAAATATCCACTGCTCATATACAAACCTAAGGCGAATGAAAACTGAAATTAAGTTTCAGTTTTCTTTCCTGTCTTAAGTGCAGTTTAGTCTTTTCATTATGGAATGATTTCTGCAGAATCATAATTACTGTATTTGATGGTAGATAGAACATTTGCTTTTGGCCCAGCACCAGCAGAATATAGTATTTTCATGCGCAAAATCATGTTTCCCCTACAAAACCACTTAAAAACTATTTTCAGTAAATGTACAGGTATAATGAAACGTACTAAAATTATTTTTGTCCTCAAAATATCCGTGTGAATTACTGTAGTTGCATCATATATGGTGGTAAATATGGTACTGTTTATCTTTAATATTACAGTATTATGACGTGATGTGTCCTTGAGGTGGCCTATTTCAAATTTTCCCATGATGCTCACATTTTAAAATGTGTTTTAGGCTGTGATTAAAGAATACGCAACTAAATTAATTTAGTTATTAGCACTTAGCAAATTCAGGATCCTAGTCCCCTCATATTGCAGGTGCCACAATACTGTTTTGTTGTAGAACATTCACTCGGGAATTGTATATACTGTTCAGTATCATTAAAAGTATAAGCATAGAGCAACTAGACTCTGTTAATAGAGTAACATAGAGTGACAAGAGCAGCATCTCATATGGGTTACTAATACATTGGATAGATTCAATATTAAATATGCCATATTTCCCCAGCATATAAGATGCACCCCTATTTTCTAAGGATGTTGTGTGGATATTTTTTTTATGTATGTTTCATTGTACATTGAGAGGTATTTTAGCGTGTGCGTACCCTATTACCACATTCTGTCACACACAGGTTATGAGATTTAACTTAAACCCAATGTTATAACAATGCATTCTATCTGCCAGAAAATATGGTATATATATTAGGACCCATCCTGCAAGTCAGCCAGGACCACACACACTAAAATATTCAAATGTTCTCAACATGCTTTCGTGGATTGATTGCATCCTGTAAGTCTTATGTTGAGCCATCATGGTATGAAATTCAACATTTGTGTTAGAAAATGAACAAATTAAGCCTTTGTTAACAAACAAACAAATCTTTAACAAAATCTTTGTTAGAAGAAAGTTTTGTTTCAATAAGTGTACTTACGTTTTAGTCAGAATTAGAGAGTTGAGAAGTATTTAAATTTTCTTTATTATACAACATACAAGTTTGTTTGAAAACATTGTTTATATTCACACTGGTACAAAGGGATAGGCTGAAGTTGTTAAATGAATTACAGGATTTTATTTCCTTTATGAATTGCTATTCTTTAAGCCAGCGGTCGCCAACTGGTGTTGTGTGTTCTGAGAGTTTAGCCAATGATACCATGAAACCTTCAAAACTCGAAAGACGAGGCAACTGTTATGCAATCATAACACCCGGATTTAGCTGGGAAACCACCTGAATATTTACAAAGAATGTGTGAAAATGTGCAAAAGCAAGTAATTGTGTTAACAAAAATGACTGTTTGAGATAAGTTAAATTAGTAGTCCGCGGGATTTATAATTATGAATTTAGTGGTCCATGAGGTCCGAAAGGTTGGCGATCGCTGCGCTAAGCTGTTGCATTCATTTGTTTCCTATGGTAGAAATCTGGTTTATCATAGACACAACGGCAGGATGACATTGAGGTACTAATGCCACTGGAATCTTTTAAGATATTCCTGAAGTATATCTTCAGGAATGCCACTCTATCACTTTACATTCCTTGTAAAGTGATAGAGTGGCACTGGAGAAAGCTCGATGAAAAAATAATGCCATAAAATCTTTAAGCTCAAATGGATCCTTGCTTGGGAGGAAACTAATGGCTGAATACAATTGCTTTGTATCTTTAAGTTCAATTAGGGTTTGATTTTCATCCTGAAATCCAAGTATTTGTTACTAAGATTTTTCCCTTGATAATATGTTTTGTGACTTTTACCTCTGGCATTGCTTGACTTGTGTCCTTTTACTTTTGTAGTAGGATTCTTTGCGATATTTAGGACATTTTGGCTCTCCTACGATACAAATGATGCTAAATAGTCTTCCCATCAGGGAGTAGTTGAATGTAAGAGCTCAGAAACATGGCTTTGAGCTTTTGTGAAAATCTTCTTTCTGAGCCATTTCATTTACTTGCCCTAATTTATGGGTGCTGTTTTATTTTATTTCTTGATTGGATTTGTATGTGAGCTGACTTGGATCACTAAACTCCTGGGTTGGAAAGCTTCTGTAGCCTGGTGGTGAGTGTGGGTTAGATGGGCAGCCCAACCAGTAATTGGTGAGGCTGCCTCACCCTCATTTAACAGTTGCCTCATCATAAACGAAGATTGGAAAATCTTAGGTTTTGTGTGGAAAATTCTTTTGGCTGTCATTTCTGCTTCAGAATAGACTTCCTTGGTACATTATGACCCCTGCAGAGATACACACAAATTATTTGCATTTCCATGCTCTATGTACCACCTGCCTGACTGCATCAAAATTCACTGTATTGCTAGGCAAGTGAAACTGAATGATTTGGTTCATAAAGGGAGATTTACCAAAGGTCAATGCCTTGTTCTTCTTTTCCTACATTTGATATTCTTCGAGGCAATCAAATGTAATACTGGAGAAATAAAGTTTGAGTAAATATGAAAAGATCTATTCTGGGCAGAATCATTCTTGGTATCCATCCTACACATCTGAAAATAAAGAAACGATGTTTCGGTCCGTCCTAGACCATTATCAAGTCGTGGAATCATTCTTTTTCTGCTTGACACTCTATTTTTGTCCTAACTCCCATGTACTCACTCAAGGTGTATATGATCCTACCACCTATTGGTGGAGGGTGTAGGTAAACAAGTACAGTAGCTATGATCCTGAAAGGTTACTTGAAAATTCCATGGTGTTCATACTAGTCATCCTACCCGACTGTCTCATGAGCCTAGTGGATAGACACAATGGATCTTACCTAGGGGGTAACCGAATAATTAAACTCATGTTTTTATTTATTTTGTATTACAATTTGAGTGAAGGTAATATATGTCAAGTACTGTAGCACTGATATTCTTTTCCACAACGGAAAGTGTCGTGTCAAGGTAATAAAAATGTTCAATAGCTGAAAATCCTACATTTGCTTCATGGAAGGATTGTTTCTCGTTTTGAAAGAAAAGTTGCAGATTTGTTGAACAAGTTATCGAACAATATTTTTCAAGTACACCCAATAGAAAGTTTATAACCTAGGTTGTATACGTATATAAACAGATAGCCAATTCTCTGGATTTGCCCCTCTACATTTAGACAGTGACAGAATATAGAGTACATATCAGTGTGGGATTTTGCTGTTAAAAAAACTTTTCCCCAAGAAGTACTTTCAAGTTATTTAAGGACTGTCAGTTGTCAAACATGAGATTACAAACTGTGGCTTCTTCATACACATACATACATTTATTATTTTGTTCAAATAATTTTTTACACCCAATTTATAACCTAGGTTGTATACGTATATAAACAGAAGCCAATTCTCTGGATTTGCCCCTCTACATTTAGACAGTGACAGAATATAGAGTACATATTGTGGGATTTTGCTGTTCCCCAAGAAGTACTTTCAAGTTATTTAAGGACTGTCAGTTGTCAAACATGAGATTACAAACTGTGGTATTATTTTGTTCAAATAATTTTTTTTTTTTTTTTCAACAAATCCTGAGTAGTTTGATTGTTGTCACTAAAGGCGGCTAGTTTATTGTGCACCCCATATTCATTCTGTGAGCAGTAGTGCAAAAGGGTTACAGAGGGCACAAAAGGTCTTTATCAGATCTCAACGGAGATTATTACATTAACAATTTCATCTATCCTTCACACCCTATAATTACAGTGTCAGCTAGTTACAGAGAATGTTCTATTTCAAGAGCTATATATATACATTAAATCATTATACATTAATGGTAGTAGTGATGGTAAATTTTCTGAATAGCAAATAAGAAATGTACAGTACATGCTAATGATAATTTAGATTTAGGTTTAAAAGCTTTATTCGTATTAGGTGATTTATACAAATCATTATAGCTGCAGCTGGAGTGAAAGTGTTGTCATAAAAACTTTTAACTGACAATTAGAGTAGTGAGCTTTGTATTGCTAAAGCATATGACACAAAATTAGAATGATGAGAAGAGAATTTGAAGGATAATTAACAACTCCTGTAATTATAGTGTGAGGCTATTGAAATGTGTATAGCCTTAACATTTTTAGTAGACAGTTTTTATTAATTTGAAAAACTGAGAATATATTTTGACTCACTATAAGTTCTATGCACTTAGCCTGTCGCCTAATGTTTCATTTTTTATGGAAACTACTAATCCGTTAACTTAAAAATACGACATACTGTATTGAAGTAGCAAAAATTAAAGCATAATATTGACTTTTCAATACATTGGCTTTGATAGGTTAAGTGAGTTGTTTGGATTCACATGTTTTTGGCTAGACAAAACAGCTGCATTTTGTATAGAGTGGCATGTCAAGAGAATGGGGTAATTCTACATAGAGCAACAAATATCACTTATCACATAGCGGACAAACACCTTATTTTTATTTCTTACAGTGCTATATGAATGATATGTAGGAACTTTTGATTATTCTGTGATACTGTATCTGCTACATAGCCTTGCGGGCTTGTCACTTTTTTTTTTTGGGGGGGGGCGGGATAATTTCTTACTGTACTGTAAATAAAATGACCTTTATCAGTTTTATTTGATAAGCTATAAATATTGTGTGTGGTGGTGGGTAATCAAGGATTTCTGTACCTTCTTAATATTAACTTTAAAGCCATTATTATATTAAATTACAACAGAAACAAATGTTTCTGGGCTTACCAGGGTTTCTCCCCCTAGCAGGAACTGTAGCCACCGAAGAGAAGGAAATACTTGACCGATCATCTAGTACCACGACACCGGGGACGAAGCTTGATCGCCGTATTGATATCCAGCCAGCTGAGGATGAAGACGGTGAGTGGCTCTTGTTTTACTTGGGATGAAGAATGGGATATTTTGTCAAGTTGGCATGTGATTAATAGCATTTGATCTCAAAAAGTAGATTTGTGTGTATAACTTTGCATAGATTTCAGTCTTCACACACACAAAAATTTAGTAAAATATTGAACATTTGCCTTATGTAATTATGGTCACAGTATTTAATACTGTACATATGTATTTCGTGTAGATTGAAGTAAGCCTTCGATTTGCATAAAATACACATTTATAAATACCCTGTGTAGAGCAAACCTAACTTTGTTGGAAAAATAGGGTTACATTTTAGAGGCTTTCAAAGAGTACTCAAATATTCCACTTTTCCCTCAATAATGCACTGACCTGAACATTATTAATAAATACTCCTACAACTTTCCAGCAACAAATACAGTATATAATGAAGTGCAGAATGCTGTACTTGGGAAGTGCTATGACACAAGAGTGTAGCTCTAAAATGTGCATGAAATGCTAGAGACTTATGAGGAGGCAAGAAGTCAGAGTGTGGTACTGTAGTGTACTGTGTTTGGGCACTGCTTATCAAAGCAAAGTTATATATGCACAAATTGCATGCACCAACTCTCCGTGTATTTATTGTGTTTGGGTATTGCCTGTCAAAATGCCATCTTGTTTGTACAAATCTCACTGCTCTCGTGTGGGTGGACTTGCCCTCACACAGTATGAATGTATGTATGATAAAATCACCAGGTCTTAATTTGCATACTCAAAACGTATGCAGAGTGAGGACTGATTGTATTATCCTTTAAAATTGTCAGTAGGTGTAACTGATACTTGTTTGCTCATTTTGATATGTGTTCTGGTAAATAAATAAAATAATGCAAATATTCTACAGACTACGATGATGGACTAAGTGTGAAGCATGTGGCACATGCACGATATGTACGCAATCATCGCCTCATCAATGAAATATTTTCTGACACTGTTGTCCCTGATGTGAGGTCGGTGGTCACAAGCCAACGTCTGACAGTATTAAGACGACAAGTTCAGTCTTTGACTATGCACCAGGTGAGGGAGGATAATATTGAGAGAAATGTATTTGGATATTCATATGTAGTTGAGGGAATGGTCCTGGACTCCAGTATGATTGGGAGTCCAGGACCAACAAAAGTTTGATGCTTTTCAAACTTAACTTCTGCACTGTGTAAGAGTGCATCAGTGTTTAGCAGAATGGCTGGAATTGGTATCAAAAATGCTTTTGTACTGTACAAGTATACTGTAGCTCAGTGGGAGTGGGAGTAAAGTCTTTTGATTTTATAAGTATCTTCAACCAAGGAGTTGATGTATGCAGTTGAATAAGTACTGTATCTTCAACCAATTAATTAATTTTTGCAGAAAAAACTGGAGACAGAGTTGCAACAAATTGAAGAAAAATTTGAAGCAAAGAAGCAAAAGTTTATGGAAGCAGGCGACAGTTTTCAGGGGGAACTAAAGAAGGTCAAGGTAAGCCATTTTCCTATACATTTTTAAAGTGGCTTTATTCTCTATCCATTTGTTACTTTTTTGTTTCTCCCATTTATTGTCTGTATTTTCTTTCCATTTATCTGTTACCTGTGCTTACCTATTGTACTTACCTCTCGCCAACTACAGGGGAGTGAGATCTAGCTCTTTATGCCTCGCTTCCTAGCCATTGTTCCTCCATGATAGAAGGAAATTGGGGATATGATAAGTAATGAATGACTATTTTTATTATACATTTGCTGTTGAAATTGTAGGTGGAGGTGACTTACTTTCTTTATTTTAGTGCAGTATGCTTGTTGAGCATCTGTACGGAGTATGAATACGCTCTGTTTTTATGCTTCAACTCGCATTTCTAATTTCTCCCAATGTTCTTTTGCCCTATTCTCACTTAATTTAAAGATGCTGTTCTTGGTTACTTTGTCTTTTTCCTCTCAATAACATATCTGCATAGGGATCATATTTCTTTCATTCCTGTTCTCAAGGGTTAGATTGAGTTCCCTTCACCCATCATCATGACTTAATCCTCTTAATGCTGCTAATAGCCTTATTTTGCAAAGCTCTGTGCTGTTTTCCAATGGAATGCTAGGGGCATATACATCATGAGTGATAGACAATCATGAAGCATAACAAAAAATAAAAACGGAAGGTCCCCCTGTAGAACCCTGTAGTTCCAGAGAAAGGCAAGATAATTACATTATGAAGAGAAGGTGCAAAGTCAATATGTCTATATAGCATATACAGGGATATGAGGACAGGACAAGATAGGAACTGGGATAGTGGGAACAGAGTAAAGGAATGTCGGCCAACAACTTAGACTGTCGGTAATTGAACACTGGACCCTGTGAGAAGTGAGATGAACTAGTTTTGAGCAGATGACACCAGGAGGAAAAGTTGGAGGGCAGGCTGCCTGAGACCTCAGGTGACCTGGGCTACCAACCAGTGGAAGTCAGGCACATCGTTGTCAAGGTATGATAGATTGCCTCGTTTACTTTTAGGTGCCTTATTTCCTTCAAGTTATTGCCGGTTTTGTTGCACTTATACCTTCTAGTTAGTTTTCCCAGTTTTTTTGTTGATCTCTGGTCACCTCACCTTGAGGAGCAAGCCAGATTCTAGTTTCCGGCACCTGGTAGGCAAGAGATTAATCTCCAGCACCTGGTAGGCAACAGATTAATCTCCAGCACCTTGTAGGCAACAGATTAATCTCAAGAGGCCAGGTTGGGCTGAGGTTTGTGGTACCAGAGTTGAGCTCAGAGTCGCTAGGGAGCCGGTCGGCCGAGCGGACAGCATGCTGGACTTGTGATCCTGTGGTCCTGGGTTCGATCCCAGGCGCCGGCGAGAAACAATGGGCAGAGTTTCTTTCACCCTATGCCCCTGTTACCTAGCAGTAAAATAGGTACCTTGGTGTTAGCTGTCACGGGCTGCTTCCTGGGGGTGGAAGCCTGGTAGAGGACCGGGCCGCGGGGACACTAAAGCCCCGAAATCATCTCAAGATAACTCAAGAAGGGATCCAATAGAAAAGTGCATTTTATCATATTCAGTGCTTGATTTCTGTCCTAAGCATCTGATGCACATCATCTCTACTTCAAACTTTTCACCTTGAATGTTGGAAACAGAAAAGGGTTGATAATGCTCATTCTTTTATTGCATTCATTCATTCGTTGAAGTTTGCTGCTTCGTGATATGTCCTGTACAAGCTCACTGTCCCATAATTACCATATTTTTTACCATCATTATCATTAATTTTGTTTAATGTTCCAGAATTATGAAATTAAAAGTTTTTATTTAAATTTAGGAATAAGAATATATTTTTGTATTTTAATTTTTTTTTTATTTTTTTTTAGGCTATGGCCCCAAAGCTAGATGAAACATCTTTTGCTGCCATGGTAGAACGACAGAAGGAAATACTACGACGAGAGGCTGAGGAACGGCAGCGCAGTGCACAAGGATTACCTCCAAGACCTTCGTCAACTTGCTCTTCCCAAGCAGCAACACCTAGTAGCCAATCTACAAGAGAAGATGGCAACGAAGCTGCTGGCCCTGCGCCCCAGAACACAGCCACGCCAGTGGATGCTGCACCGTCTCCTGCGCCAATGCAGGTCAGTTAAAGCAAGTTACAAGGACCTAAAATGTTCATCAGCTGTCTGAGCAAATTGGGGCCATTGATGTGGACCAAGACAAGTAGCAAAAATATTGATCCTGTGTCTTAATTGGCATTTGTAATTGATTCATTTGTTTAAAGATTTTTAGAAGCTTAAATATTTATGACAATTTCTAGCCTGCTTGCCAAGTTACTGTAGCTCCCTGAGCATGTCATGAGGTAATTTATAACCCAAATCATAAATGTGAAATGAAAGTGACAACATTTTGGGCCATCCTGGACCTTTATCATGTTGTTTTGGTCCTGGACAGACTGAAATGTCATCACTTTCATTTCATATTTGTGATGTGGGGTGTTTGTTTCAGCCACGTTGTTGTGACTCCCTTTGCAGTGATGTAATTTCTTTTATGTTTATTCTCAATGGGGATGCATACCTTGTTCTGGAATATAATTGGATTTGACTTTGAATTTCTATATTCTTAACTCTTAGAGACCACAATTGATCCAGACAGCTGCCAGGCATATACACAAAATTTTAAAAGATATTAAAAGACAATTTTGTTTTTCTTATTTTCTAATGAATTAAAAATATAGAAAATATATTTCCTTGCACATACAGAATTTCATATTAATTAAATTCGACAGTCCAGAAATTTGGATAAAAATGTTTCTCAATAATTTAAAAGTTTTGTTTTTATAAGATTCAATGAAAATTGTAAATATTTTAAGGTAAACTATAAAAAAATATCAGAAATGGTCTCAAAATTATTATTATTTATTTTTTTGGGCAAAAATTGTGTGTTAAATTTAACCATCTACTCCAAAATTCTTATAATTAGTATATAAGATTTATCTGATAGGTAATAATAGCCAGAGAAATGTCAAATCTGGATTATTATGGACGTTCTAATGCAAAACACAATTTTCAAAAGCTTCAAAGGATATAATTACCAAATGACATAAGCCAGATTAATAGCCTTTATTACCTGGATGAACCAAAATATTTCGCTGTTGTTCAAGGGGTTGAGATTGAGAAGTTTCTCTGATGCATGAATCAAGGTAGTTCTTGTCCTTCAGTTGCATATTTAGGTTGGTTAAACCTGATATGATTTCCTTTGAACTAGAACTAGACCACAAGCACTTTTGTAACTAACGAACTCGCCGTATTATACAACTTGCTTTCCTTCAAAGCTCTAAGGCAAAAACGTGCTGCCATCACCACTCAAGTGGCTACCATACATCGTATGCTGCCTCGAGAATGAGCACGTGACATGTGGCCCGTCACTGAAGTATCTGTGACTGAAAGGTATTTCTTCAGACGAGGACTAAAAGGTTGTCAGTGTGAGAATTCAAAGATAATTCCAAACATGTTCATTATATATCAGGATTTTTTAGTAATATTTAGATTGGTGAATTTTCTTGTTTGTAAACAAACTCGTCGAAATGGAAAGTTTTCAGTGTACAGTTTAAAGTTGGCGGAAAGTTTTCAGTGTACAAAATCAATCTTAATGGAAAGTTTTCAGTGTATGGTACAATAATAAACTTGTCAAAGTTTTTCATGTACAGTACCTTAATAAATTTGATTGAACTTTTGCACTTTCTCTGTTAGAAGGCAAATCATCTAATAATAATATTACTGTAATTAACAACAAATATACTGCATTATATTTCCAAAAGCCTATGCAGAAATTTAACAGGATGAAACGCTCCGTTGTAATAATTGTATCGGACAGCTGAAGGTCTAATGGTAACGCAAATTGAAGCAGTGTTAATGAGTTCTGCAAGTGTGTTTCACTTGGATGAAAAGAAACTTAAACTTAGAGAGAATTAATAATAATATTTGTTTGCATTCTGTAGGGAGGATTTACTGCAATGTTATGCAGCAGTGATACTACTTTATATCTTGGAACTTAATTACTTTGAGTTAGACACAAGTATTCATGGTTATCAACCTAGGTTATATTTCTACTCATAACCCTTAAACGGCTTTAGATGCTATCTGTGATTAACTCCTGATTTCAGATTGCCATGTGCAATTAATTCTTATGGATATTTAATGCTTTTTCATGCGCACCACAATATACGATATTTAATTAGCTTAGTTGTTTAAGGGTTAAGGACATTTTGTGAGGCATTTGTTTTGTGGAATGAGCTTCCCTTGCATAACGAAATGGAAACAAACAGTAACTCTTCCTCCCTCTCTTTGTTTATTATTAATTAATAAACTTTTCCATTTTTATGTTATTGGTAAAATCTAAAAATTTCTTTGTATAATATGTTTTTCCTCAATTATTTTTCTTCCTTTTCAAATACAGGTTTCATTTGTATAATTAGATTTTTGTTGTCTCTGCCTTTGTTTTCTTATGGAATGTTAATTGTCTTTCATTTAGTAATCGAAAACGTGTTACTTCCTCTTTATAAATGAGAATTAAATCTTGTCGGTATATAGGCACCTATTTTCTTTCTTAGCCTACAATTCTTGCATTTTCTTAATCTTTTGTTTTATAAGGTTTAATTGGAACAGTGTGTCATTCATTGATAACTGAATAACAATGTTGTCACAAATACGGTCCTTTAAATAATTTAAATTGATTATAAGCTCACTGTTGGCTAGTTTTGATCATGTTGGGATTAATGGATCGTGTTGTAGTATTTTCCGAGTGGCATCTGTCAGTGATTTTTTTTCTGTGGTATATATATCCAGCAATATGTGGTAATATCAATAATAGCTGGGAATTAACTTACCTAAGTCTTTTCCATAATGACATCTTTATATCCCAATTTTTATGTTTCAAGAAGAATTCCAGAAGAAAATGAATATAAAGCACGAGTTTGTTGCATACATGAACATGAACAGAAGAATATTTTAAGAAATTATTACATTACTAAAGAAATGACTACATCAGTCCCTGAAGTATATTTGGAGTCAGTTCTAAGAGTTTTTCTACTTTCCAAGCCCGGCCTAATTTTAGATTTTCAAACAGTTAGTACAGGTTTACCCATTTAGGGAGGTCTAGAGCAAATCGATGCAAGGTTGAATAATGTGTTAAATATTTTAATTGTACGGTATCTTAATTAATTCAAGTATATCATTTACACATTGACATCTATATTATTTGAATAAGATTGTGAATGGGATGAATATGGTGAAATTGTTCAGCTATGCTTGGATAGTTGGTGTGAAAGATGAGAGCACAAATGGTGTAAAACAATTACAGTAGTGTACATATTAAAAGACATTGAAATTTGTGTTAACTATTTATGATTTTAAAGTCCATTGGCAATTTCCTGGCCGAAGAGTGATAAAAATCAAATGTTGACTTCATTTTATAATGCCTTTCCAAAGAATTGAATTATGCAATATATTATAGTGGACTAAAATAACAAAAAGTAAAGTTTCAAGAGGAGAGCACTTTTAAAAAAAAAAGTTACCTGATAGAATTTATATTTACCACAAAGACACTACCACACCCTTCCCTCGTCACAGTACCGAATTAGGTTCTTAGGCCCAGATCTTAGGTTCCAGGTTGTTAGCCAACCTTAGGTACTCTATGGTGGCATAGACCTGTCAGCCAATTAGAACACTAGGCCTTCCCAGCTCGGCTTCTCACTGGAAATAGCACCTGTACTCACTTACCCAGCAAAGCTAGATGCTGTAGTGTCTCACTACACATTGTTGTATATGTGCCATGTGACCTTAGATAGAAAATGGGGGTGTGTGGTTAATGGTCAGAAAGGTGAGTGCCTTCCCTAACCCTCACTACCATTTTTAGCTTGAAAACCCCCTCCCTGGCCTTGGGGTCCTATCCCAGATGGCTGTCCTCTTTTCAGTAAATTCTGGCTTAGTGAGAAGACGTAAGTCAACATGGGCAACCTTGCCGAACTCTTTGCATATGGATCTGTAGACACCGACTATGACCTTTCTTGGACGAGACCTAAAGAAGTTGCACCATGCAAGCACATTGCAAGCAACATCTTACATCATGATGAAACATACTGGGGTTGAGAGACCACTCTTATCACAAATATATAGTAGAACATAAATACTATACTGTACTGTATATCTAGTTATAGTGTAAAGAATAAGTCACAATGAGGTTGAAACAAATAACCCACATTATATAAAGAAATGCTAGTGATGAGATTTCGGATGTGACTTGAAAAGGGACGAAGATGGACCAAAATGTCGCCACTCATTTCATTCCGTATATATAGGTCGAGTTACTTGGATCGGTAACATTATTGGGACTTATTCTCTGCCATAGATAAAGGGTTTGTTAAGTACTATTACTGAGTGGGCATATTGATCTGAATTACTACACACATGTAGGCTGAAGATGATGATAATAAGATAATAAAGATAACAATAGTTTTATTGTGGAGATTAGTATTTATGATGTGAATAGAGGATCTAGGTAGTGGGGAGGTACTGCTTACAAAACAGCAACACTAAATGCAATGAGGAAAGCACTTATTCAGTTTAAATATTTCTTTCTTGAAGATAATACAGAATGGTGGAATAGGGCTCATTTGGTATTGAAATATGTTCTATAGTAAAAATGGAGCACGAACAGTAGTGATACTGGATATATATATATATATATATATATAATATATATATATATATAATATATATATATAATATTAACATGTTTTCCTCTTTTATGGGGGTGGGTGAAGCATCAGCATGGAGGAAAATGAAGAATAATACAGTACAGTGAAAGAAGCCTCCTACCCTCAAATTCACCCATATACATACTGTACTTTATCGGTTTATCATAGTCCATTTATTCAATGTGGCCCAACATGTGTCGACATTTGCAGTATATTCTATTCAGTCTTGTTGCCTATCATATTTTAAATAACATGTCTTTGTAATCTTTTTATTCTTTACTCTATATTAACACTATTCTCTAAATACAACATGCTCCTCAGATTATCCATTTCTACCGTACTAATTCATGATATTTCTCATTTGTAAACACCCTCGTTGTCTTGCACCTGTATATAAGTTGGTTCTACCGCACCTCCATGCAGCTCTGTCTAGTTTCCTGTTCCTGTCTTCAAGTTTTTAACCCGGTCTTTGAGTGCACTAGAAACGTTCTTCCTTGACTTGCCCCACTTTTTGCTGCAATTGCACAAATTTTTCTTTCATCGATATCGCACATCAAATATCAAAATGCATTGATCGCCTATAGAATTTCACCATTTCCGTTTATTTTACACAGATTTTTTTTTCGCTCTCAAATACTGTACAATTAATTTGTTGTATGTTACATTATGCAGTGCAGCCTCAATTTGAACTACTGAGTATGGGACCAACCTCATTTCATTGGAGAGAGGAATTCATTGCAACTGAAGGTGCCTTCAGAAGGCATTTATGTGATGTAATTTTTTCAAGGAAAAAAAAAATACATTGCTATACCTATTTCTAAATGTTCCATTCATCTATGAAAATTGTTAACAAATTTACAAAAACATGGAAAGTGTGCATTGTAACCTGTTAGCCTAAATGAGGTTTGCTGAATTGAGGTTGCACCAATACATATATTGGAAGTGATTTTCCAGTGGTTTTGTAAGGGGAACATTTTTCATGTACAGTAAGTACAGTTCAAAATATATAGTTGGTAGAGGACCAAAAGCACACATCTTGTCTGCCAAAAAATCCAGTATTCTTATCAATATCTTACACATCAATTAAATTGTAAATGTTACTGTGCATAAATGCCTTGCACTCTATGCTCAACATACTTTATCATCACCATACATTAAGTTTAACTGTACTTCAATTACTAATATACATATTAGTGCCTCTCTCTAATATTCTTAGTTTGAACTCCATTATACTTTTTATCAATGTATATAATGAACAACCAGTGTAACATCACGCAACCCTGACATGTACCTACATTAATGTCAAACCAGTGAAACACTACACAATTAACTCTTACACACTGCTACAGTACTTGCTACATGAAACATTTCTTCGCAGTTACAGGATTCCGTCATCTCCCTACAAACTCGTCAGTCTACCAAGTTTTTTTATTATTATTATTGTTATAATGTATTTTTAAAGTACATAAAGGATTTGTACACCTGACAATGCCATCACATGCCATCTGTACAAACTATCGAAATGAAAATGTCTGATCGACACACCCTCTTCTACTATGGCACTATTGTCTAAGCTCACTTATCCGGACTATATGGGAAGGACCCCTCACTGGATAAGCCAGACATCCAAGTAAGCAGAATTCTTACCAGAGAACTCCAAAAATTACTCTATATGCAATTTTTTGTGCCACAACCAACATAATTTGAAAATCCACACACACATCATAAATCAAAGATGTAATTTAGCACAGAAACGTCACTTTACCTTGTAGTTCCTCTTGTTTGATACTGTAGATCTTGAAATGTGCAGTTCTTGAAAAGTGTATATACATGTAATACATATACTGTATAATAGATTATGCTGCTCATTGCATGTTCCCGAAGATAAACATAGCAAACTCGGCACGTCCCGCTCACTGATCCGTAAAATGTTTACAGTCTTTTTACATTTTCTCGGTTATTTGTTAGGTTACAACTCTAAATTTTGTATAAAAATATTTGCAAATTAATTCTCAAGAGAATAGATACAAAAACAAGTGCATTTATAATAGAGTACGTGCAAAAGGGATGAACACAGTATACAGTACAAATGTTTATAAACAGCAATCGGATAACGCATTTTAGCGTCAACAGAATGCAAAATTTTACTGGGTTTTTATTTTATTGTGAGAACATAGGTTGAAACCGTAGATAAATTTCTTTGTAATTTTCTTGTGTTACACGCTTTCCTTCATGAAATAAGTTGGATATCAGGATTTACTATAATGCTCTCATACTGATGGTGTCTTAAGTAGTTTCAGTAGTTCTGTAATAGTGAAGATATGTCTTTTCATGAAAATCGGGCTTCGGATTCATTTGTATACTGTTTTACGATATTTTATCCTAAAACGATTCATTCGTACCTGGATAAAGGGAACAAGAACCTTTGAATGCTCTCATTGATTGACTAATGATTTGCAGGCCAGAGACTGAGGTGGTTGTATAGAGTATCACAAGGCAGATGCTTCATGCAGGTTCACATATAATTGGGAATATATTAACACATTCACATTATTGCCTACACACTTCTCTCTCCCCCTTTCTCACATTTTCTTTCATTCTCTCACACATCCTCTTTCTTTCTCTTTTCTACCCTAACCTCATCTGTCCGGATTTAATTTGTACCTTTTTCCAGACAATACCCATCAAATTATTATTTTGCCAGCAAAATATTTTAGAACATTATGGAAACACGTACAGATATCCCAGAAATAGACATTATATCTTGCCGTGTACTTGCCATATAATTGACACTTCAGAAATTAAGATCAAGTTTCATGGTAATGCTTTTACTTGGGTGGTGAAAGTAGACAACTAAGAACATGAGAGACAACCCAATTACACGACTTAATAACATGATAGACCGAAATGTTGTCATTTCATCGTTTGCGGGTGTGCTGGTTGGGTCTCAAATAATCTACTCCACACATGTGAAAGAAAATGAAAGTGATGCCGGTTTTCTTTTTGTTTCATGTGTGGGTGGTGATGTTTGTTTGAACCATGCTATTGTGACTTGTTTTCTGCCTGTTTATATTTTTAGGTTTTAAAGATTATTTTAGAATTGCTTTATAATTTTGCTTTTGTTCTAGGTTTAGTCACTTATTGCATATAAAAACATTAAATTCCCTTCACCTACATTTTAAACTACAGGAAAACGACATGGGTGGAGATGACGATAGCAAGATGGAAGGTGAGAATACACGTCGTCTCTCGTAAACATTAGCTCTTCATTGTATGGTGGCGTTTTTACTCCTACAAATATTTTATATATGTACTCTTTATATATATAAAAATACCAGTACAGTATATATATATACATACAATACTGTGTATGTGTGTATTTATATTATACACAGTACTGTATTTATATATTCAGTCATCTAGAGTCTAATTTTTTATGGAGTCAGTCAGATGACTGTTAGTCTTGGGAACTCATTTGTGGATAATGGATTAGTGTTCATTCCCTTAAGGCTGCTAGCTCCCTCATACTGCTTTAGTAGAATGACTTGTCATTTGTAATAGCAAGAATATGCATGATTTTCATCTCTTAAAACTCAATTTCTTTTATTCATTGTTAAATTAAGGTAGAAGTTTTGAATAATTATATGGATATATAACTTGGAATGCACTAAAAAACAAATTTCTCTTTAATTCATTTTTTTTTTTAATTTATTATCTTTTATTCACTGTTAAATTAAGGTGAAAGTGTTTTCAGTTGTAGCTTCCGAACTTTCAATATGGATGCACAACTTTAAATGCAGGCAGCTCAAACATTGTTTTGCCTCCTGATTGATTAGCTCATCATTGGAAAACTTGACACCAGCCTTTTATGGGGTGGCTTCCTGAAGCTATCTGGCTTACATTGCTCCATGCTAAAAAGTCACATCAATCACTGAAGTTCTGTTTGATCTACTGAGGACCAGAGCCAATACCTGGTCCCCCTCGCAGAGGTGCAGGGAGAAGGTGACAATCTGCCACCCCCGTCGGGATAGCATCCAGAAAGTCAGCGAAGCTTTACAGACAACTGGAAGACTCTCAGAAAACAAAGCTTAAAAAACTGCCAAACAATTCCTCAAATGACTCACATGGTACAAGAGATTCACTCAAACTAGCTTGAAACTTGATAGTAAATATCAACACCATCAGGCTGCCCTGCCCTTGCCCTCAGCTGGCTTCCCTGGTCAGTTCTGTTGCTAATGTTTGGAGTAAGTTGCTACCATGGGTCTGCCAGTCAGGGACAACCCCCATCTGCTTCAAGCTAAGTGCTGGCCATCCTAAGACTGTTCATCGTGCGGGGGCTATTTGCTTGTGTATTGTTACTTAGTTTTTAGTATTGCTTCACATGCGTGTTTGTATCTGGCTTGTTGTGTGGGGGTTTGGCTATTGTTGTGCTTTGGGCTACTTGTCTTCAAGGCTTTCTTCTCTGGGTAACTGATAGCATTGCCCTTGCACTAAGTTATTTTTCTAGTGTTGATGTACCCACAGCCTAACTAGATGGCTAGTTAGGCTGTAGGTACATCATTTGTTGTCTTGTGGCAGCTCTTCGCCACTACCTGCCTACCGCTGGTTCTGCCTCGGTGAATGCCTTGTTGTTTGCCCCTGTTTCCTTGGCAAAGGGTTGCATTTCTCTGGTCATCTGGTGTCATTAATTGATTGTTGATTGCATGATTGCAAATATGTGGCTTTGTCCGGGATCTTCTCCAAAATATCCTGGGCTGATATTCGGGCTTGGGGTTTTAGCTTACAAACAGGGTTCTGGAAGCTCGGTTAATGTTCCCAGTCCCAATCAATCTTATGGTGCTTTGGGTCATGTCTTCCAGCTTGGTTTTTTTCTCTTCTTGGTGCCTTCCACTTCTGGTAAGTCCCATTCCCTGTGGTTAGTTTCAAGAAGCCACCAGGGTGGCTATCCTAGAATCCCAGGGTTGTATGTAATGTCTTTCTGGTGGAGCTTCAGAGGCTCCCATGATTCCCTCCCTCCCTTCCAGGTTTTGTCAGTGAGTTGTTCATCACCACAGCTGACTGTAGGCAGGGGTTGAGCCGCCTGGTGGTGGTCATTTGTACTAATGAGTTATCTTGAGATGATTTTGGGCCTTTAGTGTCCCCGCGGCTCGGTCCTCGACCAGGCCTCCACCCCCAGGAAGCAGCCCGTGACAGCTGACTAACACCCAGGTACCTATTTTATTGCTAGGTAACAGGGGCATAGGATGAAAGAAACTCTGCCCAATGTTTCTCGTCGGCGCCCAGGATCGAACCCGGGACCACAGGATCACAAGTCCAGCGTGCTGTCCGCTCGGCCGACTGGCTCCAGTTTCGAGCTAGTTTGAGTGAATCCCTTGTTTTCCATATACTATATATGAATCATTTGCATTATTTGGCAGTTTTCTAGGCTTTGTTTTCTGTGACCCCCCCAGTTGTCTTTACAGCTTCACCGACTTTCCAGATTCTTTCCCAGTTTGGTGGTGAAGTGTCACTTGCTCCGTGCACCTCTGTGAGGGGTGGGGCTCTAGTTCTGGCTTGGGTCCCGGGTAGGCCAAACACAACTTCTGCGACTAATGTGACCTTTTAACATTGAGCAATCTCAGCAAGATAACTTCACAGAGGCACTGGAGTTCTACCAGAAAAGAGACATTTTATTAGTGACCTCTTCTTTTTTTCTTTTGATTATTGAGAATTAAATTAAATATCTATATCTTGCACATTGCTGTTAATTCTAAATAAAGCCATTAAATATTTTAGTTTATTCAGTAAAATCAGTCTCATGATGTTTGTTTCATTTTATTGAACACTTAATAATAATAATAATAATGTTTATTTAAAAAATGTTCAGAATGTACAAAATGTACAATGGTTGATAAGGTGTTACATAAAAGCATATTTAATAAAGTCATGGAACATAACTATCCTGTACTGCACAGAGAGCTTATTAGTCTGAGAGACTTTACGCAGAGAGAGTCATCTTTTGATTATTCCGAAGCTCCCACTCAATAAGTTTAATACAACATGGCTACATTCCACTTGCAGAACATGATGCATGCCATTTCATTTAATAACAATTTATAAATTGCATTTAGCAGCAATTTTTGTATGGTTTAAATTTTGGTTTAATTTGATCTTTTATTAACAAATGTATTATATGAATTGTGCAAGTCATTTTAGTTTGTTTGAACAAGTATTGATTTTGTTCCAACTATACAGTATATTTATTGTGTTATTTATTGCATGTATATGTGTGCATGCAGGTGTATGTGATTATTGTGTGATTAATGCCATTTTTGGTGTGTGTGTTTAATGTGAATGTCTAAGACTAATGTTTACCTTATACAGTAAGTATTTGCCGGGAGAAGTCTGGCTCTTGGCCCACTCCTTTGCTTGGATACAACAAGCTGTTTGCACATTCCTTAAAATCTTGTATGTAGGGATCATATCTGGTCTTCTGTTGGTGTTAGGGCTGACTTTGAGTCTGTCCACATAACTTAGCACTCTCAGTGTTGGAGGAAACACCCTTGTGGCAAACATTAAAGTCCTTTGAAGTTTCCAATTATGGCTCATAAGCACAAGCTATCCTTGCATAGGTTGTGTGTGGTACTTTTCATTATTTTGTTAACTACATTGCTGAAGGTCACTTGTTTACAAGCATTGCATTTGCCACTGATTTTATACTGTTTATATGCACTTCTGGTGTGAGACTTTGCACGATTTCCACTCATGTGTTTGATCTACGTGTCCTCTCACCTAATACAGGCATTTTTTATGGAGTCGTCTAGCCTGTTAAAAATACGTTGCTTGGGTTCGTGTATTTTTGCCCGGGCAAAACGGTTGGGTTTTTTTTCAGTGGCAAATCAATAGAACCGGCTGGTTGATAGTTGTATTATTCTCACTGCCGTTTTTCTGGTCTCTTTTCACTCATGTAATTATTAATGTAACTCATTTGGTTCTTACAATATTTAATTATCATCAACTCGATATAGTCAACATTCCTGAATCATTTACATACATCATTGGTATGGGATTTGGGACTGACTCCTGCAGAACACTTAAACAGGAAGCCCTGGAAATATGCTGTCAACATCACTTAATGTGATGTATATCTGCATTTATGGGTGTTTGTACTATATTCACTGCTTTCCTATGATACTGCATAATGGAACAAAGACTTGCACCTTACTGTGAGCAGGAATGTATTATCCTGCTAACTGTGCAGACCAAGAGTCATAATAACGTGGCTGAAGAGTTGACATCCATCTGAAGTGAAGCACTGACGATGTCTCGGTCTATCCTGGACAATTATCAATTGTTAACAGTTGTGCACCTTCTCATAGAATGTCCTGATTTTCTGGCCGATTATAAATTTTACTTCCCACTGTTTCAGTCATATGACTTCTTAAATAGACTCCTTAACGAGTCTGATTTCTTTGACACCACTTATATGGCATCTTTCTGCATGCATATTATCATCCTCAATGATATCTAGGAATTGTTTACTCTTCTATGACAGCTGGAAGGAGCCAAGCCCTTTGGGGGCTTGGCTTTTTCTTTTGGTAATTAATTACTTACTTACCCCATAACAATATTTTGTCTAGTTCCATTATCTTCAATATGACTAGGCCTGTTATGTTCTTTACTAACTTTTCTTTCATTACATTACATATTCTTATACCTAACATCCTCTCTTCGGTGTTTCAAGTAGCTGCTCCTTCAGTTGAACTTTTCTGTCATGTACTCGGCCTTCTTTATTTTTTTCATGAATTTGTCTCATTGTTTTGCAGTGTTATTGCATGATCATTCAACAGTAGTTTTCTACAGAAATGACTGTAGTTTAGGCTTGTTTGATGCCTTATGAATATAATTTGAACTGTTTCTCTATCTTTAGTTTAGTATACTACACTACTTTCTAACTTGCTTAATCCCCTGCTTTCTTTTCTTGTTTTATGTCTTTGCTTTCTACTGCTGTTTATTAGTCTGTGGACTGTTTTCTTTCTCATCGGTGTCTTTGTGGTATTGGGTTGGGTTGTAGTATTTTGGTGGTGTTCCAGAGATTGGTGTCCCTGTGGCCTGTCTAACATTGGTGTGTTTCTGGATAACATATTGTATCCCAGTAACAGATTTCATTTTTAATTCAGTCTTTCATTAAACTCTCTTCTTGAAGTTCTATTTCTTGTTTACATTCTTTAGTGCTGGTTAAGCAACACATACTGCCTTGGTACTACAGTATCTTGAAGACTCTCCTTCCCTCCAGAAACCTTGTTTCTGTTTCAGTTCAGTCACATCCCCCTTTGTGCAAAACAAAGGGGATGATTAATGGCTTTATAAAAAAACATAAAGGCCTACTATGTAAAATTCTTAATCAAACCCTTTAATATTTTTATGTAAAGTATATCATTTCTATTGGCTTCTATACTATGACAGTGGTTTTCAACTGAAGGGGTTCGTTGTATTCTTTTCTATGTATATTTCAAGTGAATATGAAGTTGGTTCGTAAAAATATGCACTAGAACATATGTCTGCTGTATTTACTAGTTTGTTCTTCCGTGTGGGTGTTTCATTGTCCAGCCACTCAGTGGTTAAAGACATTATCAATACCTTCACCTTTATCCTAGTTGTAATTTGTTCCATGAATCTCTAGCTTTTTTCTTGTACCCTTTGCATATAGCAAGTGATAATGGCACCATTCCTTTCCCTTGTCCTATCCCAGATCCTTTTCCTCATTTACCTTCCTAGTGCTATATAGTTGTACTAGCTTAGTACTTACTCTTGATAATTATTTTACCTTGCATATAGCTACTGCCATTTTATGCTTAAATGTTGGTATGTAAAGTGATGTGATTGTATTTATATCCCATGGGCATTAAGGATGGGATATTTAGGGCTTAGGGTATGCACTTTGTGTTGTATATATGCATGTATCTTGTTTTGCTGTACTATTCCAATTTACTTTGTACCCTACCCCTATATCATTCCCAATCCTAACTGTGTCCCTTATTGCCTAGCTTCCACTGGTGCGACGTCAGCTGCTACAACATCTGCACCAAATGTTCCGGTTCCTAGCAGTAACACTCCTATTGCTCCTGCTGTCAATGGCCCGACCTCTACTGCCCCATCCAATGTCCAACCAACAGTTAGTGGTGCCCCAGCCCAACTGCCCTCAACCCACAATACCTCAATACACCCACCTACACAGATAGCACAAGCAGGTAGTACTCATGGCAGCTTGATCCCTCCACTTCATTTAAGTCATGCCCAGATGACACCAACCAATGTTATTCCTCCAAACATGATTCCTGTCCATGCATCTCAGATAGGTCCAGTCCATGTTGGCCCTCCCCAAATGCCCCCAACTAATGCTCCTGCTGGTAACATGGTGCCTTCACACCACCCGCAGATGGGTTCAGTTCATGCTGGTCCTCCACAAATGGTCCAAAGCAATGCAGCCCCAGGAAACATGATCCCTTCTCACCAAGTTCATATTCCCACAATTCATGGCCCTCCGCAAATGGGTGTAGCTAGTGCCGCACCTGGTAACATGATGCCGCCCCATCCTGCCCCATCCCATACCGCACCTGCACCTCAGCCATCTGCCCCTCCTCCTTAATGTTTACGTGTGACATTGAAGTCCATGCTTGAGTGCCCATGAAATTGCATACTTGGCTTGTCATTTGCAACAGTAAAATCCACTAATGTTGCAGGAAGAAATTACATTTAATGAAATAAACTGTCATTTGTAACATACTAAGAAAACCCCACAATATAAAGAGCACAAAGAAACCCAGTGTGTTTTTAACATATGGTCAGAATGCTACGGTTTTGTTTATTTGAGAGTGGGTTTTTTGTATTACAGTGGTTGCACTCAGCAATGTTCATGGAACTGAGGCTATAGTGCATGCATTGTATTGATTTTGAATACTTTTGTTTAGTCTTTCTGTACTTCAAACGTACAGCATGGGATCAGTGGTGTTAATGTGTAGTTCACACACAGAAGGTTGTAGAAACTGGGGGAGCTTTATTTTTAAGGGGATATACACATTTCTTCCTATTTAAACAGGATATGCAAATTTTAACTTAAAATATATTTCTAAGGTCATACTGTGTAGCTGAGGACTTTATCTCCATTACCAGTAGTCACATTTTCTGCTAAAATATATTTCAAGCATACAAAATTTTGAGCATAAATTTTTATTGGGCATTCCCCATTATTGTGAAGAGAACATCGTGTTAAATATCAGTTTTAATTTCAGGATGTTACAAATTCCCCTGTATAAACATTTTTTAATTGTCACTATATTTTATTGTATCTGTCTAGTTAAGGCATGCAGTTAAAAAGTAAACAACAGACAACCCAACACACTCAAATGATATGAAAGTGACAACGCTTTAGTCTGTCCTGGACCCCTTTAGGGGTCCGTTCAAAACGTCGTCATTTCCATTTAACTTCAGGTGTGGGTTGGGTTATTTGTTTCAGCCACGTTATTGTGACTAATTCTCTTCACGTGAAGAACAGAATGAAGCTCATGTTTAAATCTAATGTTAAAAGTTTAATGAACATTGATGGTCAGTTACAATAATGTTGGATTATATTTACCGTAATTTAATTTACAATAAGGAAGACCTAAGACTTAAGTTAAAAATTGTGACAGTATAAATGCATTTAAATAAAAAAGTTAAGTAGTTGATCTTTTAATTCCAATTTAGATAATGCAATGAAGAAAAAATGACAGGACATGTCAGCAATAAATACATAGTTTATTGAGACATAGTGAGATACATAGTTTAGAAATAAGTAATATTTACATTAAAACAACAAATGGTACTGAATACTGTACAGTATTTGCTAAATTTTATTTTTATTTGGACCTATTTTTACATGGAGAGTTGATTAGTCTGAAGAGGCTTTCATTTATATGAAACTTTTATTTTTTTCCAGTATCAGATATTTTTTCTTTCCTGTGGTTCCTATACGCCACAAAATTTCCTGCATAAAATTCTCGGTGAATCAGACTCCTTTGACATTGACGATCTTGTGTCGTGCTGCTCTAAGTACTGGTATTTAGCATTATCTAGGAATTCTTGACTATTTTGAACATCAGATACTCCTATACTGTACTATAGCCATCCTTGCTTAGCAATTAGATTATTACCTCTGTGGGTAAAAGGTGCTCTTTCCAAGTGTGATATATCTTTACTTCCTCTTGTGACATTAGTTCCAGTCATGCTGTATTAGCTGACTAACAGTTTTCAAATATTTCACTCCATATTTATTTGTATCAACATTGCTCTTTATTCATTTATTATAATTAGTCATTTAATATTACTTGTCATTTGCAATCCTGCATGAAAATGTACAAAGTTACGGTATACTGTATATGTAGTGTGTATACAATGTAATAACAGCAAGAACAGTATGTTTTATTGTTCTAAGCAAATAATATAGTGGACAGGTAGGCATCTTAGTGACAAATATATACATCTGCATTCTTATACTGTAATCAACATGTTCTCTGTGAACGAGACAGTTCATTATATCATTGCACCTTAAAAACAAAATATGGTAAAACATTGGAAATATAGAGAAAATATTATATAATCAATGCATACAGTTACTGAACTCTGATCACATGTTATGAGACTACCACGCACACCAGAACGGCTTAGTGGTTTGTAATGATTCATGAAAATTTACATACTGTAGTTATATATAAAGTGTGTGTGTACAGTATAATAACCAAAAACAATGTTTATTTACAAATAAACAAATAAAATAGTATGCATCTTAGTGAAATTAATATACAGTGTTGTATCTAAGCATTCCAATGTTTGTGTATTCAAATCAAGCTATAGAATGAAAAAACATGGTAAAGAGTCTAGGAGTAAACATGTCAGAAGACCTTGCCTTAAAAAAAAAAAAGTACCTGTCACAACTGCAAGAAAAATAGTTGGATAACAAGAACATTTCAAACAAGGGATGCCGTACCAATGATACGTTTCAAGACATTAGCGCTCTCTAGAGTCAACTTATATTGTTGCATAGTAACAGCTCTGTTCAAAGCTGAATAAATTGCTGACCTGGAAAGCATGCAATGGTCTTTTACTGCTAGAATCCCCTCAATAAAACATCTAAATTATTTGGACCAATAAAAAATTTTAAATCTGTAATCTCTAGAGCACAAGAGGGAGATTTACATAATAATTTACACCTGGAAAATATTAGAGGGACATATTCCAAATCAGCACATAGAAATAACATCACATTAGGCCAGGAGGCATGGCAGGATGTGCAGAATAACCCTGTTGAAAAGCAGAGGTGCAATATGTACATTGAGAGAGAACTCTTATCATCATCCCTGGCTCAAGACTGTTCAACACGCTCCCTCTACATGTAAGGAACATAACTGGCCAGATTGTCAGGTGTTCAAAAGACAACTCGATAAATACCTCCAGAGGTTACCTGATCAACCAGGCTGTGATTCATACATCAGGCTACGAGTAGACATGTCCAATAGCCTGATTGACCAGACCACCAACCAGGCCAGGAGGCCTGGTCAGACCGGGCTGCAGGGAGGTTGATCCTCGGAGCCACAGCAAGGTAAGGGGGATTGGTAGAATGGCTCCTTCATTTCATACGTCATTCATTTTATAGTGATATCTGTCATAAACAGCTTTTTGGTTAAGAGGTGTTGAGTACAGAGTGATTTAATGAATGCTGATTGTAGTATTACTATAGTACTGTGCTAATAATGTATTGGAAAACACAAGACGGTGTAATAAGATTTTGTGTGGAAGTAAGGGAGATAGTGTAATAGTTGTAATGATAAAGGTAAGAGAGGCAGTGAGGTGGTCAGGCAGATAGCTATCCATGCCAGCCATGCCAAATTTTGTGATTTAGCATATTACCCTTTTCCCAAGAATGGTATTTTGACAAGTTTTCAGAAAATTGCTGCTACAGGATCCCCAGTTGTGAAGTCTCAAAGAGAGAATCTAGGACTCATCTCAAACCTTCAAAGAAGGATCTACTTTACCAGGAGTCTCAACCATTTTCCCCGCCAACAGTAATCTGCCCAGAAACAAAGAATAGCTATGTGACTGTGCAGATTAGGGAGACAAACCACCATCTCATGGCCCAACTAATCATTAGGGAAGCCTATCCTTAGACCAGGCAGCATTAGTTGAACAGTCAAAATCACCCACAGGTAAAGTCCAAAGTATCATTGGGTTTGAATGCTATTGCTACATTCCTAGAAGAACTGGAAGATAGTAAACAGGTAGTGTGGGACTAGTAGTAGGCATCCATCAGTCTCGGATGGGACTACACACGTGCATTCACACTGGCCAATGCCTGTCTTCAGTAGTGTAACTGAAGATAATGGTGCACATACTTTCAGGAAAACCTCAAAAGGACACTTATAGGTTTATGCCAATTGATTCAGACACCCTTGCTTCCAGGAGTAAATGTGTACTCAAGTTCCTAAAGGAGTTTGGTAAGGAACTCATTGGGTGAATTTTTATCTATTACTCTTAGGAACATGCAGTTGTTGTTAATCACCAGCTGCATATTCACTTGCTTCAGTCCATTGGATTGAATTACCTTTTGTTCTTGACCTTGTTGCAGTCAAGTCTCGAACTGGCCAACCGCATTGCCTCACTACTTCATGTTGGTTAGGTTCCAAAATGTCTGCATGAGTGTAAGTGTAGAAATTATCATTCTTCCACTCCATCTTGCCATTTGAGGTAGAGATCTTTGAGATAGTCTCAATATTACAGCAGTCTTGAAGTGCCAGAGTTGTCCAGGTGGATGTGTTCACCACCTGCTTGTTGGGGTTCTGGGAGTTGTTCTACTCCCCCAAGCCTGCCCTGACTTGAGAGCTTGGTCCAACAGGATGTTGCGTGGAGCAGCTCGCAGGCCCACATATCCACCACAGCTCGGTTGGTCTGGCACTTCTTGAAGAAAACTATCTAGTTTTATCTTAAAGATGTCCACGGTTGTTGTGGCAATATTTCTTATATTCACTGGGAGGATGTTTTATAGTGTTTTCTGATTATGCTTATGGCACCCTTACTGTTTACTGGTTCTACTCTGTATTTTCTTTCATATCGTTCACTCCAGTAACATATTTTACTGTGTAGATTTGGAACCTGGCCCTCCAGTATTTTCCACGTGTACAGTATTATTTGATATCTCTCATCTCCTTTCTAGTGAGTATATTTGGAGACCTTTGAGACGATCCTAATAATTTAGGTGCTTTATCGCTCTCTATGTTCTCTGAACTCCCTCTATTTCAGAAATCTCTCCTGCTCTGAAGGGGGAAGTGAGTACTGAGCAGTGCTCAAGACAGGACAGCACAAGTGATTTGAATAGTACTGTACAACCATTGTGATGGAATTCCTGGATATGATAGTTCTTGTAATCTATCCTATCATTTTTCTGGCTGATGCAATATTTTCTTGGTTATGCTCCCTAAACGTTAAGTTGTCAGACATCATTATTCCCAAATCCTTTACATGCTGCTTTCCTACTATGGGCATATCTAATTCTGTTTTGTACCCAGTATTAATGTTTAATGTCCTCATTTTTACCATACCTGAAATTTATCACTGTTAAACATCATGTTATATTCTGCCCAGTCGAAAAGTTTATTAACGCAGTATCTGCTTGTAGTTTTTCAATGTCTTCAGCAGAGGTAATTTTCATGCTGATTTTTGTGTCATCTGCAAAGATGATACGAAGCTGTGACTTATAATTTTGTCTATATCTGATATGAGAATAAGGAAAAGCAGTGGTGCCATGACTGTACTCTGAGATACAGAGCTTTTAACTGCACTTGGACTCAATTTTATATAGTTGACTGTTACTCTTTTTGTTCTGTTCTTCTGATGCCTCAGTGATTTTGTCATAATGGTCAAGTAGCTGTGAGAGGCATGATCTTCCCACTCTAAATCCATGTTGGCCTGGGTTGTGAAGGTCATTGGTCTCCATGAAATTGGTGACCTGACTCCTGATCACTCTTTTTAAATACTTTTATTATGTGGGACATTAGTGCAACTGGTCTATAATTCCTTGCCAATGCTTTGCTCCCTTCCTTGTGTAGAAAATCTTTCATGCACATGTTATCAGTTACACTTATAGGGGTTTAGATATCATGCATAAATAAGTTGTCTGGATCTTCCACTTTCATGCTGTTTATCAGTCATCCAAGCCATCCTGCATGGTAATTACACTAGCCATCTAGATATTGCTAAAACTACTTTTTACAGGCAAGTACAGTAGCCTGTAGGGTCATCCATACAGCTACGCAGGAAAATTGGAAATCCTAGGTATGTAAAATCTGTAAGATTGCAAATCAATTTACTCCAGACATATTGCTTGACATTTGTCTCCATGGTTCCGTCATAGCAGATCTGGTGTTGGTTGCACTAGGTCTGCATTTTTCACCCATTAGATCCAGTGCTCACTTTCCATACATGTAAGCCTCTTCTAGTCTTGTCCCATGGCCTTTGCACTCTCCTCCAGCTACCCTAAAACAATCTCTCTTTTTCTTTTTCTCTCGGAACTCCAATCTGCCCTATCCCTCTGTGGTTCTATAGTGATGGACTCAGACAGGATTCATTACAAGATCCTTTGCCATCTCCCTAAAGTTGCCTTTCAGTTTTTACTGAATATTGTATTTATAGTAATAATTTTGGGGAGACGACGTCAGTTCCTGGTGACTGGCATAAGGACGAGGTTCTTATTCAGAAACCCTGTACACTAGGGGACCTCCTTAGGGATTTGTCCCATTGCCCTGATGAATTGTGTTTGTAAGCTTTTCGAACGTATGGTCGATGTCCATCTTATGTGGTTCGTAGAACATCATCACTTCCTCTCACCTTGGCTTTCGTATGTGTCCCAGCACATGCAAAAACCAAATATGCACGACTGACATTTTGGTTGACTTAAAGGTCAACATTTGTTCTGCCTTTGCCACAAAGGCAAAGTTGAATTGGAAAAAGCTTATGCCACCACCTGGAGGTATAATATTTTAATATTTGGTCTTTGCTTCATTCTTTTGGAACATGTGGCAATCTCCTACTCTTCCTTTTTAACTTTCTCTTGCATCATTCCATTAAAATGAACCTTGGTGCCTCCTTTTCCCAGTTCATAGGTGTTCCTTGCACCTCTTTTCCTCATTGCCCATAATGGTCTTATTTCCTCCCTTCCCTCTGGCATTTTCTCAGTCCCTTTGTTTTTTTTATCTCGCTCTACTGTCAGGAGGATGATTCCCTTTTCCGCTAACACCGGCTTCAACTTGCGATCGACGCTGTGTCATCCTGGACCATCAATCACTGTCACACCATGGTTAATCCCCTACTCTTATAGAGATTCTGCAAAGATCAACTTTTGGGGTTGATCTTTGACACTTGTTTGTCTTGGTCACCCCATCTCTCTTAAGAGTCAAATACTTTTAAGACTTTTACATCACTTCAAGTCTTGTCCCATACTTCCTGGGGAGCTGATATGCACACACACCTCTATTTGCACTCCTCTCTTGTGCTCTCTAAACTGAATTATGGCTGCCCTGCCTACTCCTCAAAGCTCAGCACCATGCTGGGTTGTACCTCAGCTCTGTTTCCTTTCGTGCATCCCCTACCTAGAGCATGTATGTTGAAACTGGAGTTTTGTCACTATAGGATTGTTACTGCCTTCAATACCTGGGAAAGTCTCATCATTCTCACTTTTGCCGGGCTTTGACAGTTGTCCCTCCAGTAGCCCCTTTACTTTTTTGTGTGTGTGTCTTACAAAGACATTTTAGGTTTGTGTTTGCAATGTGTCATTTGGCCCTTGTCCCCATGGAGGACCCCTCTTGCAAAGTTTTTAAAGGTTTCTATCCCTCCGTTTGTTATGAAGCACCTATGTCTTTAACATTTTTATTTGCACTCAAATTCTGTTGCCCACTCCTCAGATGGGTCCAAGTCTGCCGATGGTGTTTGGTTCTCTATGGTCTTTCCAGACCAAACATACGTGCCACCTACCTCCGAAGGCTAGGATCTTCCCAGCTGAAATGTGTGTGATTTTGTAACTTTGTCAACTGCTTTTCCGTTGATAATGTGGCTTTGTCACTGGTTGACTCGCAGTGCAGGTACTGGTACTTTTGATATTGATCTCCTTGTGCCCTTTTGTTCTCACACTGGCATTAATATTTAGCACCTTTTGACTCTCCTGCGATTTTGATGATGCTACAAAAGTCTCCCCGGCTTGGTGCCTTCTTTTGATAATTAATCTCTACATGAGGATCTGATATGGGAAACCAATGGCTTATTGACCCTCGATTCTTCTTTCCTTCACCCTAAGCGGCATTTTAAGAAAGCTATCTGGAAATGCACTGCTTTGACCATTGCCTTGATGATCATCCTGTTCTCACTGTTCTGTCAACTTGCCATGCTTAATGAACTTCAATCCATCTCATAGACACTTTTGCATGCAAAAGTGCATTCCTTGGTGGAATCTAGACAGTCTGTTACTCTTCGTTATGCAGAAGTTCAACAGATTCAATTCGTGTAGGATTAAGGAACCCTCAAGCCACTTGTAATACTTTTATTAGAAACCTAGATGAAAGAAAGAGTACCTCACACAACTTGAAAGTTGTTTACTTTTCCACTGCTAGCTTTACAGAGAAAAGATCTTGCTAGATGTATCTGCAACAATACTGTATGTTTTTTCATCTGGCAATTTAAAAAAAAAAATCTTTAGCAACATACATATATATTCAAAATCTACCAAACACATTAGGACCAAGTGTTTTGAGCATAATCTGCAAAGATATACTGTACTGTATAAATAGTTATTATTTTACAATCTATAATGTACAATTTATCGGTCAACAATTTTTTATTACATTTAATGATAGCTCATGGCAGTACATGCACAAGTTAGAAAAGTTAACAACCACCTGACAGTTAATTTAAAATTTTGTTACAAGAAACTTGCAATATGAATACCTATATAATGAAATCAATATCTTATACATGCCTTCTTTTATAGGGAAAAAAAAAAAAGGAACTAGTACTTGCTAAACCAAATCCCTCCTTAATTGGCATTATATGTTTAGTTTAGCTGTATGCGTTACTCGGGCTTAATGGTGACACCTCGTCGAATTTGACCCCAACCAATTAGACTGAAAAGAAATTGCATCATAAGTACAACTAGCAATGAATACCTAAACTATACATGTTGGTGCAAATTTCTGGTTACCTTGTTCTATATTACCTATTTCATTACTGTACAATAGTTGTCAATATTACCATTATGTTATTATATAGAAGTACACACCAGATAACTGATGATGTAACAATGACATTGTTAATTAAACAATTATTTTTATTTGATGCACTTGAACATGTTTTAGCTGCTGGGTAATTAAGATTATCAACATTGTGCTTTAGAATTTAGATAAATATTTTTCTGAATACAAAAAAATCCTTGCTGGCATGTTATTAAATACTTACCGCCAATGCTTATCAATCCTACGGGATAAGGCAATTTTTTCTCCTTCCTCTGTACAGACTGGCTGCGTGAGTGTAATCTTGGCCAAATCTGCCCTAACAGCTAAAACTCGTCCACCAGTAGACAAGGAACCAATGTTCACCATTAGCATTTCATTTTTCGTTAGTTTTTGAACCTTTAAGAAAAACAGACACAGTTTGCATATACATTAGGCTTTAGGAAGAATTATTAAAAATAAGTTTGATAATCTAACCAATGCCCCCCCCCCCATCACAAGGGGGCCTGACAGCCGAGTGGACAGCACTCTGGATTCGTAGTCCTAAGGTTCCGGGTTCGATCCCTGGTGGAAGCAGAAACAAATGGGCACCCTGAGGGGGGGGGGGGGGGGGGATGTACAATAAAAAGGCGGCCTGGTCGAGGACCGGGCCACGGGGACGCTAAGCCCCGAATTCATCTCTAAGATAACCTCAAGAACCTACATAGGGTTATGGGATTGATTGGGTCTATTCAAAGAAAACATTGAAACAAATTTGTGGTACTATGTCAAGTATAAATCTGTCTTGTTTCACTTAAAAATCACATGAAATAAGCACATTTATCCCTACATTACATCTTATACTTCTAAACATTATACATATAAGTAAAATTTAAACAAAGATACTGTACTGTACTTCAAGAAATACCTTAGGTTATACATATTCCCTAAAGAAGTTTCAAATGCTCAATATAAGCATAACTAGAATCACGAGCAAAATTCTCAAAAAATTTAAATGAAAGTTTACCTTATGACAACACTGTCCATCAACCACTAAGGCAATAACTTTAAGGTGTGGATTTTTATAGGAGTCAAAGTATATAAAATAATTCATAAATACCCATCATTAATATTAAATATACATAATCTCCTGTGGATATTTAGCTAGATTAAAAAAAAAAAACTACCATGAATGAATACCTATCTGTGCATGGAATATACAAATATGGACAATTGTACTAAGAGAAAGTTAGCATTTTCTGCTACCGGAAGGTCATTCCAAAAAGTGGAATGTCCTTTTGAATGTGGAACAGTAAAGTCATCTAGTCTGTCCTAGCCTAAGTAGGCAAACCTAAGCCAAATATTCTTGGACACTACAAAATAAATAGTACCAGACCTGGTCTCTCTTGGGTGCAATGGTCCATATTTTGTACTTCCATCCATTGTAAAAATATGACGACTGCATGACAATACCCAACATGGGTGGAACAAATAACCTAACACACACACACATGAAATAAAAGTGATGTTTTAGTCCATCCTAGACCCTTAATGACCCATCCTAGACCCAACTTGATAAGGGTTCAGGACCAACTAAAACGTCATCACTTTCATTTCACTACCATATAATTTTCATTCTTTACTTCAATATTTCTTTCATACTGTCACATTCCAAGCAAACATTTACTTTGGTCTCGTGACATCTCCTAGGGGTGTCATGATAAACTCTCTAGGCTCTCAAATGTAAGCATGACAGGAACTGCATATAATGAATGCATGTTGGGAATTGGGTAAAGGTGTGAAAAAGCGATCAAATAGCTGGTTCCCTCCAATGTTTACCTCGGGAGAGCAGGAACTCAAAGGCTGAATTTCATCCAGTAACATGAATAATTCGAGGGCATGGGAATGAAATGTCCTCAACCAACAGTATTCTCAAACTTTAAATGGGCAAGATGCTGAACTTGCTTCAATACTGAAGCTTTGGCAATTAATTCTACAAGCTCCAAGATCTCTACATGTTTACTAGATATCAAGGGCTGTCTGCATGATTCAACATTGTTGGGACGTTGGATTTGCGAGGGGAAGGGGGGGGGGGGAGGGAGGCAATAATTGTGTAAATTTTAGGATAGATGCCATTCATCTATTAAACTTACTCAACATACAACATACCAGCTCCATAAGCCATGGAAACAGTGTATCATGCTCTAACATCTTGCATTAAAAATATTATGAATCTTACCTTGGCACCTTTTTTGTCACCTTCTGTGCGAACACCCAACAATCGCCTAAGAAGGAAGTAAGAAATCTCAAGTTCGGTGAAGATCTCTGGAAGTGAGCCTATAGCCCCCAGCACTTGACCCACCATACGATCTGCTCGGCAGAGGGTTGGGTCAATCTTGGTGCCAACACCTGTTGGATGAGAGGGACGAATTACACCATGAAAAGCATCCACACGAATGAACAGTCACAAAATACTGTATTAAAGTTTGAGACGATTTGGTTTGCATAATGAATCTAATTATTCATTCTTAGAATAAGGCAAGAGAAAATGCCAATGAATTACGACTATAGCATTTGGAAAGGCTATATTTAACAAATGAATCTTAGCGATGTGTAAAGCATTACAAAGAATGCTTGGTAAAGAGTAGAAACTGGTTGTAAGAGCCAGAGAAAGTGCTTGGTGTAATGAAGCAGCAGCAAGTCACTGACAATAGTAAATAAACAACCCAACGCACATAGGTAGGAAAAGAACACCCATAGGAAATTAAATAAAAGTAATGATAAGGGTCCAGGATGTTCCAATACATCAAGTCATGACAGGCCAAAATATTGTCACTTTCATTAATTTCTTAAGTGTGGGTTGGGTTATTTGTATGTTACATTATTGCAATGTATTCTCTGCATGATAGTAAAGTTTGGACTCTGGGTACAAAGTGAGGAAGGTATGAGAAGCTGATAAATATAACTGAGATAAAAAATTTAAAACAGGAAAGAAAGGCAAGAAACTAGGGGATAAAAAATTAAGTACATTTAAAAGAAATGCAACAAGATGGCAGAAAAGCCAATGGAAATAAATATTAGTTGCAGGGTAGCTGACATTACCATATCTTTGCTATATACCATCTTCAATACCAATAACTTTTGACACAGGGTCTACACACAACCAGTCTCATCATTGTAACCACCTTCACTACATACTGTCTTCATCACTAACCATTCTCACCACCCATGCACTGCTACGTGCCCCCACCAACATATAACAATGAATAGAAGACAGGATCTGTGGCGAGTGATACCCACACGAGTGGAGTAAAAGGATCTTTCTAAATGTTGCAATGAGCTTTTTTACAAGTACAGGTAGTAGATAGTACATCAAAGATTAATTGAAAATTCTGTTAATGAACATGGGAAAAGATGACAAAGTGAATGCAGACAAAAAAAAAAGTCATGCAGATAGAAAAAAGAAATACACAGTACTTGAAATGTGCAAACAGAAGAATTGGTTGACAAATTTAAATACCTGTGATGTGTAACTGACCAAGAGGTATGTGTGCAAGTTGAAAACAGAACAAGTGAGGAGAGGAAAGTACCTGGGTACACTGAAAACCCTGACTAGGAGAACCAAACATGAGAGCTGCACAATGCCTACTCTTTGTATGGATGCAAGATAAGTGGCATGAACATAGCATCATCATAAGCAATTTAATCTACCAACATGGAAAGTATCTTTAATAATGAGAAGATAGAATAAAAATGTAATGGAAAGATGTGCAATGCAAAAATCAGAGTAATTGTGTCTTTATTGCTCTTCAAGATATGATATAGAATATTTTCGTTCCTAGTAAATTTTATAGATGAAAGAGTTCCAAAGTGGTTTGGTGCTATTCAACAAGGCAAGATACTGTAATTATCAGAAGAATATGCTGTAGTTTCACTATTTAGCACTTTGAAGGGATATCAGAACAAGGAGCTGGGATAAGAGGACAAAGTAAAGGCATCATTGAACCATTTGGAATTGAATGTCGACCTGGCAAGAGACCAGACCATCACTGTACTGACCAGTCCAAGTGATATAATAAGAATAGAATAAGAATAATAGTGGCGAATCAGAGGAGGGGAAAGTGAAACAGGCCAAGATGTGCAGACAATGAGAGAGAGAAAGGAATGAGTTTGGTTTGGTCTTGGCCTTATGGTCTATCCACTGAATGAGTTACTAAGTAACACTAGCCTACTGACCAACCAGTAGTTATACAATATTCCTCAAGATAATCCAGAACTTAAGCAAACTCTTGAGAGCATGTGCACAAAGAAGGTTCACCTCTTGGTGTGTATACCCCCAGGGAGGGAGTGTGAACTACACACAGTGGAAGAGGAACGAGGCTGGGTGAAAGCAGTTAAGAGTGAGTGAATGTTTTGAAATTTTGTGGTGATCAGGAGCAGCACTTTACACCTAGTCTAATGGAGAGAATGGCTTTATTAATTTGCTAAGCAAATGCCCCCACCCCATGTAAGTTGGGAATGGGGCATTAATGGTGAAGCCTCTTGTCAGTTTTAAATTTAGGCAAATTTAAAACTTATCTATATCTCTCATCTGAAATTTGTGTCTTAAAATGCAACTTTTCAGCGTGGGGAAAATGTAAGTCCACAAATCCATCAATTACTAATTTCATACTTAAAATACTTTATCTGACATTGCATACATACAACCCATATTCTAAAACTCTCACTATTGTACTGCTAATATTTAAAACTTTATAGCAAATTGTGTTTAGTAATTGGTTAGAACTGAATTTACAAGTCAGACTGGCTTACGTTCACTCATGACCAGGATCATACACAATGTGTTATATGACAAGCAGCATGTGATCAGAGATAATAAATAGAACAACAATTTTCCTCATTAGACTGGATGTGTTCCACTGCGACGAAAGCTGCAAGTTTACCTACTGTAATAATCAACCAAATACCGTACACACATGACAACACTAATAAGTCTTATAAATGTCATTACATATAGTGTCATTATTGCATAGCTTTAAGAATTCAGAAGATCTAATAATTAAATAAATCTCAGAATGTTTGGTAACAGGTTTATTGTTTGTGATGTGTGTCTATGTATGTACTAACACGTTGTACTGAACGGGGTGAGAATAGCTTGAGCTACCTCATCCCTTTGTGTGTATTTTACCTCAATAAACTTATTTCAATTTTAATTTCAATTTCAAATTAAATAAATCAACAAAATGTGTAAACTCACCAATAAGACCACCTGGGACAGCAAACTGTAGTTCATTGGTCTCGGCAAAGAGGGAAATGATTCTAGATCTGATTGGCTTACAAATAACTCGGCCAGACTCCGGGTCACGTGAAATAATCCCTGGTCGCACCTCAATCTCTTGACCAATCTATGAAGAAAAAATAATTAATATTTATAAAATATACAAAGAAGTGGATTACAGTGGATTATTAGAAGGTACAGAAATTTTATATTATATAAAGCCCCTAAATATGCACAATATTGCAGGCATTAACCTTACAAGTTCGCTCACTGTAGTTTAAATATGTTTCATAGAAAAAATTTCATTTCCAAATGACTGGCAAAAAATAATGGGTTTGAAACCCTGATAGCTACATATTAACAATGTTAAAATATTTATAAATATCAGCCAATTAATATTTTTCATGGTATACCATGTTGTTTCTACCATTGCCGTTCTCCGTATGATAAATTAGATAAAAAAATACCAGTAACCAGATACTGAAACATGGGTTGTTATAAACAGTTGCATATTTCCTAAATATTAAAAACTTCAACCTGGATATTTGTCTTACCAAGGTGGGGGATCCAAGCACAATGTTCTTCCCAAGAATGTACGAAAGCCTTCATAGTATCGGTAATACGGTGGCATCAAATGTCTAAAATGTTCTCACAATTGCCAGATTATTTGCCTAGCTGAGGCTAAATTGGCTCTGTCGTCATCTCTAAAGAATAGGTTGTCATCGTTACTCATAAATCATTTACAAGCTTCCTCAATCTTATAATAAGTTGGTCTGTATGGATAGGTTGCCCCATTATTGCTGCACCTAATCTTTTGCATGCTTCCTCCATTTTATAATAGGGAGGTCTGCATGCACTTTTACACAGTACCCATGGTGAGTTCATAATTATTTTTCCATAGTGAAGCAATTGGAGCTTCATATCACTGATCCTTCACCATTACCCACTGAGATTTTATTGATATCCAATTGCAGATGTTCAGAATCATCCACTGACGCAATTTTTGTGCCGATTTTGGTATCATCCACAATGGACGACACGAAGCCGTGGTTTGTGTTCCTGTGTAATATGAAGAGAGAAATAGCAGGCACAAGACAAGTGTCCTGTTGGACCAAGCCTTTTGTTATAAAGACTGAACAAATTTAATATACGTTTTCCTACTTGATTCGTTATTCCTTTAGCCTTCATTTATCAATTGTCATTCTTTGGTCACAACTGTCATATGTCCTTTTAAAATTTGAATATTCAAAATAGGCCTTCCGATTATCTTATTATCTCGGTAATTTTATTGCAATGATGAAGTAATTTCTCTTAGATGTGTTGCCCTAGGTTGTATATTACATTATTTTCCACAAAACAAGAGTTGGCTTGGCACTCTCTCAGACTATGATGATGCTTGATGCTAGTGCAACTAGTTTATAGTTGCTGCATCTCCTTTGTGAAGTGGGGCTATGTTCAGTTTTCAGTTCTTCCATGATATCACAAGAGTATAAAGACTCTCTGTAGTACACATACCCATGAAAATGGTATTTTGAATTTTTATTTGTATAAATATAATCCCCAAGAAATCCAACTTCAGCACAGTGTATGCTCTCTTATCTGAAAGACTGCCATATGTATGAGCAGTGTTTTTTTAAATACATTCTTTTACTACAACTATATATGTATACAATGCTAATGAATGGACAGCTCTGTAAAACTGACCCTTAAACAGAATATTAAATATTACCGAGCTAGTGTAATATTAGTACGTGAAATTGGAGCAAGCTGTTTAGAACACAAAAATGAGTACTTTTTTGAGAAAGAAATTTATACATCAAATTTAATCATCATATGAAACAATTTGCAAGCCTGCAACATTTGTTTTGCTCCAGAGCAGAGTGGATTGTAAGGGGTTGTTGTGATATGTATGTTTTATATAAAAATTTGTTAATCTTACAAAATTTATGAACATTTCTTAGACTTTTTCAACAATAAATTTGATAGTACATTGATTTAGGCAATGAGCTGAAAACTTTTTGTTTTTGTTTGGCAGAGCTTAAGACAAAACTAAGAAGTGAGATTTCCTAACATGGACAAACAAATCCTCCAAGTCCCCAACAAGGGCTGACAATATCTAAAAGCAAGACTGAAATGTAACATTTAAAAATATAATTTAAATAGTATACATCTGATGTCAAAGACAACAGATCATTGACCTCAAATGAACCCATTTAATAACCCAACCCACATCTGTGAAATTAAATGAAAGTGATGACATTCTGGACTCATTTTTTTTGTTTTGTGAAGTAAATGCTTAATGGCATAAGTAATTAATCAAAAGGAGCTCACCTTCAATACCCCTCTCAAGATGGAGCCCCCAGCAACACCACCCTTCAGGTCTTCGACCTCACAGCCAGGCTTGTTCACGTCAAACGACCTAATGACAATGAGACGTGGCTCTGTCATAAAGTCACGTTCTGGTATGGGAATCTTCTTCATGATGTATTCACACACTACATCAATGTTTAACTTGAGTTGTGCAGAAATGGGGATAACTGGTGCACCTTCAGCCACAGTGCCTGCCAAACGAACATTTGTTAATGTAAAATTCACAAACTTGCTCACTTTCTCCCTAAAAGTACGTAGAATGTGATTAAACTACTGTATTTTTTTTTACACATTATGCACTTAGTTTACAAGAATATTTTGCGGGAGAAAAATTGTAGTATGCTCATCACACAGTACATTTACTGAACGTAATGTTCCAAGTGATTTTTAGGGAAAACACATTATGTACATGTAAATACGATATACATGCACATAATTATGTGGAAATTGGTGGAATAAAAAACATGCCAAAAACATTCATTCTATCAGCCATAGAATATGAAGCTATTGATACAAGGTCTGGAGAAATGATCACACAAGAAGCCTTTTAATTAATTCTATCACAAACTTTGGTAATAGGGAGGAAATCTCGAAGGTGTGAAAGCAATAATCTAGATGAAAACAAATGTTTTGTAGCACTAAGGTAGTCGAGAAGTAAAAGTAAAGAAATATTCTAAACCTGAAAAGGAAAGCTTTAGTTTTTTGGAAGTATTCTTAACAATCAGCAAAAGTGAGGCTTTTAGTATAAATCCAACAGTGTGGTTAACCAGACCACCAACCACGAGGCCTGGCCAAAGTCCGGCCTGCGGAGATGTTCACTCTCGCAATCATCACAAACTAACTCCAAGGTAATTGTGATGACTAGAATATTAATACAATATAATTACTTTAAATAGCTTTTCTAAAACCTGGCAAATGACCAAAATTTGCTTAAATGTATATTACAAAAAAAATTTGGTCGTGTTAGAAAAATACTGAACTAAATTCTCAGTACCCCAGAGAAAAAAGTAATTGAAATTTGACATACTTTAAGAGAACCACTACAAAGTGCATGATTCTGGAAAATTTAGCCTAGGAAGAACCACATCAAGTATGAAAAGTGCACAGTAGCATTATCACCACCATCATATAAGAGGATAGCATGAAATGTACTGTATAGATCAACAATGAGTAATATGAACAGTTGTACCTTCTTAACACTTTCGCGCTCCGTGGAAACTCGCGGTTGACAGGGGGTAGGTAGCCCCTCCGTGCGGGTAAGCGCGCGGTGACACCCAAATGTGTATACTCGTTCCAGTTTTCTCACCTTAATTCTCGCGCTACGTCGCTCGTTTTGGTATCATTGTGTTCGCAATTAAATTCTCTACAGGTGTGTATAAATATAATGTCCAAAAGCCTAGCGTGACTCCCAACAGCAAAGCGTAAAGTCGGCAAAAACGCACAAAATCAGTAACATGTGCATTCTCGTTCCATTTTTTTACCTTAATTCTCGTGCTACGTCGCTCGTTTTGGTATCATTGTGTTCGCAATTAAATTCCCTACAGATGTGTATGAATAAAATGTACAAAAGGCTGGAGTGCCTCCCCGCAGAAAAGCCTAAAGTTACCCGTGAACGAGCACCATTTTTTACATTGCAACCTAATGTTCAACTCGTTCAATTTGATAACATCAAATTTCGTGCTACGTCGCTCGTTTTGGTATCAAATTGTTCGCAATAAAAAGGCGAGTATTTTAAAACTAGTCCCAGAATAATAGAGCAATAACTGGATTTTTAACAAATATTTTAATTCTGGACGCTCATCATCACAAATTTATTTATATCTTTCCAGTGTTCTGACATAAATATTTGTGTTACATCTTTCATTTTGGTATCAAATTGTTCGCAATAAAACGGCGCGCATTTTAAAACTAGTCCCAAGATAATAGGGCAATAAATAGAATTTTAACAATTATTTTAATATTCGGACCATAGGCCTATTTATAATATTTCAAGTGTTTGGACATCAAGTTTCATGTTATATCTTTGATTTTGGTATCAAATTGTGTGCAATCTAAAGGCGCTTATTTTAAAACCACTACCAGATTGATCTGATAAAATTTAAATTTTTAAAAAATATTTTAATGAGTGACTCAGTATTGCGTCGTTGGAACACATTCAGTAGAAAAATGAGTGACGAGATAATCAGTCTGTGGAACCTCAAAGTGTTAAAGGGTCCAGGATGCACAAAACGTCGTCACATTCCTTTCTTTTTATATGTGCGGGTTGAGTTATATATGAAGGAAAAGCAATAGTACCAAAACATTCTGCAACACCATAGTTAGTGATAAAAGAGGTAAGCATCGAGCCATCTACATCAAGAGTGAATCATTTATCAAAGCTAGAAGTACAGACAGAGAAGGTGGAAAATTGAATTATAACAGCTCAGAAAGTACAGATTTTTGCACAACAGGAAAACTTACAAAATATCTAGTGCCAGGACAAAATTCAAGTATTTAGCATAATGAATTGAAATTTTCTAGGTATCCTCAGTAGCTCCCCACGGTATTGGATTTGGTACCATAAACGAACACAAAACTTTCAGACTTTGGTCTTGCATAGGCTTACAGAACACCAAAGCTGTAATATTGTAAACACCAAATCCCCCCACCCCCCTGGGAAAGTGAGGGAAGTTGCAGTCAATATATTGATGCTGATTTTATTTCAGTGTCACACATTTTTTCACCGCTTTTTTCCCTGTTACATTATGCAATACTGGTAGTGTGTAATTTGAGAAATTTATATAATTAATTGTGCAGAACATCAATACACAAAAAAATGTCACTAATATGCAATTATATTAGATTGAACAATAAAACACAGTTTTTGTCATTATTACACTACAATATAAACACATTATAATATATAACTATCTACATTTTTATGCACCATAACAAGCTACTAAGCAGTTCTGGTGGGTGTGAATCCCACACAGCACCACATGCTGTCAACACATAACCCCACCTGATGCAGCAACATGCTTCCAATATACTATGCACATCGGCAGCTCAAGCCACAATACTGCTATTATCATCAGATTCCTTGTCACTAAATCATAAATATGAATAATTTTCCACAAGCTTATTTTCTAAAGGAACACTAGGTCTCATTGCATGATGCACAGAGGCATAAAACATGGCTGTGTACTTTCATGTCTGCCTCGCTTTGAGAACATCACCACCAGCATTAGGTTAACAGATATCACAATATTGTATATAATCTTTATCACTCTCGGGGTTTACGTCACTCATCATCAATAAATAATTCCAAATACTTATTTATTTCATCATTATCATCATGCTGTGGGCATGTGCTGCATGGTGGTGCTGTGAGCTGCTGCTGCATACACTACATGGTGCTGTTTGCTGCTGCTACATACACTACATGGTGCTGTGAGCTGCTGCTGCATACACTACATGTTGCTGTGTTAGTACCAAGGCCCTCACACCCATGAGGGGTGCCCACAATTGTTTTTTCCAAGATGTTTACTGTTTACTAGAGACCTGAATAAGTGAATGTGAGCCCTCTGTACTCACAGGAGTTTTAAATCTTGCACTAGACCTAAACGCATCTCTGGTCGCTGTGTACACAACCGACGGTAACCTGGTCGCTAAGTGCAGTGGAAAGATCAATATAAATCCAGTTATTAAATTCAATGCCATACAACACTTCTCATTACAAAAACTTACCTTGTATGAATCTAAGAATTTGATCATACTGTTCCCGTAGTTGAGACTCTCTACAGAGATCAATTTTATTTTGAAGAATAAGTATATGCTTAAGCTTCATGATTTCAATGGCTGCCAGATGCTCCGACGTCTGGGGCTGTGGACATGTCTCATTTGCGGCTGTAAATATAAGCATATTGAAAAATTTGTGAACATTTCATGTAATTCACAGTATTTCAAGAAACTTCACTTAGTGGGTTTTTTCTAAGAATTTGGTAAGTGGAAACCTTTTGAGCATCTTTTGTTTATGATAAGTGTTGCTCCAGGACCTAGGTAGTACTGTATTTACTGACACTTCACATGCCTGTAATTCAATAGTTTTCCCAGCATTATGCTGCACAGTAGTACAAAATAGTAATATCTACAGAATCATCTTCATGCAATTTTAACAATTGATGATTTCTATCCATAAAATAGAAAAGTTTAGTTAATTGTACAGACTTGCTACCTACCAATTAGTAATAGTGCAGCATCCATGACTGCAGCACCGTTTAACATAGTAGCCATCAAAATGTCATGACCAGGGCAATCAACAAATGATACATGCCTCACTATTCTGAATCTGTAAACAAAAATATATAAGTGAAATAAAATTGGTATGTGGACCGAGTACAGATTATTACATACAGTATTATAAAAACATTACAATGGAAAAGGCTATACAGTATTGTTATAATGAATTTAATATACTCATCATTCTTCAGGATCTTTCTCTCAACATTCTCATATGATTTTCCAAGCCTACAGAGGTCATGCAGGGGGTAAAAAAAAAAAAAAAAAAAAAAAAAAAAAAAAAAAAAAAAAAATATGGAGAATAATATGGAAGGAATTACAAATTGGAGCGGCAGAGGATTAATCCTACAACACTGCAGACTTACTTCCCGGAGCAATTAGATCTGGCACAGGGGAAGGCATCTTCCTTATGAGAGCTTGCAGAGATGAAGCACGATGGCCGCGGACACTTATGATTATCACATTTGTAGATTTTGGCGTTGGCATACCCTAGAGGAGAAACAAGCTTGTTAATGTTATTAATATACAAAAAAACTAAATTAATGGCATATACATGAAAACATTAGTCATTTCAATAAATGCACATTATCTTTAACAGCCAAGTCATGAAATGAATGTCAAAACATATTATAAATCATAACTCTGATAACAAACCACAAAGTTAACAAATTGAGCATGTTTGAGTAAGTTCCTGCGAGTTAGGCAATTTGTTAAAGTTGAATTCTAGGGACAAACAGTAGTTCACCTGTGGAACATATTAAGCTTTAAGTACAGGACTTCCTGACTCTGACAACAGGAACTAGAGTGGAATTAATCCCACCACCTTGCCATTATTAGGCCAGCAACTTCAAATTTAGAATTTGGACAATGTGCCAATGTGTCTTCCAATGTTCATTGGAAGACACAGTATTATATATTATATATAATACATATAATATATATATATATATATATATAATATATATATAAATATATATATATATATATATATATATATATATAAATACACACCACAACACACACTGTCCTGAAGAACAAGTCAGAAGTACCCAGTACCACACATGCTTTACTGTATAGCAGTATAATATCTATGAAAAAGCACAATGTGAAAATTAATTTACTAAAAATTATGGGAAAAACAAAATGGGCAAAAATGGGACACAGTACATTATATGGATGTTAAAGAGATACATGGCATAGAAAAGCTAATTTACTCCAAGCTTTGTTATATACATTAGAAAACCTTACCTAATTTGATTGTAATATTCCTTTCTAACTCATTCTTGAATCTAACAGTCTGGACTCCTGATATCGCCTTAACAACTGTCGACTTTCCATGGGCTACATGACCAATAGTACCAATGTTGATTGTGGCTTGCCGGCTGATAACCTCCGTTGAGAGTGCCGTCAGTTTGCTGATGTCCTGAACATACAAAGAAAAAAATACAGTTAATAAAGTTTAGTATAAAGATAAATGCAACCAGAAGACATAGTGGCCCATTCAAGACAGCTCCTATCTAAAACCACCCAAACTCATTCATACACATGTCTAACTACACTAACAATCCAATGATCCCATATCTATTATGTTACCCAGTATTAATGATACAAGAAATACTGCTTCAACCCTGTCTACCATTTCTTGTGTGAATATATAATATAAAATCAACGTGTAGTACATTACTGTAATTGTAATATTTATAAAGAGCTATACATTCCTTGGGCAAGTACAATATTGAAGCAGTACAATGGGATTGAACTCGCATCCCTAAATATCTTAGGCTCGTGCAATATTTTCACAAGACTTATTACATTCTAATGATTTCAATGTGCACAATATACATTTCTCTATTACGGGAAATTAAAATAAACTGAAAACATTACATAGGATAATTGTGTGGCAAAAATAATTTCACCATAAACTATAAATTAAGTTTTCAGCAAGTTGGGTTAACCCTTGGACATTTTACACAGTTCTGAAGGCATTCAGCCGACATTCCTAGCCATTTAATGTGCGAGGAAACTGGACAGTAATACAGCAGTTGCAGTGTAAATCCCTTTTACTATGTCTACCTGTCAAACTATAGTTTAGTTAATTGATTAGGCACCCCCATACTCATCCTGTGGGCAGTAGCTGTCATGCCCCATACGTATCCTGGTGGTGGTAGTACACTTTATACCCATCACTCTTATATCCACCCTGTTCACTAGCACCCACAGCCCCTGACACACATCACCGCTCCTGTGCCAGGTAAGTCCACTACGGGCTCACCATAGCCCGTGCTACTTGGAACTTGTTCCGAGTAGCTGAATCTATAACAACAACAACCACCCACAGGATGGGGTTTTAGGGATGCATAGTAAACTACACTATAGTTTGGCTGGAAGGAAGAGTAGAGTAGAGAGGATTTACACTGCATCTGCTGAATTGATGTTCAGATTTATTACATATTAAATGGCTAGGAATGCTAGCAAAATGCAGTCCAGAATTGTACAAGCTCACTGTATATGAGCCCATCAGGCCCCGAACTGTATAAAAAATAATTTTATACAATTTTAATTAAAATGCATGTTTACAATTGGTCCATACCTAATCCAGGAAGTAGGTTCTAAGACTTGAGAAAAGGCTGGCAGTCTAGCCTCCTATATCCTAACCTAATTATATATAGTTTTGACAAACTTGAGTTTTATCGAAGAACCACATACATAGAACATGGAGTGGGAATTTCTGATTATCCTCATAATTACTTTAAAGTACATTGATAAAGGCGCACCAAATGGCACTGTACTCTACGAAAATTTTAATAATTTATCTTTAAAACACGTGCAGTGTAGAAGTTTATTGATGGTTCACATGACAGCTGGTGGAAGCAGGCTGTGGACCACCTCAAACTACCCCCACACACCACTCTCTATACTATATTATAGCAAATACGCTAAATATCACGTGGAACTATGACACATACCAGCGTCTTCAAGTCCTGGACCGCTAAGTTAGCCATATTTATTGTTATTTAGGTCTTCCTCACACGTCCATCAGACTAGCGGCAATGTGTACAGACCGGGATGAGAGACTCGTTCCAGGTCCCTCTTATACAACAAGTAAAATAATACTTTCATATATTTAACAAATCTATCACAAATTTACATATTATATTTTATTCTACTATATAAATATTTTAAAATATGTCTATTATTCCATATATATATTTGTAAAGAAAATTTTGTTATAAAATATTTTTAAACGTAAATTTCACTGTTAGCTAACCACCGAGCTTCAGGAAAGAGGAGCAGAGAAAAGCGAACGCCAATGTGCCAAACACGTACAATTAACAATAATATATAAACGTGATGTTATTTACTTAAATAATTATCTAAAATAACTTTTCAGCTTAGTTAATTGAAATATCTACTCTATATTTCTACTATACAAAGAGTCTGACGCAACAAATGCAAAATTTTATGAAAAGCACATCAAGTCAAACGCATCAGTTGCTCATTTTAACTATTTTTGAAAACCACTAATATATTTGCAATAGAAACAATGCTAGCAATTATACCAAAGATGAATCAAAGCAAAGTTACTTATTCTATAACAAGGCAATAAGCCTTTTCTGTATTATAATTAAAGCCCAGCAGCAAGCCTATATAAATTATGTATACGTTCAAATTTATACAATATAATTTTAACAATCAATAAGAACTGCATTTACCCCATATATTGATCAACAACACCACCAAATATATATATAGGGAGGCCAAATTATCAAGAGTGACCCCTGGAGGGAATAAATAACAAGGAAAACATGGCTAAATATCCACGTAGTTTCGTTATTGGGCACCGCCAAGGTGGCTGTCCGGATATATTGTGTCTGGAAAAGCAGTTTCATTTGTAAAACAGGAGGCTACCATCCTCCTGTATATTTTTTAGGTGAGTACAGGGGGCCTGGTGGCTGAGTGGACAGCGCACTAGAGTCGTAGCCCTAAAGGGCTACGACCTAACCTAACCTTAGGTTAGTAGTAGGTCGTATAACCTAAGGGCCCGGGTTCGATTCCCGGCAGGGGCAGAAACAAATAGGCAGAGTTTCTTTCAGCCTGCGGCCCTTGTTCACCTAGCAATAAACAGGTACCTGGGAGTTAGACAGCTGCTACGGGCTGCTTCCTGCGGATGTGTGTGTGTGCCTGTGTAAGAGATATTTATGTATTAGACATAATAAATGAATTCCGCTGATGTTATCCTCTTGATGTGGGCTTCGGGGGACAGGTCTTTCTCTCTCTCTGATTCTAGAAGAATTTCATCTCCCAAATGATACCGTATATCTGTACTCCTGCTCCCTACACCTATCTTCATTACATTACATTTGCTTGGGTTAAGCTCTAACAACCATTTGTTGGATCATTCATTCAGTTTGTCCAGGTCTTCTTGTCATGTGCTGTCCTTCCCTATCTTAATCCTTCTCATAATTTTTGCATCATCAGCAAACAATGAGAGGAATGAATATATACCCCCTGGAAGATCATTTACGTATCAGAAACAGGATAGGTCCGAGTACAGAACCCTGTGGGACTCCGCTTTTGACTTCACGCCAATCTGAGGTCTCACCCCTTACAGTAACTCTGCTTCCTATTGCTCGTCACCAATATTCATACTTATTACGCTGGCGTGCGGCGCTCGGGAGTCACGAGAATAAATATTTGTATAAAATCCATTTATTATCCGATCAACTCCCCGAAACTGCCTTTCCTGCCCGAAACGCTTTGCGTAATAGTGGCTTTAGGCATTGTATGTACTAGCTCTATCTATAAAGCCAACAAACTTTGTAAAATCTCTTTATGTATGTACCTTACCTAAATAAAAATTATTATTATTATTATTATTAACTTGGGAATAGTTTACAAATGTTTGCCATGAAATTTACGTTTTCTCTAATAGCCGAACAGCTTATTAAAGAAAACGGCGTGGCAGTGAATCATCGTGGTAAAACAATTGTATTATTGACACGACGAGTATAATCGACGTAGTTTTTATATATGTTGCCGGTCGAACGCATCCTTATGTGACCTTTAATACTTATGTTCTTATAGAACATTCTATTGCGAGCACATTGGTATGAAAATGAAATATATACATCGACAAATAATGTCAGGACAGTGAATTGAATATACACTTTTCAAAGCGAGTTTCGCTGATATGCCGCCGCGGGTAACACTTCGGCCAATTCCCACACTGTTTTGGGTGGGCTGCGACATTGAATCTATATTTATATGCATATGTCCGTGTAGAGAATTTTATTGCAATTCCAATGATACCACAATTAGCGATGTAGGACAACTGTATGCTTCGCAACCATTAAGAGAGTGGAAACATTTTGTTGCTGTTTTGCGCTCTCGGCTAGTGATCTGAATAGTTTTTTATTTGGTGCTGATAATCCTTATGCTTTGGCGGCATTTTATAGATATGTTCTTATAGACAATTTTATTGCGAACACAGTGATACCAAATTTAAATACGTGCGCCTTCAAATATTGTCAGGACAGTCAAAAAGAGTGTACACTTTTTCGGTCTTACCGCGTAGGCGCGCGAAGCGCCGAGAGCATCTAGGGTATGATTTTTTTTTTGAACGCCTAGAGCGCGAGTGTTAAGTACTTCCTTATCCACTGGAGCACTATGCCAATTACTCCTGCCTGTTTCTCCAACTTATGCACCAGCCTCTTATGCAGTACTGTGTCAAAGACTTTCCGACAGTCCAAGAAAATGCAATCTGCCCAACCTTCTCTTTCTTGCTTAATCTTTGTCACCTGATCGTAGAATTCTATTAAACCTGCGAGGCAAGATTTACCATCCCTGAACTCATGCTGGTAGTGTCACGAAGTCCCTTCTCTCCTGATGTGCTACTAGGTTCTTTCTCACAATCTTCTCCATCACCTTGTATGGTATACACGTTAAAGACGTGTGTGTGTACTCACCTAGTTGTACTCACCTAGTTGTGTTTGCGGGGGTTGAGCTCTGGCTCTTTGGTCCCGCCTCTCAACCGTCAATCAACAGGTGTACAGATTCATGAGCCTATCGGGCTCTGTCATATCTACACTTGAAACTGTGTATGGAGTCAGCCTCCACCACATCACTTCCTAATGCATTCCATTTGTCAACCACTCTGACACTAAAAAGTTCTTTCTAATATCTCTGTGGCTCATTTGGGCACTCAGTTTCCACCTGTGTCCCCTTGTGCGTGTTCCCCTTGTGTTAAATAGACTGTCTTTATCTACCCTATCAATCCCCTTCAGAATCTTGAATGTGGTGATCATGTCCCCCCTAACTCCCCTAACCCCCCTAACCCCCCTCATGTGTGTGTGTGTGTGTGTGTGTGTGTGTGTGTGTGTGTGTGTGTGTGTGTGTGTGTGTGTGTGTGTGTGTGTGTGTGTGTGTGTGTGTGTGTGTGTGAAAAGGGACCACGTACATCAGTTAGGAATACATGCAGAGTGTGCTGAGAGGCTGAAAGCCCCGACAACTATAATTTGAAAATTATGGCGCTGAATAATTGTTTTCAGGAACGCGTTCCTGGAGTAATGGCAATGACTCTTCGAGGCGATGATATAGCTGCTTGTTTTGTGGTGATGGCCCTTTTGACAGTGACGATTTAACCGCTGAAATGATGGTGACAACCGTCTTGATAGTGATGGTGGTGGCCGTGGGAGAAGTGATGCCACAGTGGTGGAAAGGATCGGAAATATCCCTTCACCAGTGGAAAAAAACGAGAGGTATGTTGATAGGCTTTGCGCATTAGTGGCTTTACAAGCACTGTACGTGTCTTATATATGAATCCTCCACTGTTCATGTACCATTTTTATGTATATACTCTTCTCCTAAATAAACATTAACTAGTGGAGTGAACGATATAAATCCGAACACCAGAAGATGAGGATAATGATTCGAAAACATGTTAGATTGAAATGCAGTTACCAGTGGAGGTACCGCAAGGGACGTTTATTTATTTATTAAATAAGTAAATAAATAAATAACCCAAAATAGAACACGAAACAAGGTATATAAATTGGATAAGTTTAGATTCAGGAAAGACCCGGGTAACATAATATATGTGGGATCATTTGATTGCTTCACGGTTAGGTTATATATATATATATATATATATATATATATATATATATATATATATATATATATATATATATATATATATATATATATATATATGAATGAGTTTACGGAAACCCACAACTTGTTCGTCCTTGAGGAAGATCAGAGCGACTTACTCATTCTTTAAGACAATCAGGACGACTTGTTCATCCTTCAAGACAATCAGGATGATTTATTCCTCCTTTAAAACAATCAGGACGACTTGTTCATCATTCAAAACAATCAAGACGACCTGTTACAAATCTAACATATACAGCTTACTCCTTTATCTTTGCTGTCAAGAGAGACTGTACAAATATTATTTGTTTATTGCAGATCAGAGGAAGGAGTCTCTCTCCCTAACACTGGCAGTCAATGCAAGTAGTGTCCTTGTGTTCCTGGGAGGTGTTTCTGTAAGTATATTTTGCGTTGTGTGTGTGTGTGTTCACTATTTGTGCCTGCAGGATCGAGCTGTTAGCTCTTGGACCCCGCCTTTCTAACCGTCTGTACAGCCACGCTATTGTGACCTGCTGTCTGAAAAAACTGTCTGCTGTCTGTATACTAAATATTTTAAAGGTCACAACGACAGATGTGTTCTGGTGTTGGCAGGTGTACGGAAAGCAGGCCGAGGGGGAGGAAGGGGGAGTGCACGTGCTGGTGGTTCACGTACGAACAGGACACGTGATGTTAGTACGTCACTTCCGTACACATCAGCCTGGCAGCCAGCACACCCTCCGCGCCTGTCTAGCCTCCCTACAGCCAGGCCGGGCTCTCCTTCTGCTGGGTCAGGTTAGTTGATTGGATATGACTTGATTGATTAGCTGATATGAACATCAGTTAATATATATATTTATTTATTTTTATTCAATTATCACCCCTCATTATTTACCTGCAGCCAGAGTTCATAACCTACCTGTGGCCTGAAGGAGGAGAGGTCCTGTCGCAGATGGGGGCCACTCTGCTGCCTCGGGTGGCCGTAGGGGAGCCTTGGGCCATGGTTACTCTCACTGGCCAAGCACAAGGTCTTAACCTGGGTTCCGGTAAGGTACTAGGGGAGACGGTGGCTACGAGGGAGCTGGGACGGCCCTCTAGAACGCTCCTGCTGCAGGTAGACCTTCCTAGAGCTCCGTCAGGTACGTCCTGTAGCGCAGTAGTCTACGTCCTCAGCTCATAAAACCCGAATATTAAAGGAAACTACATAAAATTGGTCCATATGAGGCAGCTCTTATTTATATCCACCCAAATTCATACATATATATGTCTAACCTACGTTTGAAACAGTCCAACGATCTCACTTTTATATATGTTACCAGGTAATTTATTCCACAAATCTACAATCCTGTTTCCAAACAATGTTTCCCAAGGGCTTTTCCGACTAAACTTATCGAATTTATATATATATTTCGTATTCTGTGGTTATGTTTAGCATCTAATGTTCTTGTTATACTCATTTATCAATGTGTATACTTTTGCCTTTTCTAGAAAATGTAAATTAAGCTTTCGTAGTCTTCTATAGGAATTTCTAGTTCCAAGGAGAAGCTTTATCACTTTCATAAATTTTCATACAATTTCTGTAAATTCTGTGGTATCATTGCTAAAACTGAATTGCACAATGTAAATGAGAATTAACACAATCAATATCAAGCTGAAGAATAACATCAGAGGCGTTAATTTAATGTTTACGCTTCTAGAAATAATTCCTATCCTTTTTCTTTCGAAAAATTTATACATAGTTTTTTGGCTTAAGATCGCTATTACAGTATTTAAGACTCTCAGATCCCTGTCACATTTAGGTTTGGAAATGTTATTGTCAAACTGATATCCTGTAACTCTGTTACCATTACCTAAGCTCAGAATCTTATACATTTGTCACCAATGAACTGCATCTGTCAACATTTTGTTCAGTGTAAAAGTCTTGCTAGGCATCCTGTAACGACTTTACAGCCTCGTGTGAATTAATTATCATATTTATAGTGTTTTCAGCAAATTTGATAAAGTTACTGTTTACTCCTGGGATTATTCAAGTTATTTATATACACAGTAAACCACAGAGGACCCAGGACAGAGCTCTGGGCCCTTCATTTACAATTTCGGTTCCCACTCTGGGTTAACTCCAAGTTACTGTCTATTTACTTTGAAATATTCAAACACTTGACTTAACTTTCTATGGTACTTTGTGTCATGATTTTTGTTATCTTTCTTCTTATCCTCTTACAGGAGAGTGGTGTGGGCGTGAGTGGGCGGCGGAGATGTGGGCGCAGGCCGAGTTCTGTGAGCTATATGAAGGCTACGGCGGACTGTGTGATTGTGGGCGGCCATACATCCCTACCAAGCGCCCTCCTCCAGTGAGTATGTATATACAGTATATGCGGGAAAACCAATGGGAAACGTGTATGTTGAATGTTTCGGCTAGTTAGAGCCTTTCTCAACAACCGTTTAAAACATGACTCTTAATAAACCTTTAGACTGGAAGTATATGATAAAAACACGTTTTTTGTTGGAAAAATACTTAAGCATCCCTCGCTTATAGAGGTTCTGTAGCGCAGTGATCTGTGTCCTCTCTCACAACTGATGGGTTCGATCCCTGGACGGGACAGAGACGGTTGGGCAAGTTTCCTTTCATCTGATACCTCTGCTCACTTAGAAGAAAAATATATACCTGGGAAACGCCAGTAGTTGGCCTAGGTCTTAGGCCTTAGATGACCTCGATAAGTCTAAGTAAAAACTTGATGTCCCCGTCCAGGCATGAAGGTAAATTCAGGTAAACTCTCAGGTAAATACTTTGTATGATCATACTATGTATACTAATACCCGGTACAACCCATTATATATCTTATAATCATACACCATATCCTTCACAGCCCAGTATTGATATGACGGAGGACATCCCGGTAGTCATCGTCACAGCCAACAAGCCCTACTATCTGTACCGGTAGGTCTTCTTCTGGGGTAGGTCTACGTCAACCGGGTTAGGTCTCCCTCTTCCAGGATAGGTCTAATTCTACCTGGGTAGGTCTGTCTCTGGTAGGATAGATCCATCTTTATCATGGAAGGTTTACCTCCACCGGGGTAAGTCTACTCCAGAGATAAGTCTATACCCCTCTCAGGGAAGGTTTGCATCCCCCTGATCAGTTCTACCTCTCCCGAGATAGGTCTACCTCTCCCGAGATAGGTCTACCTCTCCAGAGGTAGGTCTACCTCTCCAGAGTAGATACTTATATAGAAGGAATAAATAAGGAATTTAATTTGTATTTTATAAAGCCGTTAATCACTCGACGAACTGAATAAAGAGTGGGAGTTGGTACCAAGGAGCTAAAGTTTCATTTCCCGCAAGCAGCTGTTTAATAAAAAAGCATAACTTTGAAATGGATTTGCTGTGAGGACGGGCGCCTGTATAAGCGATTCTGTTTATAATGCTAGTTACATTAGTTACTCATTAAGGGTTATATTGTTTTCTTTCTCTTTGTAGGTTATTAAAGAACCTAAAACAAGTAGAGGGTTCAGGGCAAACTAAAATATTAGTAGCTATCGATGGCCCTCATCAGGAAACTCTGCAACTGGCAAATCTTTTCCAAGTGAGCACCGTCGTCCACACCCCCCAAGGACCTCCAGGGAAGAACACCAGGCGAGTATATATATGCTTATACTACATTATATCATATGTGTGAGTGTGTGTGTATGTATGGATGTACTCTCTCAACAGGGTGAGAAAGTACATGCATGTGATTTAGAACACCAAAATATATTTGAATTGATTTTTACTTACAGAAAATATATATGAGGGGTTTAATTACGTATTTTATGAGTACATTTGGGTTACCTTTGACAAAACGCCAGCTTCCTGTTCCTGTTGAGGCCACTAAAGAGATGGTGGCGTTCAAGTAAATACGGATAATTTACATGAATTCAGGTAAATTAACTTGGTTTGCTGTCTATATACATTAAAATAATGTACAGTACAGTATAAAATAATATAGTTTACAGCCTCTCTACATTCATCGAGTGTAAAGTGCTGCATATATGTTATTTCATCTGAATTTACCTTAGGGCCACTAAGACTAGTGGCCTCAACGAGGATACCAGTGTTAGTGACCTCAGCGGCATGCCAAAGGTCCACCAAATATAAATAAATATATCTTGCATATCGCATGTTATAACAAGTATAGTGATGGTCTCCCCAGGACTAATGCCAACATCGCCTACGCCCTCTACAGCGTGTTGGAGCGCTGGCCTCACGTTGACAAGGTCATCCTACTTGAGGACGACCTCATTCTCTCCCCGGACTTGCTCAGGTCAGCATGGTTACTGTGGTATAGTGATTTATACGACCTCGTATCATTGTCCACGGACCCGGGTTCTGTCCCCAGGTGGGAGTTAGGGAACTGCTGTGGGCTGTGTCCTGGGTAACGTCTGGGGTGGGGGGAACCTCAGTGAGCATAATTACAGGCTTCCTGTCACCGCAACTAGAGCGCATCGCAATTATCTAAAGCGCATCAGATCAGTGAAGGTTGGGCCAGGTTAGGTCACCTCAAATAACTTTGGTCAGTGCTGCTGTATGTGGTTCAGATCAAGTATGTAATTTTGGAGGTTCTTTTTGTTACAATGAGATCAAATTGAGTCCTATGGGATAGGGCTTTGTTTTATTACATTCACAGACTGTCGGCATGACTAGTTCTGGCGCATGAGCAACAAGGAAAACTTGTAATGTACGTATTGTAAACTTGTAACATTAATGTCTCGCTTTCCTTAGACATGGGTAAGTACACAAGTAGTAAGAACAGCTAATTTCAAGAGACTGGATTAATATTTTAAGGAGGCATTCGTCTTGTTGTGACCTGATCAAGACTGTTAAGAGAGGATTTTGTACATACAGTATATTTAAGCACTTATGCAATCACAATAAAGTATCATTTAGTTTAAAGATAACACAAACAGCACGATACTCCTTACATTTATAATGTTGAAATCGAGCCTTCATGAACCGAGAGCATAATATGCACTTCACCACCGAAGCCATATTCTATGCCCTAGAGATTTGAACTCTTTCTCTGGGATTTCCAAAACTTAGAACCTCCATCTATTTTCAGAGTTTCCAGCTTATTCTTGGGGACCTCCATCACTCGTTCAAAGCCTCTCATTCTCCACCAGGTACTTCCACCAGGCAGCCCCGGCACTAACCATCGACCCCACGCTATATCTAGTCAATGCCTTCGGCCAGAATTCCTATCCAAACACTGCCAGCGACCCGTCAACAGTTCTTCGGGCAGAAATGTATCCACAGTATGGCTGGATGACCTGCAGGCGCTGGATTGAATACGTGCTGCCCCTATGGGTTCCTTCCGGGGTGAGTCCTGGGTATACATTACAGGGTGAGTTCTGGGTACTTTTCAACGTCATTCGTGGTTATACGGGGCGAGTCCTGGTTATAAATTACAGGGTGAGTCATGGGTACACATTTCAGTGAGTCCATTATTACTTACGTCTTCGGTAGGGTGGTGTAGACTGGGACTGGTGGGTGTACACGGAAGGTGTTCGTGGTGGAATGGACGCCGTAGTACCCGAAGTATCCAGGACGGCTCACGCTGGGTCTGCCGGGGTTCATGTTACTGGCTGGGAGCAGCACCTTTTTTTCAGCAGCAGGCTCCTGAATCGAGATCCACACACCACCCTCAAAGGTATCCACAGGTGGGTGAGGAAGGTGTATGGAATGAGACTATGTGTATGGAAGAGGCAACATGTGCTTACTTCCCCAGTGACTACGGGGAAGTGAAATCTAGGTCCTTTTGTTGCTCCTCCTAGCCGTTCATATCTGGCATGCTAATTGCCCCCCTCTCAATATTAACCTCTTCATATTTCTTTTTAAAGTTGTGGATGGAACTGGTTTTAACAACCTTTTCCTCCAGTGCTTTTCATTTTCCCTACCAGCCATATTTGCTATGCAAATTAAGGGTCCCAAATTGTGGAATAACCTCCCAAATGTAATTAAAAGCTGTACATCTCCCAACCAGTTTAAAAGAGAAATTAAGAAATATTTACTTAATATCATATACAGTACTCAATATCATGTAACCAATTACTCTCACATTTTCCTATGTAATAAGTTATTTTTGTGTTAATCTTAAATTTGATTTACTAATACTGGTAAATATGCCCTTTCTTCATTGTCATCTACAGTAATTATTACATTTCATTTATGAAGTGTTTACTCGTCTGGCTTTTGTTTTGATCCTTGTTCAGTTTTAAGTGTTGGCCCCTTTATACTTAAATTATACTATCATATTAATTATTTATACTTTATTACGCCATGTTATGTTCCAGTCGCTTTTCAAAATTACTCTGTAGTATTTTCATTCTGCTATTAATGTAAATAAACTACTGAAGTGTTGCTAGAGCTACTGACTCTATCAAGTAATAGTCTATGACTATCATTTTTTAAGTACTGTATCACCTTTTTATTGTATTCATCTGTTATTTTTTTGGAACTTTCTCAATTTTGTTAGCTTCTCAACTAGTATTAAGTGTTTACCCTTCACACCTTTAAATAATTTTTTTCCCAAATTATTTTAAGTTTTACCCAAAATGCGTCGTGTAATGGTGACTTCATTAGTTTGTGTAACTCCTATCCCCTCAGTTGTACATTGTTTCAATGTTCTTTGTACACACAGTCTTATAAATACCTGTACAAAAATTTAATTTGAATTTGTACTGTATATGGAACGAAAACTTCCTTACAATTCAATTGCAAGTCCAGCTTCCACTGATTTCTCCTTGTCCTACTTCCTTTTAATTTAAATAAGCTTCCTTTATCCATTTTATCTATTCCCTCAAGATCTTGTACATAATCATATCCACTCTGTATCTTATTTATTAATTTTTTATTTTTTTATTTTTTATATACAATTACACATCTGTATTTATATGCATATATAGATCTCTTCTTACAAACCTTCTCATATTCTCTTAAACGGTCACCAGCTACTCGAACAAAGGCCTTCCGGTGGATGTAGTTTACATGAATTTTGCTAAAGCCTTTGATAAGGTACCACCTGAAAGACTGGCAAGGATATTATAAGCTCATGGAATAAATGGTAAAATACTAGAATAGATAAAACAATGGTAAATCAGGTAGTCCAGTTCAGGCATTGGTATTGTAGGTAGTCCAGAGTTCAGGCTCTGGAACTGTAGGTAGTCCAGACTTCAGGCACTGGTACTGTAAGTGGTCATGACTTCAGGCACCTGTACTGTAGTAGGTCAGACTTCAAACCCTGATTACTACAGTTCCCTAACTGTTCCAAGTCAATATTTATGCTCTTATTAGTTAACCTATTTATACTCTGAGTTTAAAATCAAAACATGTAGAGAGTATTAACTATGCAAGTTATAGATAACTAATATTTACAGGTTGGTGGCCCAAAACTACTCTGATTGGATGGAGAATGAGATACGAAGCGCCACTAAGCTCAACTTCAACGACCACCCTTGCCACACCCATATCATCCCCAACAACATGGTAAGAAGAGGAGGCAGAAAGTGGGAAGTACAGTAGATAGCAGAGATAGGCATGGGTGAAGTAGGTAGCAGAGACAGGCAGGGGAGAAATGTGACAAATGGGCAGGAGGAAAGTAGGTGACAGATGGGCAGGGGAGGAGTAGGTGACAGGCAGTCAGGAGAAAGTAGGTGACAGGCAAGCAGGAAAAAGTAGGTGACAAATAATGAGAATTTCTGTTGCTCCCTCATGCAGACTGGACCCTTCGTGCTTTTCCTGGGTGTAGTCAGCCGTTCTGATGAATACAACAGCTTCTACATCATGCAAGCAGTGAGTGATGCCTTCTGCCATTGTGCCCTCTGAGAGATCCTTGATAAACTTGAGTATCTTGCAGTGTTTTTAAGGAATCCCTGGTAGACTAAAGAGTGCCTGGAATCTCCCTGAAGGATTCTTGTTGCGGTATTGAGTAATGGATCTCTCTGAAGGATGCTTGGTAAACTGATTGTTTTAGGGTGTCTCCGACTTGCTGTCGGTTACTCAGATAAACCAGTTACAGTAATGGATGTAGTGGATGGCATTTGTTATAGATTTTTGCAGTTATTATGTAACTAAGAAAACATTTGATTATATGCTTATTTAATTCTCACTTGGAAGTGTCTGGGAACAGATGACCAGGAGGTGAAGGAGCTTTATGAGGGTGTTATCAGGCTTCGAGTTCATCAGTATTCCCACACGCTTGTCCAGCATGCCCGCAACCTCAACCTCCGTGACTCCCACACTCTTTACCACACCGACCTGACCCCCAACTGGAGGACTGGAGCCCCAGAACAATCAGCAGACAAGTGGAAAGTTTTATACTTGGTTGGGTGTCCACTTTCTAAGTACTGGTGAGTGATTGTTTACTGCCTACTTAATCTGTGTTTATGGTAATATTTACACTACAGTATTGATTGCAGCCTCTAATTCCAGTGTTTTAGTGTAATTAAAAACAACAATAGTGACACTTCCTCTGACTAAGGAACATTGGGACTATAAGTGAGGTGGGTTGCCCAGGTTAGTTTACTTCTCCTTATGCAAAACCACTTCAGACTTGATGCTTGCCAGATTGTGAGAACAGGGTGGCCAGTGAACAGTTGGGTTTATCTGTTTCATTTATGATACAAGAAGTACTCTTAGCCCAAGTGTCATAAAATTGACTTGCATACATGTTCTAACCTGACACCAAGTTCATAAATATTGATTTGAAGTGTTCACTGTCATGTACAATAAGACTCCAGACGCTAGAACCTTGTCAGGTTATTCAGCACCAGTTTTCTACCCTGAATGCAATCCACCAGTTGTTTCACATCCATATCAAAACAAACTTTATCCATAAATGTTGTACATTCATAATTTAAAGAAACTTTCAGTACATTACAGTATTTTCATTTTCATAAGATAAAGTCATAATAATAATAGCACATAAATCAGGTCCCCAATTGCTGCTGGGTGTACAGGGGACAGCAGTGATGGAATAACCCCCCAGTCGAACCCTGCCATGAATTCGAACCCAGGCCTTCTTGCTTGCTGGCTAAAGGTTCTAACCACTTAGCTACAGGGTGCCGTCACCATTCTTATCACCACCATCATTATTATTATCTCTGGCTAGCATATTGAAATAACTGAAACGCTACGTGTTAGTGCCCAAAACACTATGCATGTTAGTGGCTTTGTAAGAATGTAAAAATACCATATGTAAATGTTCTGCTCATCTTTTGTTATCTTATGTTATCATATATTAATAATGGAAATGTTATGTGTTGCAGCAAGTACTCAATGGGTACCAGTGACTGGGTGGTGCCTGGGGAAGAACTGGTGGTAGAGGCGTCGAAGGTTGTGTACCGCCGGAGGATGGCTGGGGTCCATCAAGCCGCCAGGTACAGCCAAAACCTCTTCTGTTACCAACTTACAGTCACTTCAGTAATTTTTTATGCACCCCTATACCCACCCCATGGGTGGTGGTGGAAAGAGTTATGGAGGCACATAATGGGTTCAGGAACTAAACCCCATAGTTCATTTAACTAAGCAAGTAACAATCTTTTGAAGCTAGTTACACAGTTTTTAATACAGTACACATACATACATATATATATATGTACATATTAATTATTATACTGTACTACTGTACATCAATAGTCTTTTTATATCACAAGTGGTTCACAAAGTGGCCCACAGCAGTCTCTATACAAGGCAATTTAGATCTATGGTGAGTTACAAAGTTACTAATCCTGCTCCACACTTATCCAGCGGGGCGACAACTTTACAGTCATGTAAAGTCTTTACATGACTGTCTTTACTGTAGCATTACCTACATTAAGCAAACTTCAGATACTTGGCTAAGATGTCTGATAGTAAGTGCATAATTTTGAATGAAATACACTTACACATTTTTTTTTTTTTTTTTAGAAATTTAAATATATTGTACAGTATACACATTCTGCTCTGGCAAATATATTATGAATTAGGTTTGAACATGATAGATTTTTGTTTGGTTTTGTGATTTTGGGCTGTCAACCTCTGGAGGGTTATTAAGGCTGTATTCACTGATCAACTGAGAGATAAACAAAACAACTTAAAGTTAGTGTTTTTTCTTTTCCATTGTTTTGGACAAAAAACCTGTAAGGCTTACTGAGATACCCTTCAGGCCAGCAACTAACTTTAGCCGCAATACAACCCTTAATAGTCTCCTATTTTCCAGTTACCTATTTACTGTTATGTGAACAAAGGCATTGGATTTAAGAAACATACCTAATGTCTCGCTCTGATGGGAATCAAACTTGAGTCCAATTAGCAATTAGGGAAGTTATGTATCCACTTATTGCACCCAGATTGACTGAAGCCTCAACTCTCATCCAACTGTAGTGTATAAAATTTGCCTGAGGGCCAGCATTTATCAAGTGGCCTAGACAGACAGAAAGATGACAGCTTGCCAAAGGTCTTTCCCCCCTTCCCATTTTTCCTGAATTTTTTCCAAATGGAATGTGAATTGCAATATCATCTTGGTATTTACTGCTTCGATGAGTAAGCAGTTCCATGGGTTCACCTTATATTTCATATATTTCTTATATTTCACCTTATGGGTGAAATGCACCTGTTTTCTGTCCTACACTGTGACTTGTTGAGCTTGAAGCTATTGCTCGAGTATGTGTAACACATGACCTTTTAAAGAGGTGATCTGGATCAATATTTTCTAATTTGTTCAGTATTTTAATCCTATGTCAATGTAACTAAACCCTTTATCCTAACCCACACCAATTTAAAACTTTACATTGAAGGATAAATCTAGAGCACACTGGTCTACATCCTCAACTCCCAATCGAGGGACCTGGGTTCAATCCTGGGCAAGACAAAGGGTTCGGCACATTTTCTTTAACCGGTCCTATACCTCAATTCACATAATAGTAAACAGGTACCCGGGATTAAGATAACTGTTGTAGGTTGAATCCTGGGAAAGGTCTGAAGTTGACCGTGGTTTCAGAGGACCTCAATAAGTTTCCTGTCCATGACAACGGGCATTATTTAAACCAAATGCCAATTTATTAAAGTCATATTAACAACAACAAACTTTATTCATAAATGATTATACATTACCATTTATTTAGTTTGTATGGGATCAAGTACTTGTCGTAACCATCTCATATCGTTATGTATGTACAGTACCTGTATTCCGTTCATATACGAACTAAAGAACATATTGAGCCCATCTGAAAATGCTAATGGCCCCATGTGATGACCAAGTGCATTTTTATTAATATTAGAAAATAGTTTTCAGGATATTTTTGCCTTTTTCAGATCTTAGTACCTGTACCTGTATAATGTGTTTTATCTTTTATGTATATCTCTCTCCTCTCTCTTCTTTCTCTCTTCCACTCTCCCATTTATCAGTAAGCCACTCTAGCATGCTCACCAGCAATCTCCTTGTTCACAGGGTGAGGGTGGCAGCCAGTTCTTCTGAAGAGGAATTCAACCTCAATAATGTTTTTGAGCAGATGTAAGAAAATCACATCTGATACTGCTTTGGCATAGCTGGAGAAGTGATCTACCTAGCAGAGCTGGTTGACAAGGTCTGAAAGTGGTTGATATGGTGAAGAATATGGTTGAAGAGGAGACCGTCCAAGGTGAGCATTTGGTTGATGCAGATGAAGTAATACTGTCGTCTCACTGATATCAATTCTGGTGGCTGGCCTGAGTCACATCTAATGTATCTGAAATAAAGAGGAGACTCAGGAAGATAGAAAATGAAAGGCAAAATTCATTACAGTTAATGCATTCAACATGAAAGTCAAGCAGGTGAAATGCATTTTATATCATGCATGGATATTGTTCCAGAAGTCTTATGAAATGGTAAATCTGGCATTGAATGCCACAGTTTGCTGGACTGATAATTGGCATTGCAGGTTAGGCTGCTTAGTGGCATTACAGGCAAGACTACTTAGTGGTCCTGTAGGCTAAAATAATAATTGACATGAATTTTAGGATGTCCAATAGAATGGGAATCTGGAGTGTTCGTGACAATGATAATAACAATGAAAGGGTTCATCATAGACGAGAATGAGAGCTCCATAAGATATATATATGACTTAGTATTTCCTAAGTACTGTACAATGATGTATGTATGGTACTAGACTTTGTGAATTATTCAAACCTATAATATAATATTAATACATGAAATAAATTTTTTACTACAAAATTGAAGTTACATTACCTGAATTACTTAAGGGCCTCCATCCTTAGTGGCCTCGGTGGGGACAGGAAGCCGACGGCTCATAAAAAAAATACATTACATGTATTTTCTATGATGAACATTGATGTGATAAATGATATCTATAAATATACATTGTGTATTTAAAGGAGTAATTATAGGATGATGGTAAAATTAACGCTCATACCACAGTATTTAGTTACAATATTTATGGTGGAAGCTCTATGGGGCATACTGTATATGCTATATAGAGTGGCCAACACAATTATATAAGGGTAAATAAAATTATAAACAAATTATCCAAGTCAATGGAAATATTTATTTGAACCAAATATGATACAAATACCTCAGCCCTGACTAAGGCCCGACTAGGCTCAATTCCTCAATTAGGTAACAGATATGCCCAAACTTAAGTACTGATCAAGTTTTTTCTATAGGTGAAATTACCAAGTAAACTTAATCACAACTGTTAATCAAGTTTCTCAATTTAACCACTATAAAAATAATACGTGTGCATATATATATATATATATATATATATATATGTAATATGTAATATACTGTGTGTGTGTGTATATATATATATATATATATATATATATATATATATATATATATATATATATATATATGTATATATATATATATATATATATATATATATATATATATATATATATATATATATATATATAATATCTCCAAATACTGTACCAATGAATCATACAAACCAAGGATTCAAACTTCTAAAATCCAAATAAAAAATCCTGAACACTTTTGATAATGATGACGATGAACACAGACCTTTGAGATGAGACTGCAGTGTCGGGACAAAATAATTAATACATTCGCATGGATTTTAAAGTACTGTATATCTGTATACATTTGGAGGAAATTTGCATGCAAATTTTTATAGCATCTTTCTGCACGCTTGGATGAAAATTGCATTAATTTTAGAGTTTTGTTTGTATACGTTTAGAGAAAATTTGCATGAATTTCACAGCATCTTTCTTTATGTTTACTATTAGACAGGATAATTTGAGATACATTTAGTTTTCGTTGCTATAACTGTATGCCACAGGAAGTCAACAAGTACAAAACATGATTGTTCCTGTACAGAGCAACTTGGAAATTGAAGTGCCACAAATATTTAATAATAATTTTTGGATTTTATTACATGAAAATATTAAAAAGCATTTAAAACTTATGAATGTATAAATGGAAACCATTTTCAATACAAATCAAAAATAATTAAAAAAAAAAAAAAAAGAGGTTAAAATCACCTATGTCAAATCACACATATAAGAAATGTAATGCACAATTCATTCCTTTGTGCACACATGTCTGTAGTAGGTCAATAACATGACTTGTATAAACATCAGGCTACATGGGAAACACACATCAAAGCCACTTATCATACTGACCACATAGAGGACGCCTGTCGTACTGGCCACATACGGATGCGTATCATACTGGCTGCATATACGAATATTTACCATGTTTGATGAGATTTATGTTCCGCTATTACACAGTATTAGAAACCACTCCACTGTATCAGTATAGTACTGTATCAGTATAAACTTTTAATACAAAAACAAATCATAAATTGAGAAAATATATCACAAATAAGTTATAATATTTAATGTGAAAATAATTTTTGTTTAGGTGGGTTCAAAATGCACCAGGTATAAAAATATTGTATATTCACACACACTTGAGGTGTCTGGATGCACGAGTGAGCTCCCTGGAGCATAATGTTAATGTACAATATTGCCAGGTTCAGCCTTTCTATTTTCTTTATCACTGCTACAATTGTTTTCTATATGTCAGATTTGAATACACTAAAATGCTGCAATTGTTAGATTTTATAGTGGTCATTTTGTACTATGTATTGTGTTCAAAATATTTTCCTCTGGAGGAGGGGAGACCACTGTAAAAGTTTATTTTAGTAACTGCAGAATGAACATGCTGTACATTGTTATTTGAGTTACAGTTCCCAGACAAGTCAGTTAGCCACTGGTTCCTGGAGTCTGCCATGATACTTTGCAGCTGCACACACTGGCTGGTCGGCCCCTCTTTGGTGTTGCTTGGACCCTAGCCATGCTCTCTCCAGTAGTGACCCTGTGCATGCACACCCTCTGCACTGGGGCCGAGGTCAGGCGGGGTCATACCCTATCACGCTGAGGGTGGGGGTTGCTGCGGTCTATGTCAAGGACTGGCGCCGACCCAAGGCGGAGTTGGCGACGGACGTGGCGGGAGACATTTTGACTGGTTGTGATGGGTGGCAGAATGACGGTGGAAGTGGAGGTCGGGCGCTGGGTTGGCATAGATGCCAAGGGTGGCAGAGAGGCGGGCGGGGAGGTGATTGTGGGTGGAAGGGAGAAGGTGGAGTGTCGAGGATGAGCATTAAGAGGCGTTCTTCCTGCCCGAGGGTTGCGAGTAGTAACATTAGTGCCTCCTAGCCGTGCCTCTCGCCACGATCCTGCTTCTCCATCTTCAGAACCAAGACTTCGAGGTCCTGAAGACTCTAGTGATTCCTGAGAGCCGACAGAGGCACGGGAGTTGCGGGAGAGAGGGCGTGCAGTGATATTGTTAGAGCTGCGAGAAGCAGTCCGGGAAGAGGATGCACGAGCGCCAACAGTTCGCAGTGCTGAACTGTACACCCTTAAATCACGCACTTGCGCCCGCAGTCTATGCACCTCTCCACGTAGTTCTGACACCCGCCGCTCCCCAGCTTCCAATTGCTGTTGTAGCTGCAGTTCCCGCCACCTGTTCTGCTCGCGCTCTTCCTCTGACAGTCTCTGCTGCTCTGACAGCTGCTTCTCCAGCTGCACCACACACTTTGTTCGCTCCTCCAGAAGCTTGTTGAGCTCGGCGACCTGCGACCTCCATGTGTCTTCATCAGTAAGGGTCACATGCCGAAGATGGGCCTCAAACTGTAAATCTGCAACACATACAAAGTGATGAAACACTGTCATTTCCCCACAAGAGGAACACAACATGCAGTCTATAAAGCAAAGAAAATCTAAATTAATAACATTACATTACAGCAGATTGATGAGGAAAAGGACCTTGGAGTCAAAATCCACCAATCAATGAAAGTTGCACAGCAGGTAGGAACAGCAGTTAAAAAAGCTAACCAAACACTTGGAATAATCATGCTTACCTTCGATTTCAAGGAAAAGAAGGTAGTGATTCAATTGTATAAATCTCTGGTGTGTGCCCCCATTTGAATTACTGTATCCAAGCATGGAGACCTCATCTTCAGAAGGATATAGCTGCTCTGGAGAAAGTGCAACACCGGGCAACAAAAAATCATTCCAGAGTTAAGTCAACTCATGTATCAGGAACGGTTGAGGACCACAGGGCTAACAACATTACAAACCAGGCATGACAGGGCGGATCTTATTGAAACGCTTAAAATACTGAACAAATTGGAGGATGTTGATCTGGAAAATTTCTTCAAAAGGTCAGGTGTAACACAAATAAGGAGCAACGGTTTCAAGCTCAACAAATAGGACTGAGAACAGTACTGTAGATGCTTGTTCACCTACTGGGTTATTAACCTATGGCATTGCTTTCCCGCCGAAGCCGTTACTGCCAAAACTCTGTTGGGTTTTAAAGTACAGCTGGAAAAGATCAACAGGGCAAATGAGGTGGGGGAAACCTTCAACAAGCTGCCGGCTTCCTGTCCTCGTCGAGGCTACTAGTGTTAGTGGCTCTCAGGTAAACTCGGGTAAAGGGAATCATGGTGGTTCCATCTTCCCAGTACTCCCAGGTAACAATGGTGGTAGTACTAGTATGATAACAATGGTGGTAGTACTAGTATGGTAGCAGTGGTATGGTAAGTCAAGGCCTGGGACTGGTGCTGTTAACTGCGGGAACTTGACAGCGGCGATAAGCAAACTACCTTGCATGTGAAGGTGACATTCCAGGTGTCCCCTGGTTGTGAAGGGGTGGGGGGAGGTTGTGGCGGGGTGGGGGGAAGGTTGTGGGGGGTGGGGGGAGGTTGTGGTGGGGTGGGGGGGAGGTTGTGGTGGGGTGGGGGGGAGGTTGTGGTGGGGTGGGGGGAGGTTGTGGTGGGGTGGGGGGAGGTTGTGACGGGTGGGGGAGATTGTGACGGGCTGGGGGGAGGTTGTGATGGGCTGGGGGGAGGTTGTGATGGGCTGGGGGGAGGTTGTGGTGGGCTGGGGGAGGTTGTGGTGGGCTGGGGGAGGTTGTGGTGGGCTGGGGGGAGGTTGTGGTGGGCTGGGGGGAGGTTGTGGTGGGCTGGGGGGAGGTTGTGGTGGGCTGGGGGAGGTTGTGGCAGGGTGGGGGGAGGTTGTGGTGGGCTGGGGGGAGGTTGTGGTGGGCTAGGGGGAGGTTGTGGTGGGTTGGGGGTAGGTTGTGTCATGGTGGGGAAGGTTGTGGCAGGGTGGGGAAGGTTGTGGCAGGGTGGGGGAGGTTGTAACAGGGTGAGAGAGGTTGTGACGGGGTGGGGGAGGTTGTAACAGGGTGTGAGAGGTTGTGACAAAGTGGGGGAAGTTGTGACAGGGTTGGGGAGGAATAGGCCGGGTGGGGAGGTATAGGCGAGGTAGGGGAAGACTCCGGCATGGTAGGGGAGGTATTAATGACGGAATAAACGCAAACAGGATACTGGAATTTATTTTTAGAAGCGTCAGCAGCATGACATTTAACAGTGTGTGGGGACGGTGCGCGTTGGGCACATTATATACACTATTCCCAGCTCGGGCCACCACGCTAGACATGGGCTGATTCCCACCTGTACAGCCAAGGATCATAAAGCTAATACAGCCAAGGATCACAAAGCTAATGCAGCCAAGGATCACAAAGCTAATGCCAAGCACTACAAACCTCCCTTATATTAAAAAAGCTTAACTTATATTCTCTAGAAAGATGAAAACATTGGTAACACGACTGAAGTATACAAATGGATACATGGGTACAGCAAAGAAGGTCCTAATAAAATGTTAAATTTAACAACACAAAACAGAAAAACATTGGACATAAAATTGGGTAAGTTTAGACTCGGGAAAGACCTGGGGTAAATACTGGTTTGAAAATAGGGTGATTGATCTATGGAACAAATTACCTGGGGCCAGATTCACGAAAGTACTTACGCAATCACTTACGGACGTGTACATCTTTCCTCAATCTTTGACGGCTTTAGTTACATTTATTAAACAGTTTACAAGCATGAAAACTTCCCATTCAACTGTTGTTATTGTTATAAACAGCCTCCTGGTGCTTCAGAGCTCATTAACTGTTTAATAATTGTAAACAAAGCCGCCAAAGATTGAGAAAAGATGTACAGGTTCGTAAGTGCTTGCGTAAGTGCTTTCGTGAATCTGGTCCCTGGCAACCACACACACACACACGTGGGATCACGATTGTTTCAAGCGTAGGTTAGACATAGGGGCGGGGAGGGGGGGGTACGTACCATCACAACGCTTCTGGAGGAGTTGTATCTGCTGGTGGAGGCCTTGGAGGACGGCCTCGTGCTCCCCCTGCAGGAACCTCACAGCCTCGTGCACGCTCCCTCCAACCCTGCAATACAACACTGGCTTACTGAACAAATCCACAAGGGCCGTGACGAGGATTCGAACCTGCGTCCGGGAGCATCCCAGCATATTGGTATGTCCAGACATCCCAACGTGTACATCCTTCCTCAATCTTTGACGGCTTTGGTTACATTTATTAAACAGTTTACAAGCATGAAAACTTCCCATTCAACTGTTGTTATTGTTATAAACAGCCTCCTGGTGCTTCGGAGCTCATTAACTGTTTAATAATTGGAAATAAAGCCGCCAAAGATTGAGAAGAGATGTACTGGTTCGTAAGTGCTTGCGTGAATCTGGCCCCTGGTGCACAGGGCAGATGTGAAGGGGCACATTACCTGTAGGAGGTGTTTCTGGAGTTGGGGGGCGAGTCTCTCTTCTTCCGCGGGAGGTCTGAAGTGAGGTCGCTGCGGGTGGGGTCGAGGGCGGAGAGGTCACGCCCCAGCTTGCTCTCCGCGGCGAACACACTGCCACACGCCATCGCTGCAACGCAAAACAAAATAATCACAAAGCAGGCACGAATGTAACACTAAACATAATTTGAGGTTTAGGCACATACTAAACTCGCCAGGGCCTGGATTTACCAAGCCATTTACGCATCCACTTACGAAACCTGTTCATCATCTTCTTTCCTCAAGCATGACGGCTCTGTTTACATTTGTTAAACAGGTCGCTTTGTAACAATAACCTTGGGTCGTCGAGTTTCCTAGCTCGTAAATGGTTTAAATAATGTTGCTAAACCAACTATCATTGAGGGAAGATCTACAGGTTTCGTAAGTGTTTCCGTCAGTAGTTGATGAAACCCGGCCCCCATGAACGTAATGTATTATCAGAGGAGTCCAGGGAGACGCGTGTTCGATCCCACTGAACAACCTCAATATTTGCTCCACATTCGAAGTTTCACATTTCTCAAGCACATCTGGCAACGCCAAATGTGCTTAATGCATTAAACTGAATAGTGCGCCAGATATTAAACAGTCCAACTTGTGATAAGAACCAGTTATACGAACTATTTATAATCCGGATAATCGAGTGTAACCCGCCAATTCAGACCAGTTTCTCGTGTGTGGGGGAGAGGGAGTCCAGGCGATATAGGGGGAGTTCAGGCGATGTAGGAACAATGGAAACTTGAAGATGTTTGAGTGTGGTGGAGGTGGTGGCGTGAGGGAGCGGAAATATAGCAAGCGAGGTGATGGACTAACACACACTGGCAGGTGATGCCGTGGCCACCAGCAGGACCTTGTGATAGCCGCCGTATACTTAGAACTGATAAGATTACGGCCACCAGGAAGCCAGGACAAGAGAGAGAGAGAGAGGGTAAAGTATCTCTACTCTTCTGGCCGTGTTCTCAGGGTCGAGCAATAGCTCTATAGCCCCGCCTTTCCATCTCCCCATCTCTCTCTTTTGGTTAATGCAGTTATTTTCATTCCTCTAGTCGTATTTCCTTTCGCAACTGCTTGCTGAGTTGACATCAATGATATCCTCTTTTGTTTGTGCGCCTGCGTGCGTGTGTGCGTGCCAAAATGAACCGCAGAATAATCATAAATATGCTTTGCCAGAATTCATTAATTCACCAAGCATTTACGTGCCCACTTACGACACCTGTACATCTGTATTTATTAAACAGCTTACGAGCTTGGAAACGCAGCGAGGTTGTCCAATGTCAAGCTCGTAGCTCCTCGGAGCTCGTAAGGTGTTTAATAACTACAAACTAAGCCGCCACGATTGAGGTAAGATGTACAGGTTTCGTAAGTGGCCACTTAGGCCTTTTAGTCAATCAGGGTCAGTTGATCAGGGAGGATTGACTGGATACCAATCCTTAACTACTCACTCTTGTTCACCCAGCAGTAATGTGGGGACCTGGTTGTAAATAATGTGGCGGGTTCTGTTACAGGTAAATCAGGAAAGGTAAGGCTTAAGACAAACTGTGGGAAGGTAAGGCTTAAGACGAGCCGTGGGAAGGTAAGGCTTAAGACGAGCCGTGGGAAGGTAAGGCTTAAGACAAACTGTGGGAAGGTAAGGCTTAAGAGGAGCCGTGGGAAGGCTGAGCTGAAAGCATGCTAACAGGGCCACAGGGCAAGTCTCCCGTATCTACCCATGTACAAGCTCCCGCTTTAGTGATTATATAGCCTCGCCCAGCGTGGTGGTGGGGGGGGAATACCACGGGGGTGAGGGGGGGGATACCACGGGGTGAGGGGGGGGGGAAGGTTACAGGGTTGGAGGGGGGGGGACCTGTACTTGGTCACGCACCAGTAGTGGCGGTACTAGTAGTTGTGGGGGGAGGGGTGATACTGGTAGTTGGAGGGGGGGGGGGGGTGATACTGGTAGTTGGAGGGGGGAGGGGTGATACTGGTAGTTGGAGGGGGGAGGGGTGATACTGGTAGTTGTGATGGCCCTTCCATTTTCCCATTTTCGTCAGTCTCACTTTATCAATCCCGTTCGTTCTCGTTCTCGTTCTCGTTCTCTCTCTCTCTCTCTCTCTCTATCTCTATCTCTCTCTCTCTCTCTCTCTCTCTCTCTCTCTCTCTCTCTCTCTCTCTCTCTCTCTCTCTCCGTGGGCAAGACATGCTCTAGTAATGTTGAATCGCCATTATCGAACCTATTAGTACTCTACGGATAATCACTCCCACATTTCAGGCTTCACGGAAGCCACTGGTTGTAGCAATAGGGGCCAATCCTACCTAAGGAGGGGGCATGAGGGTCGACCACTACCACCCTACAACACTTGCTAATATAATCTCAATTCACGATGGAAAGCTGCATAATGCAAACCACAACAGTCTGGCCTTCAATCTTGGACAAACATTCTCTTTTACATAGAAATGTGATGTAATTATATATGCTTTTAGAAACACTTCAATCGCCTTCTGTGGGTGGGTGTTTAGGGATCTGCTATACTAAATGTAGAACAGATCTCTGACCACTGTCTATGTAGGATAGACGAGGATATATGTATGTTAGTTAGCATTGTAAAATTACTAGTTACTTGTGGCTGAGTGCTTAATAACTCACTACCATTATATGTTGTCTAACAGATCCCCAAGCCTGGCCATGGAGGACAGAAGAGAATGCGTATATATGCTGGTTAGCGTTGTATAAATGAATGACCACGTCTGTAGTAGAAAATAAACTGAAAAAAAGAAGACAATCGCTTAATATTCTTAAGTATTCTTTGTTCAGGTTCTTGTTTGCTATTCTTGCATAAACAGCTGGAATTATGGTCAAGGAACAATAACAGAATAACATTACCTGCTTATACAAGGCTAGCAGACAAAAGTCTGCTTATACAAGCAAACAACTATAAAAAGTGTGAATTACAAACGGCAAAAAACACAGAAATACGAAGATATATTAACAAATCCACAAGGGCCGTGACGAGAGTTCGAACCTACGTCCGAGAGCATCCCAGACGCTGCCTTAATCGACTGTGTTACGACATGGTTAAAAGAATTGCAACCAGAATTTTGTTAACAATTCTTTTAACCATGTCGTAGCACAGTCGATTAAGGCAACGTCTGGGATGCTCTCGGACGTAGGTTCGAACCCTGGTCACGGCCCTTGTGGATTTGTTCATTTGATGCATCACGCTATTGTGATTTGTGTGTGTAACGAAGATATATTGTCCGCGTGTTTTCTTGTCTTTCAATACATCACCAGACTCGGAGGAATACATATTACAGACAAGGTAAAATAATAGACACGGGATGTTGACCAGACCACACACTAGAAGGTGAAGGGACGACGACGTTTCGGTCCGTCCTGGACCATTCTCAAGTCGATTGCGACTTGAGAATGGTCCAGGATGGACCGAAACGTCGTCGTCCCTTCACCTTCTAGTGTGTGGTCTGGTCAACATACTTTGGCCACGTTATTGTAACTCATCGCCTGCAATAGACACGGGATCACTGGATTGTTTCAAGCAAAGGTTGGCCATATACGAGTCTGGGCAAATATAAATAGGAGCTGCATCGTATTCCCCTAATTGTAGATCACAGTTACAGCCCCCCGCTCCTGTGCCAGGTAAGTCCACAATGGGCTCACCATAACCCGTGCTACTTGCAACTTATTGTTCCAAATTGCGAATCTGTTGGGCCAGCCAGAGGCTTAGAGCCCGCGTAGGAATATCCCTGAAAAAAAAGTATTCCCTACATTATGTTGTTATGCGGTCAGAAGGGCAGGCATGGCGCCATTTTCCTCCCACAGAGCACCGTGGCTTGGCGCTCTGACAGAGGACAGGCATGGCGCCATTTTCCTCCCACAGAGCACCGTGGCTTGGCGCTCTGACAGAGGACAGGCATGGCGCCATTTTCCTCCCACAGAGCACCGTGGCTTGGCGCTCTGACAGAGGACGCTCTACAAAATAAAATCTCCCACAGACGCTGTATGAAGCATACTCTATATTGTGGCTTGGTGAGCGTGGAGCTGTTGTCCCTCGAGTGTTGTGTTGAACTTGATCAGCCATTAATCCGGGTATCACAACATGGGTTTCAGTACTGGATAAGAACTCCTGGAAGAGCGTCTAAGGAGCCGAGGTGTTTGGACCGGTTGGGTGGTGAGGGTGAGGTGGCCGGTTTGGGTGACCTTCCCGTCCGTTAGATGAGGAGGTGGAGGAGGAGGGAGGTTGGGGGGGGATCTGGGACTGACTCATTGGTCTCTGCCCCTCCCTCATACGAAGAAATGTACATGTTTATCAACCAGACTCATGAGTAATATGTCTAGTGCTGGTGTGTATAAATATATATGTCCATAATACATCCTTGCTCCTATTTCTTTCTCATCCTCCGACCTCCTTTTCCTCCTCATCCTTCCTCCTCCTCATCGTTCCTCCTATCTGCTCGCCTCTGTCTGCCACCATCCAGGACCGGATGCAAACGGTATGCGGAGACACGCGGCCGGCCGGCCTGGCTAGAGTCCTCCCGGCCCGCCATGCGGCCGCCGTAACCGCATTGGCCCTTCTTGTGCTCTTACCTATCTGTCCTGGCAGGGGGGGTAGAGCTTCAGCTTTTGGGTCCCGGCTCTCAACCTACAATCGACTCGTCTATGTAGGTCCCGTGACCTTTGCTGTGGCTCTGTTGTATTTAAGAGTATGTCAATGTATATTTGAAGGCGTGTCCCAAGCAACCTACCTATACGTCAATATTACGACGCTTTCATTTGCACTAATACATCACATTTCTAATGTATTGGTTAATTCCGTTACAAATGCGACGTATTTCTAAAAATTAAAGCATCGTATTATTGAAGGTTCATCACCCTCCATAGGTTAAGTGGGTTGCTTGGGTTCGTATGTCTCTGGTGAGGCAAAACAGTTGTAATTTTAAAAGTTTCTGGTTAAGTCTTTCGCGGAATCGACCAATTCGTTAGAAATGCCATGCATTAGTAACACTACAAGCGCTGTAATATCAATTGGCCATCGACCTCGATAGGTTAGGTGGGTTGCTTGGGTTCACATGTTTCTGGCGAGGCAAAACAGTTTTATTTGTTACGTTTCTTGTTAGGCAAAAAGTGTTGCATATTTAAGGGAGTGGCATAACAGTAAGGACTGCTCTGGACTGTTCCATAAATATGGGCTTGGACCCACATACAAAGGAAATACATGTTTTTGTGCACATATGCAGCTTTTTTTTAATCCCTGGTACAATCAGGGTTATTGAGGGGGGGGGATGGAAAGAGAGACAATGAGAGTAACACCCCCATACAGCACCCACATAACCTAACTACACTGTTGGAGTAACATAATAACAATGTAACCACACCATTGAAGTAACCTTATAACAATGTAACCACACCATTGAAGTAACCTTATAACAATGTAACCACACCATTGAAGTAACCTTATAACAATGTAACCACACCATTGAAGTAACCTTATAACAATGTAACCACACCATTGAAGTAACCTTATAACACAACTAATCACATAATAAACTTGCTACAATGTTGTGGTTAGGTTGTACTCGTCTAATTGTGCTTGCGGGGGTTGAGCTTCAGCTCTTTGGTCCTGCCTCTCAGCTGTCAACAAACTGGTGTACAAGTTCCTGAGTCTATTGGGCTTTTTCGAACCATGAACATGAACCCATCATGGTTCTGGAACTAGTCTAGCAGCATACCTTAGAACCTTCTCCAACTTCGTCTTATGCTTGACGATATGGACTCCAAGATGGAGCCTCTTACTCAAGGGTTGGTCTGTGCTCCTGGCGGTGGAGATATATGGCAATTGAGAGAGGACTGAGACTGGCAACACTGTTATATGGCTCGTGATGGTAATGTTGTTGAATTCCCGTTGCCCGGGTGCAGGAAGCCTCTACTTGGGCTTATCAACGTCTACCCTTAGCCAGCTATACTGATCTTAGCCAGCTATACAGTTAACTGTGGTACCCCCCTGAGGCACCCTATTATTAAACGTCTTTACGACGTTTAATAAACATATTAAAACGCTGTAGCAGCAGAAGAAAATCGTAAATGATCGTGTTATGTTTACAGTGTTAAATTCGTTGCCTTAACCATACGCCTCTTGTACCGACGCCTTCCTACACCGGTACATATTTTCCAGCACCACCTTCACCACACTCGACACCCCCCGCCCTTATAACCTCCACCATACCCACTACTGCTAGTAGATGCAGCAGCAGTAGCAACTTGACCAGCAACAGCAGCTGTAGCAACAAGAGCAGCAACAGCAGCAGCAGTAGCAACAACAGCTATAGCAACAAGAGCAGCAGCAGCTATAGCAACAACAGCAGCAGTAGCACAAGAGCAGCAACAGCAGCAGCACTAGCAACAGCTGTAGCAACAAGAGCAGCAACAGCAGCAGCAGTAGCAACAACAGCTATAGCAACAACAGCAGCAGCAGCTATAGCAACAACAGCAGCAGTAGCAACAACAGCAGTAGCAGCAGTAGCAACAAGAGCAGCAACAGCAGTAGCAACAACAGCTATAGCAACAAGAGCAGCAGCAGCTATAGCAACAACAGCAGCAGTAGCCAACAAGAGCAGCAACAGCAGCAGCACTAGCAACAGCTGTAGCAGCAAGAGCAGCAGCAACAACAGCAGCAGTAGCAACAACAGCAGTAGCAGCAGTAGCAACAAGAGCAGCAACAGCAGTAGCAACAACAGCTGTAGCAGCAAGAGCAGCAACAGGGCGACACAATAAGAGGGGAGAGGTATCCTGACGTAGTGAAGAGAGAGTAACAAGAGCAAGACAGAGAAAACACACACAATGGGTGCAGAGGAGAGAGTAGGGAGGAGGTGGGGCAGGGAGGGGGCAGGAGGAGAGAATGTAGGGAGAGGGGGAAGAGATGCAAGGAAGGGGGGGGGGGAGGGAGGCGAGGCAGGTGGCCACGTTAGGGTTACCTCGAGGTCAGGTGTAGTTATGCGGTTGGTATACTCCGTGTGCTGAGGTATGCTGAGACTGTCTCTGTGTCTGTCTGTCTCTCACCATTTATACACACACACACACGAGGTATGAGTTACAAGGAAAGCTACACGAATTGAACTTCACGTCGCTGGAAGACAGAAGAGTTAGGGGGAGACATGATCACCACATACAAAATTCTCAGGGAACTGATAGGGTAGATAAGGACAGATTACTTAACACGGGGTGGTACACGCACACGGGGACACAGGTGGAAGCTGAGTACCTAAATGAGCCAAAGAGAGTAGAAATAATATTGTCAATGTCAGGGGTTAGCAAATGGAATGCACTAGGAGGTGATGTGGTGGAGGCTGACTTTATACACAATTTCAAATGTAGACATGATAAGAACCCAATAGGCTCAGGAACTTGTACACCAGTTGATTGACAGTTGAGAGGCGGGACCAAACAGCCGAAGCTTAACCTCCC